AGTGGGGATCCATCCCATGCAGATGCTAGGGTAGATTACGTCCCTGGCCGCCTTCCAGGACCCTCACCTGTGCCACAGCCCAGACCTAACATCTGGGACTGAGAACAGTTTTCAAATCCTGGCAGCTCAAAGTGGAGGGTGAAAAAACGTGAGACGGTGGGTCAGAGGCTCAGGCTAGTCCCCTTACCCCTGATGCTGGTGAGGAGACATGGGACTCACTCTGTAGAATTCCGTGTGGACTTAGCAGAATCAGAACCCTCTGGAGAAAGATGTCAGCCTGGAGCTCAGATCTGTGGCTGCGTGGTCTGCTGGGTGTGTTCACAATCCTTGGACTTAAGTACCTCTCCTGATGGGAGCTTGTCCAGTATCTGTTTCTGCAGAGTTCTGGCTACATCTTGCTGCCCCTGACCTCAGCAGCTACAGTGATTAGTTTCCAACCCCTTTTTTTTCTTTCTCTGGCTTTTCCTGCAGAACCAGATGAGTGACAAGGAGCTTCAATTATATTAACCTGCTTTCTGGCCTTTCCAAAGTAGTGGCTTTGCATTCACCCCTAATGAGTGTCTGCAGCCTCTCCTAGAGACTCCCAGGAGTTCTCAGATGGAATGAGGTCAGCAAGAGTTAGATGTGTGATGAACACAAACAGCTTGGCAAGTAAATGCTCATCATCACACTGATGTGATGAACATGGTCTAGGGCAGCCGCTGAGCCCTGCTCATGTTCACCCAGGGGGTTCTGCGTCTCTGCTCAGTTTCCTGTCCAGAGGTTATCTGGACAGATGCAGACATTGTTCATCCTTCAAGGCCTCATCCCAGTTAATGCAAGCAGTGGTACCAACCTCTGTTGTGTCTTCAGGTATCATACGCTGACCTCTGATGGCTTCCTCAAGCCACACAAACAATGGAGCCCTGGGCGTCCCTCAAGAACTTAAGTAGACCTGGGGATATCTAATGATAGGATACACACGTGTGCGCGCGCACGCACGCGCACACACACACACACACTGCCCAGCAATTCTGCACTACATACAATTGTCAGGCAAAGGTTGTTAACATCAAACGGGGGAGATTTAGATGGACAGAAAACACTTTAAGGAAATGTGCAAATAGCACATAAGTGATTAAGAAATAGAAAGCAGAGCTCCTATTCCTGTCAATCCTGAAAGGCTGTCTGGATGGTTACAGCTTAGGTACAGATGGTTTGCCATTCAGGGGAGGTGAGGAAGGCATCCCACCAGCAGGGTGAATTCTGAATGGTATCAAGAGCATCCCAGATGGACTCTGTGCAGTTCTAAAAGGTGCAGACGAATTTCTAAACAGTCTTATTAAATAATAAACACAGAGCCAAATACAGAGGTATAAGCCATAGAGATCAGAGCAATAGCCGCCAACTAACCTTAGCTCACCACCTCACTGTAGCTTCCCAAGAGAGCCTCTTCCTGTCTAAACTGAGCCTTTATTGCCTTCCTGTTCTGCCTTCTCATTGGCTCTAAGCCCAACCACATCACTTCCTTGTCACTGCCTGTCTATACAGACCTCCAGGTCTCTATGGTTGGTACTGGGATTAAAGGCGTGTGTCATCACGCTTGGCTGTGTCCTTGAACACACAGAGACTCTGCCTGCCATGTGATTGGATTAAGGGTGTGGGCTACCACCGCCTGACTTCAGTTTATGGCTCGCTATGACCTCTGATCTCCAGGCAAACTTTATTTATTTACATACGAATAAAATATCACATTTCAGTACAAATAAAATACTACCACAAAAAGGACAGCAAATGTAAACATGGCAGAGGCTCTAGGGATTAGCTATTTTCAAAAATAAAAATAAAACCAGTAAAAATTGTTTCAGCAGATCCTCTTGGGAATAGTTTGCTGGATTTGGAAGTCCACGGTGACTTGGGTATATTAAGGGAGGGTGTTCAAGTGTGAAGAAAACCTGACTAAACATGGTTAATAGAAGGAATCCTTTTCTGGGATCATATGGGATCTTGATTCTATGTCTTGTGCCTTTGAGTGTAGAAATATGGATCCAGAGAAGCATGCTTCAAGATGTCTCCGTGTGAAAAGTGCCCACAGTAATTAGAACGTGTGTAACTAAGTGTGGTCAGCAGAGGTGAAGTCTGAATGCTACAGTTAGTTCTCTGTGTCTGCCTGGCACTGAGAAACTACTGCAGAGAGAGAGACAGAGACAGACAGACAGAGACAGAGAGAGAGACAGACAGACACAGAGAGACAGAGAAAGACAGAGACAGAGAGACAGACAGAGAGAGACAGAGACAGAGAGAGAGACAGAGACAGACAGACAGAGAGAGACAGAGAGACAGACAGAGAGAGAGACAAAGAGACAGAGACAGACAGAGAGAGAGAACAGGCAAGAGAGACACATGGCCCCACAGTCTCCATTCCGCCTGTCTCTGTCTGACTCCAAGATCCTGTCAGTGCCTGTGACAGGAGACGATTTGCAGGCATCCTCCTGGAACAGGGGAGGCTTGAGTGGTGTTTGGTCAAGAGCCTGTAACGTAGCAGCTCTGGCTCCCACATCAGCACAAACACATCCCCATCCTCCCCGCCCGGAACTGCGCTCCCTGCGATTTGTCAAATGTGTTCAGTCTAGATAAAAGCAGAGCCAAACCCACAGCAATCTGTTTTAAAATATTTCAGGAGAGGATAAGGCAGCATGGAGAATAATGACCACGTTTGTTCTCTAAAGGTTGCCACAGCCTTACAGACCTGGCTGCAGAAACCTTCCGCCAATGGGGGGCTTTTGAGCAACAATCAAAGCATCAACTCTTTTTTGCTGAGACTGCAAATCCCAAATTTGGCGCCAGATTCTAATTGCAGCAGAAGAAAATCAGGTCGGGGGAGGGTAATAGAGGAGATCCATAAGCACCCAACACCGGTTCTGTAGCGTGTCTCCCTTATTCTTGTAGACCACACTGTATGTCAGCCATGTGGATGCAGAGGGTCTTCGAACAAAGGCAAGGCATGCCTCACTGGGAGGCCTGGGAAAGCTGAGGCTTGGGAGTGTGGGTGACATTCCTCATCGGGACCCAGAGGAGGTGTGAGTTTGAGGCACTTGGTTCTTTGATCACCAGGACCAGATGACTCTTCATCTGCAGTTCTAGCCCTCGTCACATGAGTGCAGGCATAGTGTGGCCCAGGAGGACAGCTTTGGAAGTCAGGCCATTGGCACTGGAAGTTACTTCTGTAGCATCAGAGTGCCCCCAAGGAAAGAACACCAGGAGCTCAACACCCTGGGCTGTGGTTTGGGGTACAGCAAGAGATCCAAAGGAGCCTGCCTCATCATGGAGTTCTGAAATGAAAGATCTAGGTCAGGTCTGGGAATAGAGAGGAGTCCTGGGAAAAGATACCATAGCTGAGTTTGGAAGATCTCCCTCCTACAGTTGAGCACCTGACATACCATGGAGTGGACATGGGATGCCTGAGCCTGAGACCTTCCCCTGCTTCCCTGATGTGTGTGTCTCCCTGTCAAACTGTGACAGCAGCCAGATGACACAGGCTGAGACTGGTGTGTGGATAAAACCTAGTGTGGTTGGACTTTTCAGCACAGGTTGACCAAGCTTCCTGAGAGGTGGGAGGTGGTTCATGTCACTGCTGTGACCAGATCAGAGGACCAGAGGGTCAGAGCATGAGCCATGGGATACGTATGGCTGTACCCCCAGAGACTCCAGCCTTCTAAAGGAGGGGTCAGTTCCTGACTTCACAGATGGCTCATCAAGATAGGACAGGTCACCGCAGCGTCTCAAGATGGCCTTGTGCTGCCAGTCATGGTGCCCTGCTCCAGGATGTCTCAGGAAGAAACCCCCTCTAGGACTCCAGCAGCCGAGTGGGGGACTCAAGAGAAATGTCTGGTTTTGATTAGAGCCATTAGACCTTAGAGTTAGGAGGAAGTTGGGGTGCAGCATGGCGGGGGTGGGGGGAGGCAGGGAGAGAAACACATTCATTTCCTACCCCTGGGACAGGAACTGACAAGACTTTTTTTTTTTTTAAGAAAACTTCAGTTTCTAGCTGGCTGAGGCTAGCTCTGTCCCTGTCACGGTCGCGGAGCCTGGGCTCCTTGTCTGCCTTCCAATCCCAGGGAAAACAGGACCTCCTGGGCCCTAGAGCTTTGCTTTTAATTAATGGACCCTATTTAGAGCAGCAAACGTTTAAAGAACTGAATGGAGGCCCGGCAAGTTCCCTCGCCCCCTTCCCCACACTCTCCGCTCAGGTTCACACTAGGTGGAAGTGGGCGTTGACCAGTTGATTAACACACTCCTGCTGTGCCTCTGGGACTCACCGTTCACTTCAGGTTAGCTCTAGAGTTGAGTGGCATGCAGCATGATCTCCCAGTCACAGACACCCCCGTCTCCTGCCAACCCCTGCTCCTGTGCAGTCCACAACTGAGGATTTTAATATAAGCAAAGTAAGGGGCGAGGTCAGGCAGATACAACGGACAAGCAAATCAGAGAACCATGAACTGTCTCCAAGTGACAAGGACCATTATGCAAGGGTCAGACATGGTGGAGGTTACCCAGGTCAGGCTCCATGTCCTACCCAGTTTCCTTTTCCTCTCTTGAGATCCTTCCCTCCCCTGGTGAGAGCTACAGCAGCCTGGCCAGGTGCTCCACAAGGCTCCCTCTGGCCCTTCTGTCCTTCGTCCAGTCCTGGAACCTGGCTTGATGCTGTGTTCTGGGTGTTGCAAACATGGTCTGTTACTGTGGCAGCCACCTGGGCATCCTGGCATCCCTATACCTGGAGCAGGAGGTCTGGACCCCGACACCTGCCTTTCCTTTACCACTTCCGTGCTGCCATGTCACAGCCTAGGAGTCGCATGGGGGCTCCCTGGGTTCCGAGGCCGTGGGCAAGGGTGAGATTTCTTCTCACAGGACTTGCCCTGCTGCGTGCTCTCTTGTCCGTCACACATCTGCGCTGGTAGCAGTCAGAGATCACACATGACTGGGACTTGCGCTGACATGTCTTCTCTGCTGTGTTGTGACAGGTGCTGGCATTGACGGAGTGGAGGAGATCAAGCGTCACCCTTTCTTTGTCACCATTGATTGGAATGTAAGTCAAATGCAGAGGTCTCCACCACACACGCCACATGGCGAGGAGAGGGCGGAGGGGATACTGCAGCTGCTTGGTGCCCATGGCCTCTCTGAGACAAACACAGACTGCCCACCTGTGAACGAGCATGCTTGGGACCCTCAGCAGGGCTGTCTCCCCAGAGAGATGCAAACTGGTGCACACAGTCCTAAATCCTCACTAGCACCTCTGCCCACGGGGTCCACGGCATCCATCCTCTCGCACCTGCCCCAGCCATGCTAATGCTGGCGTCTGCTGAGTCAGAAGACATGCCAAGAACAGACAGGCTTGCAGGGGTGACTTGCATCTGACAGCATTCTGGGCTGTCCTCTCCCCCATGGCATGCCTCCTGATACCCACACTGTGCCATACAAACCCTCACACATGAGACTCTCATTCCCGGAGCTGACGTTAATCCCAGAGGATTTTTTAGCAGGACATTGAAACATCAGGCTGGGTGTAGCTCAGTGACACAGCACTTGTCCAGCATACATGAGGCCCTGGGCTCAGTCACCTAGCATTGAAGAAAAGAAAAGAAAAAGAAAATGATGTACGTTATGTGTAAAGTTTACTTTCTGCTCGGCACCCATTCCTTTATGTCCTCATTTGTCTGACCTCGGAACACACTAGTACCACAAGGGTTAAACAGTCTGCACAGAAGCTCTGGTCCCTTGTTACCTGAGTCCCATCCAAACTGGGCAAATTGGGTGTCTCTGAGCCCTGGGTTTACAGTTCTGATTACAGAACTTGTTATGTGAGGCTTCTTCTCCCAAGTGAGGTCAGAGGGAAGCAGGTGATTGTCAGGTGCCTGGATCTCCCAGCAGGTGCTCAGAGAGCCCAGAAAATCAGACTGTCCACTCCCCAAAGCCAAAGAGGGCAGGACCTTGCAGAAGCAAAGCCAAACATCCTGGCTCAGTCCATCACCAGGCTCCACTGCTCCCATCCTGGCTCAGTCTGAGAGCTGAGGAGACACCTGTCTGTGGAGACTGGTCTGCCAACAGATTTGTTGTCGACAGCAGTCTTCATGTTACCCTGAGGAATGATTAGCACAGCATAGCATATGGGGCATGAAAGCCAGGTCTCTGGGGTGGCACTCCCGTCCCTGGTAGGGGATACATCCTGGTTTTTCTCTGCCAGTGTATCGTTCCCCTGTTTGGTTCAAGCATGCACACTGAGGCTCTATGTTTCGGGAACTTCCCAGGCTGGGGATGACCATGGTGTGGTAGAGCCTTGCCTTGGGGATCCAGTGACCTCACTGGGACAGAGAAGCTGTGAACAAATGATTCAGTGCTGTGGGACAGGGTTTGCTGCATAGAAGGAGGCTGGGAAGAGAGCAGAGGAAAGTGGGGATGTGGAAGAGGAATCATGCCCTAACCCCACCCAGTCCGTGCTCTCCGCTGGCCGTCTTCCTGGACCGGTCTTTCCCAAGCCCCTTGCGTTATCTCCTCCTCACAGTCTTCTCTGCAGGGTCACCGAAGGAAACCTGACGTGTTCTGACCCCGACCTTGCTCCTCGGCAGCCCCGTTAGCTTTGAATCTGCCACATGGCGTCCCTGGTGTGGGATGAGTGACCCTTTCTGTCTCCTTCCTCACACGTGAGCCAAGGGAAGTCAGGATTGCTGATTAGAAGACTTGACCAGGTCTCTGAACAGGCCAGGAGACCCCCAGAGAGGCGCCTTTGAGAGAGTGAGGTGGTGTGGAGAGGTGAGGGGGAGGGGGTGCACTAGAGCCCTTGATAAGTGAGGGGCAGCAGGTCAGGGATGAGATTCCAGAAGTCTCTCTCGGGCCAGGGTGGGGCCTGTGAAGGAGTACACACACACACGCGCACACACACACACACACACACATACACGAGCACCCACTCACACACACACACACACACACACACACACACACACACACACACACACACGAGCACCCACTCACACACTCACACACACACACACACACACATACACGAGCACCCCCCACTCACACACACACACACCCCCCACTCCCTTTCTCTGTGGTGTATACTGCCATCATTCCAAAGACCCTGCCAGGAAATGGAGAGGGAGTTGCTGAGTCTGGGAGGGTGGGCAGGGAGTTGCCCGGGTGGAGATAACTTGAGTCCTGGAAAGAAAGGGAAATCCCGAGTCATGCCCACAGGTGGTGGCGTGCAGGTAGCACCCCCTCAGAGGACCTGGCTGAGGAGGAACTTCCATGAATGACAATCTAAAGGCATCCTAGAACAGGCAATGGCCACAGCGGTGTGTGAGTATTGATTGAGGTTTCTAGGATTTGAGTTGCAAATGGGTCTGGAACCCAGAGTTCTTGTTCTATTTCGGTTGTTATGGTGAAATAATTGGACAGAAAGCAACGTAGAGAAGTCAGGGGTTTATTTCCCCTCATAGTTCTAGGTTACAGCTGGTTATTGGTCGGAAGTCAAGGCTGCAGGAACTTGAGACAGTTGGTTACATTGTACCTTATCTAGTCAAGAGCAGGGAAAGAGAGCAGGCATGCTCCTTGCCTTTGACCAGCTCAGTTTCTTAACTCTTAATACAGTTCAGGACCCCCTGCCTAGGGAATGATGCTACCTACAGTGGGCTGAGTCTTCCCACATCAATTAATTAAGACAATGTTCCACAGGTATGCCCATTGAGACTTTTCTTCCGATGTTAATCTGGGTTGTATCAAGTTGACAATTAAAGCTAACCATCACACTGGGGCAAGGTTGGGTTAGTGTGTGCTGTAGAAGGCTAGGGCTGTGGGATCCATTCTGCAGCCATATGCACCTTCCAGAGACCACGCCAGGCTCAGAGCTTGCCTCAGCCTCTCTGTTATTGGAGAACAATGTCCCTTCAGTGCAAACATAGACATTGGATTCCTGTACTAAGGAGTGGCATTTCTGTATCATTTGAAATTAATTCAGGCTAGAATAATGTGGGGAAGGGCTTTTTTATTGTTGTTTTTGGTTTCCTTTGGTATTTGGTTTTATTTTGTTTGGCTCTAAAAGAGGCCCTTCGGGGTCACTAGGACCACGTATGTTTACTCTCACCCTGTCCTTGCCAGACAGTACCTGCAGAGCCTGGAGCGATGACAACCTTCTTTCATCTATGGCTCTACACAGTAGAGGAGCCAGAAGCCTGCTTTCATGCTAATTTATCTAGCCATGAGCAGTGTTTATAGCATGCCTGCCTGGGTGCAGTAGAAGTGAGGTGCCGGTAGCATGGTGCTGGGAAGGAGCCCCATCCTAGAGGAGGGGAGAGATGTCTGGTGCACCATGAGGTGGCTGTCCAGCCACAGCGGTAGTGTGTGAGTATCCAGTCCAGGGAAAGCAGAAGCAGGGAGTAGGAAGTAACCAGGAGAGGGAGCCGGGAGGAAGGAAGGAGGTGTGAACAGTTTTGAAAGAACCGCGTTCAGGCTCTAGAGGCCTTGGTAGCCAGTGCAGAGGCCTTGGCATGGCTGGTTTGATCTGACCTATCCCTCTGCCCCAGCTATCCTTTCCCTCGCAAGCGGTCCAGGTGTCGCCCTTGTGTGGCCACAGCAGGGCCACGAGTGACCTGACCCCACCATATACATAGACACGTCATGCTTCAGGAAGTCTGTGGACATGTGTGCACCAGGCTGCCAGACCTAGTTCTGCACTGTCCTGTGCACCTTCTTGTTGTCAGTAGCTCAGATCCCTGAAAACCACTAAGTCCCATGTTCTCAAGGACTCTTCACCAGGGCCCCCCTTCCATGCCCCTTGGCAGTGTGGGCATTCATACCGATGAAGGAGAAGACATTTGCAGGCATCAGATTCCTGCCTGTGGGCTTTATCCAGGTGCAGCCTTGGGATACAGCTGAGAAAACATCAGCCTATCTATTCTGCTTTCTGTTGCCTTCTGTGACCCCAAAATTACCAGCATATATTTCTATGTTTTTTTTTTTAAGTAAACACTTGTCATCCACCAGCTGTCCCCTGGGGATTTGGTGACCTGTTGGCACAGAAAGTGTCATCTACCCCAGAAGTGAGGGTCACAGTGTTAGCTGAAGCAGGTGGAGGGTGGCAGGTCTCTGTGGCTTCCCTGCCTTTCCCATTGCCCTCTGCTCCCAGCACACCAGCTCTGGGGTCTGCCCTCCAAACACCCGTGCCGCTTGCCTAGCTAAGTGAAAAATTACAAGTTAATTATAGAGCAGGAAGCTCGTGCAGAGGGTGGTGGAGCCGGCAAATGTGAGCTGTGTTTACTTTTCCCCCGTGGCTGAAGCAATGTTGAGAACTCAGGATTAGCACAAACCCAAAATAAACATAGAGGTGACCTCACAGGCTAAGCAAGCCAGTACACACTGGCATCCAGCCAGCCGGCTTCTAGCAAGCAGACCCTGGGTGAAACGGCACTCGGACAGACAGAGAGCAATACTTCACCAGATTCAGTCCCAGGGTGGCAGGGTGGAGGTTCCTGCCAAATTGCTTGTTTCCAGCCCCTCGGCATATGGTTTGGGCAGGCGTGGCCACCATTCCTGTTAACTATTAATGTGAGTGACTCATGCTTTAGAGCTTTTTGCATTTCCAGCTCAGCACATCATCTCTTTTTCTGTGAGGTGAGAAGGACCCTGAAGAGAAACTGAGGCACAGAGTACTTAGGTGATTCTGTGGGTAGCAGTATGCTGCTTGGTGGCCTTGGCTGTCCTGTGCACTGGAGCAGGTGGAGGACAGTGGTTCACTGCACCTGTGGTGCATCCAGTGTTTGGTAATTGGGTTTCCATCATGTGCTCTTGCTCCCTCTTCCTGTGGTGAAGGCACCAGGAGAGCTCACCCCTCCAAAGTCCCCAGGAGGGCTGTGGCCACAGTACCTTCTGTTTGGGGACTTTGCAGATCTAGATAGCTTTGCAGCATGTCTTAGGTGGGGTAGACTTGTAGAGGTCACGCTCTTCCTCACAGACACTGGCACAGCCCATCCACAATGCCCTGGATATCATTCCCACCCCCCATTCCTCCCATTCTGCCACATCCTATGCTTGGATGTCTGCATCGCCATTTCAGGAATGGCACATCTGTGCCCTTCGCTCATTGGAGCAGGTTAATTTCAAAATGCCTGCAGCCAGAACTGTACATTAAGCAAATGTTAGGGTCTGTGACCTGTCCTCTCGGCAGTCTCCATTCTTGATCTGCGCTCTCTGCCCTTTGCTTACTTTCCACAAGGCCTCTGAGGTATGTGCAGGCCCTGATGTACCTGCTCAGCATCCTCAGCATTTGTAAAATGTGAACTCTATCTCAATGTCAATGCCAAGCTGATGTCATCTTGACACCGAGGGAAAAATTAGATGATTAAAAATAATGAGTTGGACTACGAGATCCCACCTCCATCCCCTCCCTCAGGGTGGGCATGAATTATTCCAGAATCTCAGCTCTCCCCATGCAGTCTGCCTCTTCCTTCACATCCCTTCTTGCCTATCTCTGGCCCTTGGTACCCTGGCTCTTCACTCATCCACAATGTCCATCAGAGGTACCTTGCCAGATCCCAAATATGTGTGCACTGTCTTTAAATTATCTCATCCAGTACCATCTCCACAGAGGTTTGAAAAGCACACTTTGGGTTTGGAAAGCAGGTCTCAGCAGCAGGTCTGAGAAGGATTCATGGACAATCTGTGTGTTTTGACAATGGCCATGGCAGTGGGAAGAGGTATATGAGCAAAGGTTTTTCTGGGCCTCAGTTTTCAAAGTCCCCAGAGAGCTGAAGTAGGCTCCAAGGTGGTGATCCCACAGCCACCAGTGCTCAGCATGTATGGCCAACCTGTAATCTTTGCTTGGAGATAAAAATCCTGTAGCCAAAAACAAGTTAAAAAACGATTCCACTAAACTGAAGGACATTGAGCAGATCTCAAACCTTTAAACCTCAAACTATTCCTTTTGTAATTCACATCTAACATGTAATTTCCATGCTACATATATGGCCTTCTATGAAACACACAAAGTGGGAATATAGCGTTATATAGAGAGAGTTATATAGATAACACACACTATCTGCATTGTGCCTCATCATACGTCTTGGAAGTGTGAGAGCTGCTTGTGGCCTCTGCTCTCTGCTCTCCATGGCCTGCTCTCAACATCTGTCTTGTTCTCCCTGCAGAAGCTGTACCGCAAGGAAATCAAGCCACCCTTCAAGCCTGCAGTGGGCAGGCCTGAGGACACCTTCCACTTTGACCCCGAGTTTACTGCAAGGACACCCACAGGTATGTGCTAGTTCTTCCCAGGTGGGCTGATCCCATCTGACTCCAGAGAGCCTGTGTGAAGGATGCTCCCTTAGAGAGGAACCTGTAGACCCATTCGGTCTTTCTGATTTCTCTGCTTAGCAGGAAGGTGTCAGTGACAGAACCTCTCACTATTCCTCATGTGACATCCACTTCAGTAGCCATCAGGGTTCTGTGGACCCCTCTCTTGTTGTGAGATGCTGGGCCATGACAGTCCTCCCGGGGACACACAGGCCAGACACAGAGAAAAAACAGGCGGTTCACATCAGCGATCTGTGGGAGAAAGCGGCTATCTTTAGGTCTGTGGGCTTACGAACTAAATGCATTATTTCTGTGAAAGCTGGGGCCTGGGTGATGGATGCCGTGCAACTAGATCCCAGCACGGAAACTTAGCTTCATGGTGTGTGAGATCCCTTCATAACTGGTCAGCTCCCTTCAGCACCCTGGTTTACTGTTTTACGTGCCTCGTCGTCTCAGACCACCATGATGGGGCAGCCCTGGAGGGCGGCTTCACAACAGGTGTTTGTGCCCAGTGCTAGAGGCTGGGTTCAAGGTCAGGTTGCTGGCAGGGTCTGTTCCTGGTAAGTCCTCTCTCTCCTATAATTGGCCACGTCCCCGTGTCCTCTCATGGCCTTTCCTCTGTGAGTGGGGAAAGCTGGAGAGTGCTACGTTCCATCCTCTTCTTGTGAGGACAGCAGTCCTGTGGGAGTAGGGCCCACTCCCTGACCTCGTTTAATCTTGACTTCTCCCGTGAGGATCCCGTCTGCAAACACAGCTGACTATGGGCACGGCAGTGGGAGCCACTGTGGTGACGGTGTGGTGACATGCAGAGCAGTGGCTAAACCCTTTCCGACTCAGGGAGCAAGTTCAGCCAGCCGGTGTGGGGGCTGCTGATGGCTGTGCAGAGATTCCTTGGGATTTCCTCACTACCTTCAAATAGGAAATGGTGTATGGTTGTTGGAAACCAACCACAAAACAAGATTACCAACCATGAGTCTCAAGCTGGGAGAAATGGAATAGAGAACCCACCCTGTTCCCCTTGGGTTTAGGCTCTGGAGCAATGCCTTCATCCACACCCTGTTGGGCAGGGAAATAGATGGGCAGGCCCTCCTCTGTGTGATGATGGACAGGGCTGTGAGGCCTGCAGGGGAGCTTCACTTGGGCCCAGGGTAGCTCCTCTTTGAGCAACGTGGCATGAAGAAGAGTTGCGGTGCAGGCGTTGATTCGGGACATTCAGCCCCAGACAGCACACAGATGGCTCTCTCTGACCTCTGAGTCCCATCCCTCCCTAGGGAAGACCAAAACAGTCGTCAGAAACAAGACTAAGGAAGGGTTGTCCTTGAATGTTGTCATGCTGCACGTTTCTTATGCCGCTGAGCGGTCAGTCCCATGACAGCATGAGCCAGTGCACAGAGGAGCATTCCTGTCAGCTGCTGAGGTCAGGAGGTCAGAGCCCGGAGGCCGCCTGAGCGGCTCACCAATCCCCCTGCATCTGATCCGAAGATGAATGAACATGAAGATGGCCTTTGAGCCAGAGCAGACTCTCCCCAGACATTGGGGACGGCAAGGTCCTCACTGAGAAGGGCAACATTAGTCATGAGTCTGTCATGTGAAACTCCATGTTTAAAATGCTCAAGAGAAGCTAAGCTGTACTTCTGAGAGCACAGGTGTTAGGGCAGGCAGCTCCAGATGACCCACTGTATGTGCTTTGGGTATTCCACGGGGATTTAAACTCCAGCCTAGTTGGTTGGCGTGGCCTTAAGTAAGCATCGTAAGCCTTTTGTGCATAGAAAATGATGGTTTATCTTACTATTAGCCCAAGGAAAACCCATCAGACATGGGGCATTCAACCCTGTGTCTAGGACTGGCTTCTGTCAGCCCTTAGTGTTGTGATTTGTTCAGACACTAAGCTAATAGGCCTTGCCAAGCAGTCTGCCTTTGGGGGTTGCAGTCATGGAAATGCTAAAGAGGCAGAGGAGTCGCTCTGATTTCCCACTAAGTTGAAGAGCAGCCATACCACGGCAGTGTGATTCTGAAACAGTCTAGAGACACTGAGGGTAGTTCCTGTGCTGGACTCTCTCTCTCTCCATTGAAGTGAAGCCACGAGCCAGCTTATGCTTCCTGATCACAGGTCAGCTGCTCAGTGGAGCGTGGCAGTCTAAGGTTTGAAAATTTTTCCCCCTGGCCAGAAGCTTGTCGTTGCTTCTGAAAGTTTACTTTTTTAGTCTAACTTGTAATTTTGCTCTTCTGTATGGACTATACTGGCATCTTACCTGAGTGTAAAGCATTCTAAGTTTTACTCCTGCTATCCGCCATTTGCTCACCATCGAGCCCGAAAAATCAAGTGTCATCCTCAAGCTTCCTATAAAGACCTCTTTGCACTCCAGCAGACTGGCCGTCCTGTGCTTCCACTGACTTCTTTGCTCTATGCAGAGAGATGCAGGCATCTTTGTTGGCTAGAAAACGTTGCTGACTTGATCTTCATCTTCTCACTACTAAAAATGCCCCAGTTCAAGTTAGTGTGACCTGTTCCCTACACACATGCACAGGCACACACACACACCCAGTGTGCTATAAACAGACCCTGGTTTATACCCTCCGCACTGTCAGGATCAGTGAATTCCTAGAACAGCCCAAGTTCTCAACCCTAAGCCTAAGTCCCTGAGGCTGACATTCCCATTGTGAGGCTGTTTTCCTCTGGTCCAGTCTCTTAATGTTAAGAGAAGGCAAGAGAACAGACCTCGAAGCCAGAATCCATGCTGGGAAAAGGAAGGCAAACCAAAGCTCCTGACAAAGCGGGAGCCCATCCATCCATGCGGCCCAGGTTGCGGGAAGCAGCCTGGCTACATTAAACTTCATGCTGCCATTGGGCGTCTCGCCGTGCATAACTTCACGTTCTAAAAACAGTCCTGCCAGGCCTTGCCTTTTAATTAAGCATCCACAGTCTAGCACATTTGGAGTTTATTTCCAAGCAGTCAGCCTCGGTCACATTAATTCAGGGTCACGTACATGAGTGAGTATCTGTCCTCGTGGGAGGCTGAGCCTCTTGCAAGGCAGCAGATCTTGGGTCTGTCCCCTTTTTGTCCAGGAGTCTTCAGATGACCCTATATCCAGGAAGCTACCTGTCCCATCTGATGGGCTGGCCTCTCTGCCCCAGGAAAGCACATGGTGGGGGTGGGGTATTTCCACCTGAGTACAGACAGGCCCTGTCTGGGATCAGAGACACACCCACACACTCCCCATATCATCTCCACACCCCCCACAATCCCCATATCTCCACACCCCCCACATCTCCACACCTCCACACCCCCCACACCTCCACACCCCACACCCCCATCCCTCCTCACCCTGGCTCACTGGCCTTGCCCCTGGGCTGTGGAGCACCTGCCTTCATAACCCTGTACCCAAAGTAAAATATGAAGGAACAGAAACTACATTTCCTCGGCAGGTGCCTCTCCCTCCCCACACCCCTACCCACCATTGTTTCTGTGTCAAAGTAAAGGACTGGACGGGGAGGAAAGGGCACAATAGAAAGGCAGAAGCTCCATCTCCTCGGGTAAATGACTCCAGAGTGTGCAAACATACACCTGTTCACATATGTGTGTGTGTGTGTGTGTGTATGCGTGTATGTGATGTTTAATGTGGTATTTTTAAATTGTCACATATAAGAAAAACTAGGTTATATGTTATATTTTAAATATTATTAGTATATCACATATATTATTTATTTGCGTACCCTGATATATTACAGAATTTGTTGTATATTACATATTTCATGTACTTCTACTGTATCGATGTATTAGATGTTTACATAGCTGAATCTTCACTGCAGTGGGCAAGTTCTCCTTATCAACTCACAACATCCTTTTCCTGTTTGTGCTAACATCTCTCTCTCTCTCTCCTGTCTTTTTCTTTTTAATTTCGGTTTGTGGGTTTTTGTGGGTTTTTGTGGTTGTTGTTATTTCTGTTATTTCCTTGAGCCGGGTCTTGTATGTAGCCCAGGCTGGCCTTGAGCTTGTGGCTCCCTGGGTCCGACAGCCGACAGGAGGACACCACCACACTTGACTGGTGTTTGACGTCTGTGTTTGTCCACAGCTGTGTCTGGTTGTCACAGTCCGTCACCTAAGGGATGGGGATGGCTCAAGTACAAACTTGGATTCGGTTCCTTATACTCACACAAAAGCCCAACACAGTAGGGTGGTGCGGAGGGTAGAATCCCTGCTGTGTGAGGCTGATGTCTTGAGTTTGACCCCCGAAACCCACGAAAAGCTGGGTGTGGCAGCTGGCATCTGTGATCCCAGCACTCGTGTGGGAATCAGAGATACGAGAACTGCCCAGAGGCTCCTGACCGGTGCCTTATTTACCTTTCTGTCGCTGTGCTGAAACACCCCGATACAAGCAAGTTAAGAGAGAAGGTTTATCTGGCTCACAGTGACGGAGGGTTCCAGTCCATCGTGGCCTGGAAGGAGGAGCCCACCGCATCAGCAGTCTGGGACTTGAGAGACCACAGGAGGTGGGGTCAGGCCACAAAACCTCAAAGCCCGCCCCCCACCCCCCGGTGATGAACTTCCTCCAGCAGGACTCCATCTCCCAAAGTTCCTTAGCTTTCCCAGAGAGACCAGCTGAGGACCGAGTGTTCAAACACCTGAGCCTAGGGGAGACATTTCACATTCAGACTATGGCAGCCAGGTAGCCTGGAGTATGTATGCAGCATGGCGGAAACAAGAGACACGGCCTCGGCAGGGCAGAGGAGAGAGCAGACTCCTGAAAGTTGTTCTCTGACCTCCACACACGACTGTTCTCTCTCTCTCTCTCTCTCTCTCTCTCTCTCTCTCTCTCTCACACACACACACACACACACACACACACACACACAAATTAATTAATTAATTAATGCCAAGTGTGGCACCACATCTGCAGTTCCAGAATTGAGTTGGTGGAGACACATGGGTTCTTGAGTTCTGTGGCCAGGCAGCCTAGCTAGTTCAATAAAATAAAGTCCAAGTTTGATGAGACACCCTCTCTCCAAATAATTAGGTGGAGAGTGACCAAAGAAGACATGTGATATTGATCTATGTCCGCCACACAAGCTCACACATGTATGCATACACACACACACACACACACACACACACACTGCCCCCACCACCAAGCAGTAAAGCATTCTGATGTGGGCAGACTGTTACTAATTGTGGTTGTGATGTCCTTAACAGTGGCATGTAGGTTGGCTGTGATTTTTTTTTTCTGCTGTCACAAATAATGCCAAAGACAACATTTTCTATGCTTGTACTTTTGAAAGTAATTCTGAGGACTAAATTCCTAGATGCAGGCTGGCTTTTCGGAGGACACGTGACTTTGAACGTGCGGGGACCATTGCCCATCCCTCCTCTTCCCCAGAGACAAGTCAAGTTTCTTCCTTCAGCTCTGAGATTGCTTTCCTTTGGTCAAAATCTAGCTGTGGCTGGCTGCTCCCACTTTTACGGACTCCTTAGCTTCAGTGTCATTTAACAAGAACGTGCCCACTCATCTGAGAGCCTGAGCATCTCCAGACATGGTGCCCGAAGGGTGCTTCTTCTGCTCCTTCTTGTCTGTCACGTATTTCCCCCGCCAGCCAGTCATTTACCTTCCTGTTCACCTCATGGTGACCCTGGAGAAGAACCGTATCGTAGCAGTCATGCTTTGGAACAGACTTGGTGGAACTTAGAAAAATCACCCCTTTCACTCGCCCGCCGGACTGTGGGCAGCAGTGACTTTGCCCATGTGTCCTTGAGGATTGGAGTAGGGTAGCCTCGGCACAGAGCTGTGCAGCTGTGGAAGAGGTTGTGCTGGCTGTGGACTTGGCCTTGGGCAGAGGTAGGGGCTGTAGGTGAATGTGGAGCTGGGGAAATTTTTGGCTTTTCTCTGATTGTCTTTAGGCACACAGCACCTGCTTAGCCCAGAAAGGAGGTGCTGAACTCATGGCCCCCCTGCTTTCTGGCAACTCACCCCAGAGCTCCTGGCAGCTTTTCCCTTGATCTTTAGTAGGGAGGGGTGGTAGGTTGTGTTGAATATTTAGTAACTTCCAAAGTCAGTAACCTAAAAACGTGATCAATGATTATCTGAAAACTTGCCTGTGATGTGTGTCCGCCAGATCAGACTCTTGGCAGCACCTGAAACAGTTTCGTGCGTTTCTACCTCTCTACTCGTATATACCTTCTCCAGCACACAGGCTGCGTGTACATTCTCGTACATACATATGCACACCGTTGTCCCTGGCTCATTTGGCTCTCATGAAGTGTAAACCATGCATTGCTCATCCACAGACTCCCCCGGTGTCCCCCCAAGTGCAAATGCCCATCACCTGTTCAGAGGATTCAGCTTCGTGGCCTCCAGCCTGGTCCAGGAGCCCTCCCAGCAAGACATGCCCAAGGCCCCCATTCACCCAATTGTGCAGGTAAGTCTGGTTACTCCAGGAGCCCAGTTCAGGGCCTTAATGCCTGGCCTTATATTTTTATCACCTCAGTGCTGGGTGCCAATGGTGGGTCAATGGTAGACACCTCCCTGCCCCTAGATGTTGCTAAGTGTTGCTATGGTGATCTTCCTGGTCATCTGCACTATTGCACATTCATTTCTAAAAGGGAAAATAAAGGTCTGAGGAGATGACCACCATGGATGCCTGTGTCAGCAGCCCCTATGGTCTCTGTGTGAGCTGTGGGTGCTCCCATGTCATTGGGAGGTCAGTGGGGATGTTATGTAGACTTCTGTCATCATGTGGTTGTAACTAGAGTTCAGAGAACTCAGAAGGATTAGGAGTAAACTCACTTGAGCATTTGATGTCTTCATTCAGTGTAATTAGACGGCATTGGATTTCCCTGGCATGTGTCTCCTTGTGGTTGTGGTTAGTGGGGTTTTTGTTCTCAGGGGTGGGCAAGTGGGGCCTGTGCACGTGGGCCAGACTGGCTTGTGGCTTAAGCATTTGGGGTTGGTGCCCTATCTGGATACGCACTCTGGGGACAGCACCATAGTCATGTGCCTGTGCTTCTGTCTCTTCGCTCCCTCCACGAGTCTCACTACCGTGGGTCTCTGGGAGAAAACTGAGTGCTCGGCGGGCACATTGTACCTGGGCGTCTGAATATGAAAAGTCGGAGCCACAGGAGCTCTGGCACCATCTATGCATAGCTCTGTGACCTTGGGCAAGGAACTCTTAGTTTGCTCAAGCTCTCAAGTTCCCAGGATGCCCTGGATCTGTGTGTCTGTCTGGAGCCACGTGCAGCTGTGTGGAAGGTTGCTAACCAGCCCTGCCTTGGCCTCTCTGCAGCAGTTGCATGGGAACAACATCCACTTCACCGATGGCTATGAGATCAAGGAGGACATCGGGGTGGGCTCCTACTCAGTCTGCAAGCGGTGTGTACACAAAGCCACCGATGCTGAGTACGCTGTGAAGGTAAGACAGGGATCTCTGGCCTAGCTGAGCAGGTGCTCGGATGCTGAGCAGGCTCTCTGCATCCACAGTGTCTGAGGTCTGATGTGATAGACTTCGGTTTATTTTGATATGAAGTCACTCATTTAAATATTGTTTTCCAAGCTGGAAATGGTGGCACACAATTGCAACCAAAGCTCTCAGGAAACTGAGGTAGGGGAGCTGAGTGTTCCAGGTGAGCCTGGGTTGTGTGATAAGACCCTATCTCAAAGGACCAGGAAAAAAAGTCTTCAAATCATAAATATTTCAGTTATGTCCGACATGGAACCAATCATCTTTAGTAACTGACTATAACATGCCAAGAATAACAGCCCTGGGCACACAGTATCTAAGAAGACAGAAGTTGGGCAAACAGGCGTAGCATTTATCAGAGGTAGGAAGAAGCAGGGGGAGGGGAAGGAAGGAAAAAAGATAGAGCTGTCAAAAATAATTGAAGAAATAAATAGAAGCAGAATAAAGAGACAGCTGATGTTTCGCTCCAGCCACCAAAACCTGCGTACAGTGTAGAATGACACCTGTAATCCACTTTGGCAAGCTCTAAGTAGTAATTTTCACCTCTGTAACTGTTATAGATTAAATACTGGACCTGGGAATCCAAAATGCCAATTTCTAGGGTTTTCTAGTTCGTAAAAGCTAAAGCTTCCTTCTTCCGAAGTCAACATCCAGCACACACTGTGTGTTACACACTGCATTCTCTCTCCACCACTGTGAGACGGTCTAACCTCCGCCACAACCGTGAGGTGGTCTAACCTCCGCCACAACCATGAGGCGATCTAACCTCCACCACCCGCTCTTGGCACATGAGACATAGGGCTGGAGGGATGGCTCAGTGGGTAGAACTCTTGCTGCAGAGCATGTGGACCTGACTTCAAGTCTGCACAACCTACATAAAACAGACATGTAGCACACATCTGCATTGCAGTGTTCCTAGGGGAGATGGGAGGCAGAGATGGGAGAATCCCCAGGAGCGCTCGGGCCGGCTAGCCTGGCGTAGGCAGAGGTGAACAACGAGAAGGAGACTGTGTTTCAGAAAAGGTGGAGGAGGGGAGAGGACTGAATGCTGAGGTTGTTTTCCGACCTCCACACCTATGCTGTGGCATGTGTGCACCCACCTTCCCGGACGTGCATGCAGATGCTCACACACAGGCACACACGCACACACGCACACACACTCAAGACTTGAGGGACAGAGTCTGAGCCTGTATCACCATGACATGAAGCATACCCGCCCTGCTGGGCATGTGGCACTGTCCCAGCTCTTTAGAGAGTGCCTAGGGAGAGGGGGAGCTGGCCAGAGAGGCAAGACATGATAGGAGTAGATTCCATCAGCTGTGATTTTCCAGGCTCTGAAAAGGGTGCTTGGCACACTGAGTGCGGGGTGTTGTGCATCCACTGCCGTTTCTCGACATTGGGCATTTCTCAAAAGCACACTCTCAAGAGAGTGTGCCTCTTCACAGGCCATCTACCCCGGGTTTCTTAGGCTGTGAAAGCAGTCAGCAGCCTAGCAAAAGAGGCACCAGCCAAACATCTCAGGAATCTGTGGCCTTTGGACAAACTGGCCTAAACTTCCTGAAGTCCGTGAGGTGATTACAGTTAAAGCAGGAGCTCAGAGACATAGCGGGGTCACCACCCGGTGTCGTGGAGCCGACCCCTCTGGGGCACAGACACAGGTCTAGATTGTGCGTGGCTGGGGGTTTCCAGAAGTTCTGTATTCTGCTTCACCCCAGAGGATTTCCCGTGCTTTGTTTCTTCGGGAACTTCTTAGGAGTTCTCTGTGTGGGTTGTTTCTCACAGAAATTCTTCAGATTGTTTATCTGGAGGCCAGCAGCACTCCTAGAGGCAAACAGTGCTGCCAGAGAGCGCTAAGAAACACATCCATTGTGTGGCCAGCTCGGCAGCCCCAGTGCCCTTCGAGAAACAGCCTGCTACTGTTCAGTGTGATTCTGTGCCCTGGAACTCGGCCCCATTGACAATGCCAGTGGTATGCTCTCTCTGGTACTCCCACATCCAACTCTCACGCAGAGCCTCCATCTGTAGTCGGCTTTGTTGGGAGTTAGGACTCTGTCCTCAAAGATCCTGTTGAGGATTGACCCTGTACAGTCTGTGACAGCTCCCCTCCCCGACCATTGCACCCCAGGAAGGTGTTGTATCTAACTGACGGTGGAAGAAGAACCAGGAGCTCCTGTTTGTTATCCAAGCCTTGAAGCTCCCTGGACAAACCAAGGCACGGATGGAACAGGAGCATGGAAAGCCATGGCTTCTTGGCAAGACACAGTTGAGTGTCCACGGATGACCTAGGAGCATACACAAGCCACTTGTGGATGGGCAGCAATCGGTCCACTTCTCTGAGGGTTGAACTGTGACTGGGTTTCCTTCAAAGATGGAGGAGCCAACAGTTCATCAACTTCTGTGTCCACACTGCTCTGGTGAGCAGAACCTAGGCGGCCTTTCTGCAGGTCTGTGAGCACTCCCGCTGTTACTAAATGCCTGTAGTCTGGATCAGATAAAAATAAAGATCCTCGCTGCCAAGCCTGATGACCTGAGTTCCTTCCCAAGACCCACGTGGTGGAAGGAGAGGACCTACTCTAGCAAGCCATCATGTGGTCCTCACATGTGCTCTGTGCTGCCCACACCCACACGCACAACTAAAGAAACGGGTGTCGTAAAAACGAAACGGAGAGCCTTGAAGCTGTGCTGAAGTGTGTGTCGCCCTGTTCTCTCGAAGCTTCTAAGAGTTGTTTTTAGTCACTCCCACTCCCCGATGCCTCCTTTTCCCTCTGGAACTGTCTCCTCTTCCCAACACCCACCCCACGTCCATGTCCATTTGGCCTGTGGCCACTGAGTTGAATTTCATGTCTGAGCCAGAGCAACACATCTGTGGCCACACCATGAAAGAATATGAATCCCCTCCCGCAACAGCTCCTCATTGCTACTAACTGCCCTCCCCGCAAGGAGTGGCGGGGCCTCACTCCTGTCGCCATCACTGAGGGCTCTGATTTGTGTGCAGCGTGAGAGATGAGGATCAAGGCCCATTCTTCCATATCTTGACAGCCAGTTTTCCCCGTGTGTTTTTGGCTTCTCCGTCAGAAATTGGATGGCTGTTTTGTGTGCCTGTCACCCTGTTTTTAACTACAGCAGAGGATGTGGCTACCACACCCAGGACGGGACAGGCCTCGCTCCCATAGGAGCCAGAGTTTGGACCCACCTCATGTCAGCTGTCTACAGCGGCGTTTGCATGCCTGTGTTCAGTTTCCTTCTGTGTATATAACTTGTCAACCAGCAAGGAAGTGGAACCAAACAGATGCTTGGCCTGGGGAGAGCTTATTTTTAGAAGGACTGATTGGCATGGAAATTTTAATTTTTTTTCCTACCAGGAAGACACTGGAGTTCTTTCTCTTTGTCATTTGTTTAATTTTACAGGAGAAAATGTCTTGGTTTTTTTTTTTCCCAAGTAATTACATGCTCTACTTGACTTGCTTCCAACATACTATGATCCTTCCAACAAGTGAGAGGAAGCGCTGGTCTAGGGAGTGCATCCTGCTTGCCCAGGTGCTCGCTCTGCTGCCTTCAGCACCTAGAAAGGGGGTGTTCCAGTGATGGGGAGCTTGAGAAAAATACAAGGAAGGACACACAGACACAGAAAAGGGAAAATGGGAAGTAGAGGAAATGCCTTGGTGGTGGCTAACACTCTCGAGTAGCAGCAGCAGCCCCCAGCAAACATGGTTCCCCTGCTGAGAAAATCCATCGTCCTGCACTAGTCATGTGGAGGTCACACTTGCTCCAGGCATATGCACGCCTCAGCTTAGCACCTCTGAGGCGTGTGAGAAGCAGTATACTGCACAGCGCAACCATGGGGAGCTTCTCCACCGTCAGCAGGGACAGCTGCCCGCTGTGCAGGATGCTGCCCAACCCTTCTGTGTGTCTTCCTGGGGCAAAGAAGAGCAATGGAGCAGAACCCTCCCCTTCCTCCTGCCTTTGACTGTGGTTGTCTCTGCTCTCAAGCTTATCCCTGAGAGAAGAGCCAAGAGTGTGGTCCACAGGGCTTGCTCTAGCTGGAAGTAAATCCAGCTACATCATTCCCAAGAAGCCATCCCACCAGGAAACTCACCAAAGGATCTTGTATATCTTCAACACTCAACAGCCACCTGAGAGAATGCCTCACTAACGTCGTACAATATTTGATGGAGGTGCTTTGCAGGCGCCACCAAACAAATGATACTCAGTGTGATATTGTGGTGCACAATGTTCATGCCCAGGTTGCATGCCAGGTTATAGTAAATTGACCAGCGTGTCCTCCAGTGTGCCTCCTAGTTGAACATACACATTAATTCTTAGTACAGTCTTAAAGTGTTATTCAATGTCAGTGAGATCTTAAGGTCTTTACGAAGCGGATTTGTTCACAAGCGTTTATGACAGTTCATCAGAATTTTTCTCATGACGTCCAAAGAACACACAAGAATAAGACAGATACTCTGGTGAGGAACAGGTCACGCATTTGTAGTCCCAGGTGGTTTTATGAGAGTTGCAGTATTCTCACATTTAATTTTTAGTGGATAATATTCACGTGACTCCAGATTTAAAAGCTGTAGTCACATCCTCAGGGTCTCCCCGCCATAGCTGCATCCCCTCGTTACCCATTTCCCCCTCCAGGGAAAGCCAAGGCTTTTGCTATTTTCCTCTTCCTTTCCAGGGTTATTTATGCAGTCCCAAGGAAAGGCATGTGTCTGTCTGCATTCCTTTTCTGCTTTTAAAACAAGGGACAGTGTAGGATGCACGTGCAGTGCTTGTCCACCTTGAGTGTCCTGGCTGGTGACAAAAGGCTTCTTTCTGCATCTGGCTCCTTGGGAAGAGACCAGATCGATGTTCAGAGTGGATGACTTTATCATGAAAATGACTTTGAGAAAAGAAAAAAAAAAGTATCTACCACTAGATTGTCTAAGCCCATGAATATATTGCAAAGGGAATATGTTGGGTGTGGGATACCCACGTAGTCAAAGCAGAGAGGCTTTGGAACTGGATGGCACCAATGTACAGGGCCACGGAGTGCTGTTGGGGATGGGGGACACTTTTGAATTTCTGAGTCGTTCTCAACCTAAGTGCTGTCCACTTCACGACATGGATTCTCTCTCTCCACCAGCTTTCCCCACAAACATAAGAGGCAAGGCACCTTCAGAGGCATCGGAGCCTTCGTGTGGCACAGGGACTCCTGTTTCAAAGAAAGGCTTTGATTTGTGGATTTCCCATGTAAGGGGAAGCCACCCAACTCCCTGGAGTTACACAGTTTTATCTGCTGATCTAAGACTGTGCAAAATACTGGGCAGGAAGGAGGAGGGAGATAAAAAAGAAAGGGGTGTGTGTGTTGTCTTGGGGGAAATGCAGCCTGCTCAGCCTCCAGCATCTGCCTGGGAGGACCTTGTTTTGTGGCTGGTGTGCAGTTTCCAGGGCAAAGCTGAGGCGCTCAGGCGACTGGGGTTCACTCTGACTGAGTGAAGTGAGAACCCACTGGTCAGAGTTCAGTGGCTGAGACAGACTGAGCGAGTTGCTGGTGCCTGGGTGAGCTCTCCATACCTGCCCCATCGCATCTGGCCTTTTGATACCCTGAGATTCCTGTCTGAGGGCTGTCTCCTTTCTTGTGGTGTTAGGGTTGAACCTGGGGCCTTGTACATGCTAGACAAGTACTTTGCCACCGAGCCACATCCCTAACTGCATCCTTCTTTTTACTTTTTCCTTTGAGACAGGGTCTTATTAAGTTGCCCAGGCCTACAGCTTGCAGTCTTCCTGTTACATGCTCCCTCAGAGTCGGAATTACAGGCCTGGTTTCCTCTTTTTAATTGGTTGAGTACTGTGGGGGTGGGGGCAGCTGTGCTGTGCATAATCTGCAATGGTCCAACAAGGCCAGCAGCAAATCTCTCACTTCTTCCTGCTGTGTGCGCTTCAGATCATCGATAAGAGCAAAAGGGACCCCTCAGAAGAGATCGAGATCCTCCTGCGGTATGGCCAGCACCCCAACATCATCACCCTAAAAGACGTAAGTGCCTCTGTGTAGCAGCCTGTCCTCAGCTTTCTTCTTCAACTGACACAAAATCGCCTCTGTTTGCACCGTGCGAGTTTTCTCACATTGCCTGTGTTCAGCGTGCCCAGGATCACAGGCCTCAGACACTTCTCACCCAAGAGTTTTGGTGCTTCGGCAGCTGGTCACCCTAACTTGGGGGTGGGTGTGTATGCACCCTACATAGTTCCCCACTCTCCCCACATGCCATGCACAAGCATAAAATAGGAAAGACCTGTGTGCATCAGTGAGAGTGCTGTTCTTTGTCATGGGGTCATTCCTGCCTGACAGATGGACAGTGGCGTGAGGACAGCAGGTCCCACTCAACTCTGGCTGGAAGATGTTTACAGCCTCTTTTGGACTTTCCCTGATGAGGGGCACTGGAGCAGGAATCAGCCACATCAGGCCTGTCTGCAAGGCTGCTCTACCCCGTAAAGGCCTGAAGGGCAGGTATGGGTTTGAAAAGAGAGGAAATTTTCCCTCTTCTTGCCCTTACCTCTTGGAGTACAGTTATTTCCGTGACATACACCCACAGCCCATAGCTGCTGGGACTACCTCAATGTCCCTTTGGGCAACAGCTCACAGAGTAAGAGTTCAACCCCAGGGAACTTTGGCAATGAGTGTCTTGCATCCAAAAGCTTACATGGAGCCAGCTCTGCCCCTGGGGGTCTCAGACACTCACTGCACAAGCATAGTGCTCTGATTGTGCATTCTTGGTTTACATGTGAGATTCATGAACCAAAACCAGCTCTTCTGTGGACTCAGACCAGCCCTCTCTACTGTTTGACGTGAGCAGCCCAGGTGTGAGATGGCGTCATCTTCCCACCTTCAAAATAGAACGGTGAATTCATAAGCTCAGAAACACACACCATAATTAGCTCTACACCTATTACGCAGGTCAAAGTCGGGTAAATTATTTTAGGAGCTTGTTCTGGAAATTCATCAATTAAATGATTATCACTGAGCTAAGCATAAGGTTTCAGGTCTGTCACCCATTTTAACCTAGTTCTCATAGCTTGGGCACCCACGGGCTCCCATGCATATGGTGACTGGGGTGCATATGTGGTCATCTTCATCTATACAGGGCACAAAAATAGCCAGTTTGCATTCTGTTTTTTATTTTTTTAAACTGAGTTTAAAGCTAGTATTGGTGAAAGCTGTGTGTTTCTTAGAGCCAGGTCCCCTCCCCTCCAGACCTGCAGAGGCAGAGCATGCACTCTGACTTGACCTCCGAAGTTATATGCATGATGACAGTTGAGAAGCATTGTCCTTGCCGAATGCTGTTGCTGCTGTCACTTTTCCTTCTATGGTGCTCTGACCTCTCAGAGACTGGCAGGATAACTTTATGACCTAACTCAGCTAAGAAACTTTCCTCAAGCCCTGGGTCTCCCATGGCCCAGCTTGCTCATGCCCCAGAGTATCAAAGCTGTTTCCCTCCTAAGAAGATCCATTCCTGTATAGCTGGAATGGCTACTCACCATTTACAATAGCCAAACAACTTGATCTTGCTCCTAGGGACACAGCCCTCAGCTTCTCTCCTCCACCCCACTTGGAGCCCTTGCTCCTTCACATAGCCAGGGGCCTGAGGACGGCAGCCATGGTGACATACAGGTCCCTGAGGTTCTTGCACTTCCCCTTGACTTCCAGGTCTATGACGATGGCAAGTACGTATACCTGGTGATGGAGCTCATGCGAGGTGGGGAGCTGCTGGACCGCATCCTCCGTCAACGGTGCTTCTCAGAGCGTGAGGCCAGTGACGTGCTGTACACCATCGCCAGGACCATGGACTACCTGCACTCCCAAGGGGTAAGGCTGGGGTGCCATTGACTTGCCGGAACAGAAAATGACTCAGGTGGGGCTACCTATGCTCCCAGTGGCAAGGCCCAGGCCAGGGCAGTGCACCGGCTTCAGGGCAGCAGGCAACTTGACAGGAAGGTAGATGCAAGACTGTAGAGGAGTCACAGAGCTGTGGATGCAGGAGTGAGACATCTTATAAACTGACATCTTGCCTTTAGACAAGCAGGAGGGCAGAGTGCTTCCTGCACCCTCTTATTCCTTCAGCTCTGAACAACGTACCCAAGTGATGTAGTTTGCTGTGACCTGTCCTGCCACCCGTTGTGGGTCTGAAGTCATCTGTACACATGGTATACAGGAACTCAGTTAATAACTTTCTGTGAACCAGTCTTAGCAAAGAAAATTCGATGCTCTGTCCTTGATAAAGAGAGATTTAGAATTTTCCTGACTTGTGATACATAAAGCTAAACAAAGGGTAACAACTGGGGTTCCCTGAGCCTCAGACTAGACTGCACCAAGCTCCTCAGGGACTCACTTCTGAAGTCTGGACCATGCATTTTGTATGTCTTGACGATCAAGCACAGGTTGGTTAAGGCCAACCCCACCAAGACCACACTGCAGAGCTCCGGGCCACATTCTCTGTCTCCAGGAGGGAGCAGCCCAGCGTAATACATTTTCGGCATCTTTTCCTCCACCCTTCCTTTCTTCCTTCCCTCTACCCTGTGCCTCTGTCTTTCCCTCCATCCTTCCCCCACCCCACCCTTCGCCTCTACCCTTTCCTCTGGCCCTTCCCTCTCTCCTCAGAGTTTCTCGTAAAGCAGCTTTGGGCCAACTGTGTACACAGACCTGCCAGCCTGCACAGTTCTTCCAAGATCTCACAGTGGGTCCTTTTTGTGTGGCTTCCTCGTGGTGCAGGAGTTCCACACACAGTTTTCCCAGTAGCCAGATTCTGGAAGTATCCTGATGTGAGAGTTCACAGATATTCTTCTGTTTAGTGAGGGATGGAGACAGGAGTCTTCCAGTCTCCCATAGGCTGCCATCAGTGTCTATAAACCGGGCCCGAGTGCCTAGGTTTATCACTTCAGTCTTTGCAGAACCCCTCACTGCTCTGCAAAAGGACAGTCAGGATGTTCAGGTTCCAAACCTCATGAAGGCACACTACATGTCTGCACAAGGGCCTTCTGTCCCTTCAGAAGGCATCACTTTGTGTCCTGAATGGCTGCACTGTTTGGCGGTATTGCAGGCCCTTCTGTCCTGACAGCTGTCGCTGTTACTATGGCACATGCTTAGAGTCTGTGCCTTGAATGGTGCAGGTGCAGTCTCTGCAGCCCTGAGCCCCGCCCCTCACGGCCAGGAGTCAGCGTGCCTGTGACAGCAGGTGCATGGGTGCTTCTGGTACTGGTGACAAATGGCCCATGCACTGGCATGCCCCCAAAGCCCGCTGTGGGCCAATGTTCTCTGAGTGAACGAAAAGCAAGGGAACTTTTTCATTTCCGTAGCCAGAGCTGCCCGCCACAGGCCCTTCTGCTGCTCCTGCATCTCAGATAAACGTGCGTTCTATTCAGTCGTATAGTCCTCCTGTGTGAAGGCACTCTGTGTGGGTACTTGGCCCTGAGTGACCAGCATAGGTGATCGAGATAGGGTGGCTCCTCAGAAGAACACAATCCTTTTCTCTTGCCGTGAGACCTGCCCCAGTAGTCAGTTCCCAGGTAGCCTTTGCCTCCCGCTCACCCTCCTTTTCTCCCTCACTCAGTCTTGACAAATGCTTCCTGCCTTCCAGGTTGTTCATCGGGACCTGAAACCGAGTAACATCCTGTACATGGATGAGTCTGGAAACCCCGAATCTATCCGCATCTGTGACTTTGGGTTTGCCAAGCAGCTGCGAGCAGAGAATGGCCTGCTGATGACGCCCTGCTACACGGCGAACTTTGTGGCCCCCGAGGTAGAGTCCCCAGACCCAGGAGAGCTGGAGATGTCCGGCTGAGGGAAGCACACTGCCTTTCCTGTTACCAGGGTAACTGGAGAGCTTGGGGCATTGAGGCAGCACAATGGGCTCAGTGGAGTCCTCGAGACAGGAAGGAGAGCCTGCTGTGGAGGGAGGAGAGAGCATGGTTGCTCCGCAATCAGCCAGTATTACTCAGTCACCGTGAGCATTTTATTTTCCATTGGAAAAACTTAAATGGTGCTGATGCCCCGTGGTTCTTGCTCTAGTGTTTCCTTGACAACAAGTCAGCATCCATCCGACTTGAATATTGGGGGCCCACAGCAGTGTGCACCCAAATGCTCACATGTGTGCAAGGGAACCGCTCTGCTCCGTCCCCCTTGCCGGCTTCCTGAGGCCAATTCCAATAGGTTCTGCTGCCACTGATGTTTGTGGTGATGAGTCTGGATTCTTGCATGAGTTGATAGTAAAGTGGGGTCACAGTGGTAGCAGCAGGGGCTGGTGTTGCTGATGGAGTCAGGGGAGGCTCAGGCCCCGTGCTGGGCCTCCTGAGCAGGACTGTCAGACCTGCCGCGAGTCCTAAGAAGAAGACACTGCTGTGTGCTTCCTGAGTGGCTCGGGCAGATCCAGGTCTAAGAGGGACTGAGCAGCGCTATCAGGTTATCCAGGGGTTGTCCAGGCATGTGACGAGCCTTGGCCCCTTTGGAAACAGCTGGTTTAAAGCTCCGATTGTGCCTCATGTGGCTGTTATTAATACTGACAGAGTGCAAACAAGTAGCCACGTTTCCTAACTGAGGAAAGATAAGCAAAGTCAGTATTTCAATGACTCGGGAGGTCACTCAGCCCGTGGCTCGGAGTTGCAGTTCACTCGGCATTTAATACCTGTCTTGCGCCATGGCCCATGATGTCAGGAAGGCAGTGATGAAAGGTAGGCCCCTCGCTCTCACCTGGGAAGAAACTGAAGGGCGTTCTAAGGCTTCATTCAGGCCATCACGGCAGTCTGCAGTGACCCATGAGCATCTTCACTGCCATCAAGTCTGAACATACCCAACAATAACACCGTGTACGACGTGACGATTCATCGGAATTCCACCCCCTTAGTCCTCCTCCGTAACCTTTAGCTGAAACACGGGGCACAGTGCACACACCTGTAGTCCACTGGGGCTCTTCGGGAGGCTGAGGCAAGAAGGGCGCTTGAGCTCAGGGACTGGAGGCCAGCCTAGGTGATACGGGCACAGTGGCACACCCAGTGCTGGGGAGGTGGAGACAGAAGGACACAGTCAAGGTCATTCCTGCCTAGGCTGCTAGCTCCAGGACAACACTGTGTGGTTCTACTTATATGACGTTCCTCGAAAGGTCAGATTCATAAAGAAAGTAGAATGGGGTTGCCAGGGACTGGGTTGGCCAGTGGGGAATTTGTACTTAATAAGGACAGAGTTTTAGTTTGGGACAATGGGGTTCTGGAGGATAGCTGTCCCACACTGTGACTGTGCATTGAATGACATTCCTAATCTGGTAAGCAAAACTCTGCCCTAACACCATTCTTGTCAGGCCAGTGCCATGCCCCGCCCCTCTCTGCAGGGGCCGTGCTACAACATGGTAGGCTACAACATGACCCAGCAGATGATGCCACCCTGCCGGCTTCCTGTTTGCTTAGGAAAATCTCTGGAATGGTGCTGCGCAGTGCAATCCTGACCATGTCTGTTGCCCCTCCAGGTCCTGAAGCGGCAAGGCTACGATGCAGCGTGTGATGTCTGGAGCTTGGGAATCCTGCTGTACACCATGCTGGCTGGGTAAAGGAGGGCCCCCAGGGGTGTTATGTTAGCATCAGGCCCGAGGGCTTCACCCCTCCTCGATGGTCCTTGTGTGTAAACAAGGCCAACCCGTCTGGGTTAGGGTGACTATTCAAACTCTGAAGGATAAGGAAAGGACAAGGACAGTCAGCTATGTGGTCTCTGTAAACTCAGCCCATAAACAAAACATGCCTTCTGCAGGCCAGCCCACATTCTCCACTACCTGAACCATTCTCTTGAAAGGAACACTAGGAGAGCCCCATGTTCCCCTTCTTGGGAGGTGTGTGCTAATGATGTGTGTGTGACTTATGTCAGGGTGGTGGACCAGGACTACACCTGACATGCATGATGTGTCCTTTAAGTTCAAGAATCACTCTGCCCAAGAGCCCAGACTTGGTGGTAGACCACCCCATAGGTCCCTCAGACTTCACACCTCAGGTTCCCGGCCACTGAACCACTCTGCCATCATGGAAACCAAATCTCCAGGCAGACTCCCAACCATCCCGGCACCACTGAGACATGAAAGGGCCCAGAAAGTATGCACACCAGGGTTGAAAGGCCTTCCCCGCCCATCTTGTTGACTTCCAGCGCGCCAAGTGAGGAAGGCGGCATGGTACTGGACATGCACCGTTCCTTAGCGTGAGCCCTGGACTCAGAAGAGAAGAGGCAGCCCTGTTCCCTCAGCAGACAGCACTCTGTGGAGCTGTCAGCTAAGGGCCATCGACCCTCTCGTACACAGGTTCACCCCTTTTGCCAATGGACCAGATGACACCCCTGAGGAGATTCTGGCGAGGATTGGCAGTGGGAAGTACGCCCTTTCTGGGGGAAACTGGGACTCCATATCTGACGCAGCCAAAGTGAGTGTGTTTCCCAGTGTCCTTGCCTCCAGTCACGGAGACTCTGCAGCAGGCATACTGCTGGTGAGGAAGCTGGAGATGCCACCCATACAAACGTTATAGACTTTTACTCAAGAGTGTTTCACAGTTTTTAATTTAAAAAAAAAAATGACCTTCTTCATGACGTTAATGTGGTAAAGTTCTGCAGAGAAACAGCCAATAGGAAATGTAGGCGAGCATCTCGAGAGGATCAGAGGGGAGCGGCGTTTAGGGAACTGGCTGCTGTGACCAGGGCCACAAGCCTGAAGTTTACAGAGTGACTGGCAGCCAGGGACCCTGCGAAGGAAGAGATACTGCAGGTTGACCTCAGGCCTCTATTGCTAAATTTCCTCCTCTATAGAGATGTTCCCGGATGACCGCCCTAAAGGTCTGAGGCAGACTCGCACTGGTTTAAAGTCACTGAATTTGGGTGTGCCTGTGTGCACACTTTGGTCACCAGCATCGCCCTCCTGCCGTCAGACTCCGGTCTTCTCTGGTGGACATCATCAAATCCTGTCTAGTGAAACAATACACTGTTGGGCTGAGGGTGTAGGTCAGTGGTCACGGCCCTGGTGTTTGCAAGGTGCTAGACTCTCCAGTACCGGAAAAAGTACACCACAGTCTGACCACTAGCAAGCTGTGCCAGGAACCTTTCTTCTGTGATACTGTAGAAGTTCTGAAGAGAGAGAAGGGCTCTGGGCCAAGAGCTGCCATCACCAAAGCTTTGTGGCTTCAGGCAGGGGTTGGCGCCATGGTGCGGAAGGTGGAGGTGATGGCGAAGGGGTGATACTGTAGAAAATGGTAGAGGTGACAGCTGGGGTGATGGGCTGGAAGGGGTTGTCAGTCTGGGGAGATGTTCTGTAGGTAGAAGTGCTAGTCTGAATACCCAACATCCAAAAGCAAAAGGTAAATGTAGCCGCCACGGTGAGCCTTAACCTCAGGGCTTGGCGAGGAGGCTCACCGGCATTTGCTGGCTGCCAGCCTGCTTCCAGGTTCAGTGAGAGATGCTGTTTAGAGAAATAAGGCAGAGCAGGGTGAAGCAGGACACCTAACACCCTCCTCTGTCCTCTGTACACATGCATACAGGTGTGTGTACATGCCACACACCACACCGGCACACATCACACACACACACACACCACACAGACATAGACACACACACACACACACCACAGACCACACATCACACACACACACAGACCACACATCACACAGACATAGACACACACACACACACACACACACACACACACACACACCACACAGACATAGACACACACACACACACACACCACACAACCACATGCACGTACGCACACATGCATGTCACATGTATACAGACCACCTACACACAAAAAGAAAAGGAGTAATAGCTATGGTGTAATAGCAGAGGTGGTGGCTGAGGTGACAGTGTAGGAGTTGACTGCTGAGACGATAGTGGGGGATGGTAAAGAATATGGGTGTGAAGGGAATGATGGGGTATGGTGGGGGTGATGGCAGAGGTGATGATGGGGTAGAGTGGAGGTCCTGGTGGATTTGATGATGGGGTAGAGTGGAGGTCCTGGTGGAGGTGATGGTGGGGTAGAGTGGAGGTCCTGGTGGAGGTGATGATGGGGTAGAGTGGAGGTCCTGGTGGATTTGATGATGGGGTAGAGTGGAGGTCCTGGTGGAGGTGATGGTGGGGTAGAGTGGAGGTCCTGGTGGAGGTGATGATGGGGTAGAGTGGAGGTCCTGGTGGAGGTGATGATGGGGTAGAGTGGAGGTCCTGGTGGATTTGATGATGGGGTAGAGTGGAGGTCCTGGTGGAGGTGATGATGGGGTAGAGTGGAGGTCCTGGTGGATTTGATGATGGGGTAGAGTGGAGGTCCTGGTGGAGGTGATGATGGGGTAGAGTGGAGGTCCTGGTGGAGGTGATGGTGGAATAGAGTGGAGGTCCTGGTGGAGGCGATGATGGGGTAGAGTGGAGGTCCTGGTGGATTTGATGATGGGGTAGAGTGGAGGTCCTGGTGGAGGTGATGATGGGGTAGAGTGGAGGTCCTGGTGGAGGTGATGATGGGGTAGAGTGGAGGTCCTGGTGGAGGTGATGATAGGGTAGAGTGGAGGTCCTGGTGGAGGTGATGGTGGGGTAGAGTGGAGGTCCTGGTGGAGGTGATGATGGGGTAGAGTGGAGGTCCTGGTGGATTTGATGATGGGGTAGAGTGGAGGTCCTGGTGGAGGTGATGATGGGGTAGAGTGGAGGTCCTGGTGGAGGTGATGATGGGGTAGAGTGGAGGTCCTGGTGGATTTGATGATGGGGTAGAGTGGAGGTCCTGGTGGAGGTGATGGTGGGATAGAGTGGAGGTCCTGGTGGAGGTGATGATGGGGTAGAGTGGAGGTCCTGGTGGAGGTGATGATGGGGTAGAGTGGAGGTCCTGGTGGATTTGATGGTGGGGTAGAGTGGAGGTCCTGGTGGAGGTGATGATGGGATAGAGTGGAGGTCCTGGTGGAGGTGATGATGGGGTAGAGTGGAGGTCCTGGTGGAGGTGATGATGGGGTAGAGTGGAGGTCCTGGTGGAGGTGATGATGGGGTAGAGTGGAGGTCCTGGTGGATTTGATGATGGGGTAGAGTGGAGGTGATGGTGGAGGTGATGATGGGGTAGAGTGGAGGTCCTGGTGGAGGTGATGGTGGAATAGAGTGGAGGTCCTGGTGGAGGTGATGATGGGGTAGAGTGGAGGTCCTGGTGGAGGTGATGGTGGGATAGAGTGGAGGTCCTGGTGGAGGTGATGATGGGGTAGAGTGGAGGTCCTGGTGGAGGTGATGATGGGGTAGAGTGGAGGTCCTGGTGGATTTGATGATGGGGTAGAGTGGAGGTCCTGGTGGAGGTGATGATGGGGTAGAGTGGAGGTCCTGGTGGAGGTGATGATGGGGTAGAGTGGAGGTCCTGGTGGAGGTGATGATGGGATAGAGTGGAGGTCCTGGTGGAGGTGATGGTGGGGTAGAGTGGAGGTCCTGGTGGAGGTGATGGTGGAATAGAGTGGAGGTCCTGGTGGAGGTGATGGTGGGGTAGAGTGGAGGTCCTGGTGGAGGTGATGGTGGGGTAGAGTGGAGGTCCTGGTGGAGGTGATGATGGGGTAGAGTGGAGGTCCTGGTGGAGGTGATGGTGGGGTAGAGTGGAGGTCCTGGTGGAGGTGATGGTGGGGTAGAGTGGAGGTCCTGGTGGAGGTGATGGTGGGGTAGAGTGGAGGTCCTGGTGGAGGTGATGGTGGGGTAGAGTGGAGGTCCTGGTGGAGGTGATGGTGGGGTAGAGTGGAGGTCCTGGTGGAGGTGATGATGGGGTAGAGTGGAGGTCCTGGTGGAGGTGATGGTGGGGTAGAGTGGAGGTCCTGGTGGAGGCGATGATGGACGGAGAGTGGACTCCAGCCCTCCAGCTGCTCCTCCCGCACACCCCCCTTGTCTCAGGTGGCACAGGATTGTCTCAGCTTGGCTTCCCAAAGCCAGGCCTCACACCAGGATTCGGTTCTGGAGCCGTGTCCCAGAGTAGAGAGAGGGAGAGACCGCTGCTGCGGAGGGGCCTTGGCGGCCTGCTGACCTCCTTGGTTCTCCTCACCCCAGCCTCTCCCTTCGCTGTGCCCTCCCCCCTCCTCTCCTCCCCCATCATCCTCCATCCTTCCGTCCTCACCCTCACACAGAGCTGTGGTGGTGTCTTGGGGTTTTTGTGAGTTGTCGTTGTCCGGTGTGGGGTTGTTTAGTGTCACTGGGAATCAAACCCAGGGCCTTGTGCATGCCGGGTGTGTTAGTTGTTATCACTGTGACCAGGGCGCCTGCCATCACCACCTTCAAGGAGGAAGGCTTTACTTTGGTTTTGGAGGGCTCGGCCTATGGTCGTTTGACCCCAGGTGCTTAGTCAGCACTCATGGCAACAGGAACAGGAAATGCTTAGTCAGCACATATAACAACAGGAACAGGAAGTGCTTAGTCAGCACTCATGGCAACAGGAATGGGAAGTGCTTAGTCAGCACTCATGGCAACAGGAACAGGAAGTGCTTAGTCAGCACTCATGGCAACAGGAATGGGAAGTGCTTAGTCAGCACTCAGTAACAGGAACAGGAAATGCTTAGTCAGCACATATAACAACAGGAACAGGAGGGGCTTAGTCAGCACTCATGGCAACAGGAACAGGAAATGCTTAGTCAGCACTCATGGCAACAGGAACAGGAGGGGCTTAGTCAGCACTCATGGCGACGGGAACAGGTGGCAGGGGATAGCTGTTCACCTCATGCCTGACAGAAGGCAGAGAGGAGAGACAGAAGAAGCTGGCAACAAGACACCCCTAACCCCCTGCTCCTAGTGACTCCTCCCCCAGATGCCACCACCTCCTCAGGTTTCTAGAGGCTCCCAGCACGGCAGTGACACCTGGGGACCCAGGCTTTACACAGGAGCCTGTGGGCAACAGTTCTGTTTCAAACCATGCCTGGTGAGTGCTCAGCCACCGAGTGCCCCCGCCTGGCCCTGATAGCGTCTTCATGGACGTCTTGTGTGTGCTGGGACACCCTGTCACAGCTGTGAGACCTTGAGAAAACAGTGTCTTTTTTGCTTCCTGTTCACACGTGAGACCAGGAGCAGCTGGACTTCCAGGACAGACCAACGCGTCACTGAGGTCACTGCTGACAGATGCCGAGAGGCGTTAGGTTTCTCCGTAGAGGGACATTGCTCCACTGCATGGTGTTTCTTGTGTGTGTAGAAGGCAACCGTTTTTATTGAAATAGTATTTCAGCAGCTTATTTTTGCCATTTAATGTTCAAAACACCTTTGCTATAAAATCTTCAATGAAACACAAACTTTCTGTCTACTGCTAAGTCAGTAATCATTGACATTTAAAATACATTCACGGACTTATAAACCCAAAATGCAAAGAATCACCTCAAAATTACAGTTGTGTTCTACTGGGCATTCCCATGACACTACAGTCCTTCTCCCCTCTGAACCCTTGGCAGGATGTCGTGTCCAAGATGCTTCACGTGGACCCGCAGCAGCGCCTAACAGCAGTTCAAGTGTTGAAACACCCATGGATTGTGAACAGAGAGTACCTATCCCAAAGCCAGCTGAGCAGACAAGACGTCCATCTAGTAAAGGTACCTAACGGCCAGAGTCCTGATAGTTGGCGTGGGAATCCTGGAGCAAGGCCCAATAGTGCCTCACCGTTGGTGAGAAGAAACTGTAGCATGTGAAGTCATCAGTTATAGGTACACAGGCGCCACTTCAGCGCACGTACAGAAAGTGTGTTTGAATGGCAGCCTTGATGTAGGGGTGGTGTTGGGTAGCATGGCTGTACCGCCCTATATCCAGAGCCCCCGTTTCTGGACCAGAAGTCTGTCAAAGTCCCCCTCACGCTAGCAACCCCTGTCAGGCAGGGCTGCAGTCCAGGCAGTACCACCCTTCTAAGAAGTGCGTGTAGTCCCAGCCCAGTCCCGTTAGAAGTCCATCCTGGATCTTTCTCGGTGGTATGGGGCTGCACCAAGATGAGCCCAGCTGCCCAAGTTAGTCCAGACCGCTTCAGAGTGGCGGAACCTCAGGAACATTGGGCATGAATCCTGGGGACCCAACTGCCCCCAAGCACATCTGCCTTCGTCAGCAATAAGATGGCATGACCTTCCCAGGAACTCCACTCCAGTCTCAAATACTCCTAAGGCACAAGCCCCAACTGAGCCTGGGATGTCATGATGGTAGCCATCATTTGTGGACTGATTATATTGTGGGCACGGCAGTCTGCCTGCTACCCTCAGTGCCCCAGTAATTCTGGAGGAAGGTCTTCACTGCTTTGCAGGGGTGTAAACTGAGGCTCTCAAGATCCTGTGGCTCCAGCTTCCCATTCAGGAATAGATGAGCACCATGCTCACCTCCCCTTCCTTCCTCTCACAGGGTGCCATGGCAGCCACCTACTTCGCTCTGAACAGGACCCCACAGGCACCAAGGCTGGAGCCTGTGCTATCGTCTAGCTTGGCCCAACGCAGAGGGATGAAGAGACTCACATCTACCAGGTTGTAGTGGCCAGCCAAGCCTGCCCTCCAGCCTCAGCCTCCCTGCCCAACATCCTCTCAGGCCCCCAGACACTAGATGCAGGTCCTGTTCATGGGCACTTGAGTGCCCACGAGTCCAGCACAAAAATGGCTCTGGCCTTGGCTGCCTCTGTTTCCTTTGCAGCCCTGGAGAGGGTCCTGCCCAGGATGTCTGAGCCTTGCTGCGCCGACCTCGCTGCCCGCTCTCCTTTTCTCCTGAGTGAAACCAAATGAACCTGTCACCTCATAGCACCCTGCTGGAGCCTGCCTGGGCTCGCTCAGGGCTCTAGGTCTTTTCATACCATGGCTTATGTTCAAAGCAGAGCACTTTTACCATTCTGAAGTCAGTTAAGTGGTCAGCCTCTCACAAAGGCGTTCTACCGTCACATTAAGAGTGTCAGTTCAGGGTCCCTGCCAGGGGACCGCAGAACCGCTCTGGAAGAGCAGGATGCTCCTGGATGTTCTGATCTAACCAGTGACTGTGGGATGGCATCCAGCTTAAATGCCCGGTCTGTCCAAACTCACCCAAAGAGTGTCCCTCTCCATCCTCTGGTTCACAAATGAGATGCTGGTGGCCTCTCCCTGACTCTGTCACTGACTCGTCGGGATGAAAGCTCCCAGCCCAAGAGTCAAGATGGCCGAGTCTGTTTGAGAGCCTGATTCATGGTGGTTGAGAGAAGAGCCCCAGGAAGCTGCCAGGCAGAGCCAGCACCTGCTATGTGTACTGCTGCACTCTAGCGCTCTGGCCCTGAGGACCCTGGAGAGTGTGGGGCTCCGCCATGGCCGCTTACGCTGGCGGCTCTGCATGCGTTTCCTGAGGAGGTGGTGGTGTGTTCACTCTCGGCTTTCCTGGTGCACAGAGAAACTGAAGAAATGGAACTTCATTTCTTCCCCCGGCTCTTCCTTAGCCCGGCTGAGGACAGGAGAGACACCTGAGACCCTTGGCCTCGGGGAGGCAAGAGGCGCCAGGACAGGCCGTCGACAGGAGTGATGCACTTCGTGGAAGCCATGGTTCTGTGTTGCATTTTGTGTTTCTGTTGTGTAGACCTGTCTCAAAATCACACCTCACCAACAGTGTTTTCAGGGTGTGGTCTGTGTGGGGAGCAGTGGTGACATGGAGCGGGCTGTCTGTGCACTCTTTGTGCAGAATAATAGAGTGAGACCCTTTCTGCATGGCATGCTCCACTCAGCCTGACCCTGGAAGAGGCACTTGTGTGTCCTCCGCTCTCTCTGGGGGATGGGGTGTGCCAAGGATACCCCCATAGTGGGCTCAGATCAGGGGACACTCCACTGTGGCTCAGAAACTGCCAGTCCGAGGGGCAGCCCTTCTGCCCGGGAGGTGTAGGAACACCTGTTGGTCCCAGCAAGCTTGCACTGGGCCGTAGCCCCTCTGTACCTCACTTAGCTCTAGGACCCAGCACCTGCCCCCAGTGGAACATACGGAACGTAATTCCTTTTCTCGGTCTAATTATTTCAGACCTCAAAATGTAAACTGATTTCACAAGCTTGAATTGTTCCACTGGACGCTGTTTTGTTGGAGAATTATAAAATACAAAGAATGGGAACAGACTGTGACTGTGTGCCGTTTTCACAGTGTCCCGAGGGAAGGTCTCGTATTTTCTCAATGGAAAATGCCCTGCCCAATGCACTTCCCTAATTTTTGAGGTCTGGGTCCTTCCATTTCTTTTTTTTTTTTTTTTTTGGTTTTTCGAGACAGGGTTTCTCTGTGTAGCTTTGCGCCTTTCCTGGAACTCACTTGGTAGCCCAGGCTGGCCTCGAACTCACAGAGATCCGCCTGGCTCTGCCTCCCGAGTGCTGGGATTAAAGGCGTGTGCCACCACTGCCCAGCCTCATTTCTTGATCTAAATCTAGAGGAAAAGAATAGTGGGTAGTCTCAATGACAGACTCTGTCCTCTTAGAAATGAACAGAACCCCCAGAATCCTCTGAGGGCCCTTCTGGCACAGATCATATGCCAGATGCCAACAGCCCTTGGACTGGGTTTGTTTGCAGCTTCAAATCTATGAGCTTCAATGAAAAGAAAGAACAGGAGAACACAGAAGCATCCCCATTGGTCACATGGCCTCATCACCTCTTTTTGGTAATGTCAGCTTATCTGCCTTACACTCTCAAAAATGGGGTGGCGGAGGCCATCATACCAAACTATTTTTGAAGTGTCTGTGAAGCATGTCACATGTCTGTAGAGAATGCTGGTTCAGCCCTGCTCTGTTGAGAGTGAAATACCTCGACATTCCCACCCTCACCCAGTACATGATACTTGAAATCTTCGGTAGTCAGCATGTGGCAGGATTATTTTAATCCCTGTTCTTTAAAGTGCAGCAGCAGGCGGCTGTGGCATGTAACCCCAGCGTCCTGAGCGTTTCCCTTGCCTCTCCAGTGAACCCTTACCCAACGAGATGAAAGGTCCTCTGTTCTCTACACGAGTGACTGAGGCTCCCCCGCAGCCCATTCTCACCACCTGTTTGGGTTTTAGAAGCTACAGAATTTGTCCTGGGAAACCCCAGCCTACATCCCAGGCCTCCCATACCCATACCCAGTGGTCACTTTTGGCAGCTCCTGTCCTGATTGGGATGAGAACATGATGAGTGCCCCACGGAAGAGGAGTGGGGGGCTTGTCAGATTCTACCCCGAAATCAATGGCGGGTAAGCCGTGAGCATCCGCTGTCCTACAGTCGTGTGATTTTAAACTCCCCGTGTGCCCTGATTTGGGGATATTGTTTGGCTTTTTAAGTGAGGATAGCTATCTAATGTTGGCAGTATTGTTTGTAAATGGTGTTCTTCCTTAAGATGCCCTTTGGGATTTTCCCTGCGTTGTACTGATTCTCTCAAGCACAGGAGATACATGCTGTGACTCTTCATTCTCTCTGGCGTGTTTTGCCACCCTTCACCACCTGCAAGACTGTGAGACCCCTGGAGTGGAAAGGACTCTGTGGTCCCTGTGTGGCCGGGAAAGGTGGAAGGCGAAGCCAGCATGGCTCATCCGTGCAGGTGACACACACCTGTCCACCCTGCCCCCATGGCGCACTGCATTTACATGCTCAGCAGTTACGTTTACAATTCACTCCATGTTCACACTTTCTGTCTGTGTTTGGGACGGGCGGCCACTGTACAGATATTTATTATGCTTTCCAGACTTTCCCATGAGATTTTTTGAATAAACATGGATTTTATGAAGTGTAATATTTTTCTGGAATAACAAGAACCTTTGCACTTTCTATGTTGCTACTAATAACAGTTCAGGGACCCACCCCTCGTTCCTCCGTCTCTTCCACAGACTCCAGGTCGCCGTGAACCTCTGCTGCCACTGAACCTCATGGGGAGGTGGTACAGAAGTCTATCCCTTCCCCTAAGAGTCTTGCATATTTATGTGTGTGCACCTGCATTGGGAAGTTGGAGTAGCATGCATGTATCCACTTGAGAGCCCTGTGTGTACATGTCTGTGTGCATTTGTATATGTACACCTCATGGGGAAGTGGGTCAGAATACCATCTACTACACTTTCAGAATTGTGAGTGTGTGTGTGTGTGTGTGTGTGTGTGTGTGTGTGTGTGTGTGTGTGAGAGAGAGAGAGACATGAACGTCTAAGAATATGTGCATACATTGGAGCATTATGTACATATATGTTTGTGCATGTGTAGAGAGGTATGAATTGGAGGCATATTTGCATAAGTGCAAGTGAGTGTGCATGTATATTCAGGTGTGCTAGCACATTTATATACATATGCATTTAAATGTGTGTAATCTGAGTGTGTGAGATGTGCTTTCCTATGTTGAGCTGGGAGCAGTGAGGAGTTAAAGCAGATGACCAAGAGTTGCTTTGTCACCTGACCTCATAGGTCCTTCCTCCCTTTCTTAAATTAGGTGTAAAATGACCCTACGCTGTTGGTCTTTGACTCTTCAGCCTAACTCCGTGTTTGGTAAATTCCCAAGCAGTTTGTGTCAATGGCAGCACGTGAATGCCCCCTGCTCACCCCCCTGCTCACCCCCCTGCACTGTGTCCTGCATGTACCATACAGACTCGGGTGTCTGCTTGGCCAGGATAAAAGCCCATGTGCCAGGCCGCCCCACTGCAGAGCAGATCCTCCTGACCCTGTTGGAGCTCTGAGCAGGCAGGAGCACCAGGGTCCACTGAAGGGATTTCAGGCCCACAATAGAGGCACAAGAACCAGCCGCTGCCCCTCAGGGTGTGCTCACAAGATACCATGAAAGATGTGAAAAGAGCATCTGGTCCCCTAGTCCAGTCTGCACCGTACCTCCTCTTTGTCTCCCAACCTGCCATATAGATGGGTTCTAGTGATGTTGATGTTGACAGGGGCAGTCCTTGCTGAGTCCCACTGAGTCTGGGTCTGCTTCCAGTCCTGTGCCTCTGTGTTTTCTTGGTTGGAGGAATCAGGAATGTGAAGAACTGCAGTTTTTTCGGCCTTTGCCTCACTTGCAAGCCACCAAGTGAGCCTGCCAGTCCTGACGATGCTAACAAAGTCCCAGAACCCCCCAGGAAGAGACCACACAGCTAACAGTGTGAACCCCCTATGCTCAGCAGCCCTGAGGGTCCTAAGCCTTATGGGGTGATTGAGACTAGCCAGGTGGACCTAAGTCATAGCTAGGGATTTCTAGCTCAGGAAACATCAATCCTTCAAGAAGGGCTGTAAGCAAACCCACCCATAATTACCACCAAAGTGAGCCGTATCTGTAAAAACACTGGACGGAGAACTCACCTGCCCTTGCCTAGAGAGAGACAAGTCAATGCCCCACACTGTCCACTCCACAGATGGCCCTGGAGAGTTAGCCAAGAACCGAAATAGCTGTGACAGCAAAGTGCAAGAGGCCCAGAGACTTGTACACACACACACACACACACACACACACACACACACACACACACACACACAGCAAGCGGCTCTGGAAATCCCAAATGCTGAGTGTCCTCTGAGGATCTGTGAGCCTGGGAGAACGCGGGGCGTGTGCTGGGATGTTACTGTATCTTGTGCTATTTTTGTCAAGACAACTGCCCTCCTGAGCTCAGCTGCATCTAAGCAGCATCTGTCTCCAAAGGATCGCAAATGGCCCTCTGCATACTTGGCTCTGGAGATCATTTTTTGCAAAGGTCAGGCAATTGTCTGCCCTAAAAAGGGTCCACAGGGCATCATCAGCTCTGTTGGAAGTAAGTCTCAGAGTGGCCCACCTTACTCTGGGATTCATGAGTCACCTGAATTCAGGAACCAGGGATTCTAGTAGTTCAGGCCATGACCTTCCAGGTAGGATGAATAAATCTCACCTGCAAAGCAGACCAGACAACACTTGGCAGCCACAGCCAGAGACCCGCACTGGGAGAGGCTCTTCCGGGTCACATGATGCAAAAGTCACCTGACCTGAGAGCGCTGTCTGCTCGGTCATAAATGTGGTCCTAACTCTCAAGAAATAGGTGCCTGTTAGCCTGCAGAGGAAGAAACAATAACAGGTAAAATGCAGAGCATGTACTGGGCAGCTGAGGATCCAGAGCACAAACCAGGTCCTGGCCCTGCTCTTTCAACAACCAACTGACTCATCACCTTTATCCTCCTATCTACTCGACCCCTTCATGGCTAGAAACCAGGACCTAAAACAAAAATAAGGGAGCCGAGCACAGTGGCACCCGCCTGTGGTCCCAGCAACTGTGAGCCTGAGGCAGGAGGATCACCTCAAGAGTTGGAGGCCAGCCTGGGCAACACAACAAGGCCTTACCTCAAGATAGAACTGCAAAAATATAGAACTAAAAAAATACATATGACATCTGTCCAGTGTGGATGTCTGTCACTCTGCTCTGGTGGGAAAAGATGTCAGATAAACAGACCAGGCAGAAATCATCTTCCATAAGTTCTTTTCATGCCACATAAGCTTAGACAAGGGTCGCCTCATCACAGCACCAGGTTCAGCTCGGCCATATTGTCAGCTGGGAATGGGTCGCATCTGTCACACCACCTGGTCCTCCTGTGTTCTGCCCCAGAGTGTGGGGTTGCTGGTAGAGTTGGAAACCCTGGCCTTGGCTGACTGGACAAATCCCACAGGCTGCCACACTCCATGTTAGTGTTTAAAACTCAGGACCTAGAAACCAGGTCCAGCAGGATTTGCTTTTCAGTCCTGAATTTCAACTGTAAAGGTAAGTGTGTCCTCAGAAGAAAAGAATGTTTACATTCACTCAGTTGAGATCAAAATTGGACTCCTCACCCAAATCTAAAAATGTTTGAACTGTACTGATGATATAACTCTAGCCCAGTTTGAGGACATTGCCGCTGAAATCTAGAAAACCTCCCAAGAATCCCAAAGCCATAAAGTCCTTGGTACCAGACAGGAACACTCACCGGGTATTCACCAGGTTTGATCTCTGACCTCTCAGGAACCATGCCGGCAGTGCTGGGCTTGGTGATGTGTGCCTGCAGAGGACCTTGCCTTTCAAGTCAGCCTGGGCTACACAGTGAGAGTTTGTCTCAAAAAGAAGAAACGATGATAAGACATTACATTTTGTCCTCAGAACAGCCCCAGCCCCCAAACACAAATCGTCCGTAAACCCATTTTCAAACAGAACTTCCCCTGGTTGCCACATGGAACAGGGACAAAGCTAACTTCACATGGGTGGGTCTCCCCTGGCCATATCGGAGCCTCAACTGCTGCTGTTCACCATAGGTGTGGCTGGAGGTCAGGACAGGCTGCCCAAATCAGGCCGCTTGGCTTCTGAGAAATCAGCATCAGGAAGGCACCTCCTACCCCACCCCATCCCCTAATTCAGGGCATGACTCACTCCATGTGCCCCTCCCTGTTCCAGGAAAATGGGGGACCTTATCCCCAAGGAGATCTCTTTCTTGGAACTCAGCAACCATGCCTTGTGCAAGTTCTATCTGTTTGCAGTTGTTACAATCTGACACTAGAGGGCGGTAAGTCCACGACCGCAACACTTGCCTGCTCTGACCTGCAGGTAATTAGAGCCTTCCCAGCCTGTTCCCTTTGATAGCTCTCTCAGAAGAAGGGCCCTGCACCAAAGACGGCCCCCAGGGGGCACTGCAGGCCGCATTTGCCTCTGGTTCCTTCTATAGCCTGGACAGGCAACCGCTGGTCCTGGGTTCTGAGCTGAACACGGAGTCTGTGCTCTGATGGTCCATACTGGGAGAAGCTGAGAATCATAAATCCACCATAGACCTGCACAGGTGAAGGTGTTGAGATGATCAGAGTGTGGTTGGCTTGGTAGAAACCCAGTTAACACTGGTTATTCTTCATTAGGAGGTTTAGCTGCCTCCTTTAAAATGCCTGCTTCACAGGTACTTTAGGGAGGTTTGGGAGGAGGCTTGTTTCTTGGTTTTGTGGTTGTCTTTCACTATATAGGCTGACCTTGAACTTCTGATTCTTGTGTCTCCACCTAAAGGTAGATGTTATTCTAGAAGTTAATGCTTCTCCTTAATGAGTTTTCAATGATAACCTAAGGCTATTTGGTGATTGATTCTGTCTTTCAGGACTCTTCCAGACTATTCCACTTATTTTTGTATGGTGGGCTTTACATTTGCACCCCATTGAAAAAGAGACCAGAGGGGTTGCATCCAGACAACAGAAAGAGGCTTGAAGACACCTCAGGAATCAACAAGAATCCACCCATCAGATGCAAGGAGGAGGGGTAATATATAGGAAGGTGGTAGAGGGAGGGCTGTTTGAATGGACCACCCAGGGGAATTGTCTCTCTGGGATTCATTTCTGCTGCGGTCATCTGTCCGAGAACCCAAAGCCACGGTAGCTAAGATCTCCCAGGCTCAGGCAGCGCAGTTTGCATCCATGGCAGCAAACTGACATCATCCATGCATTGCTGGTTTGCAGCCAAAGACACTATAAGATATCGGGGTGTGGTGGTTTGAATAAGAGTGGCCTCCATTGGCTCATATATTTGGATGCTTAGTCATGAGGGAGTGGAACTCTTTGACACGCTTAGAAGCATAGACAGGTGTTAGAGGAAGTGTGTCACTGGGGGTGGGCTTTGAGGTTTTGAAAACTCATGCCTGGTCCAGTGTCTCTCTCTACCTGCTGCCTGTGGGTCAGGATGTAGCTCTCAACTACTTCTCCTGCGCCATACCTGCCACCATACTCCCTGCCATGATGATAATGAGCTAAGCCTCTGAAACTGTAAGCCAGCACCCAACTAAATGTTTCCTTTACAATAGCTGCCTTGGTCGTGGTGTCTCTCCACAGCAGTAGAACAGTGACTAAGACATGGGGTCATGGGTGTAGAGATATAGCAATGTCAACAAGGAACTTGTCACGTAGGCATGAGGACCCGAGTTTGGATCCCCAGCACTCCTGTAAAAATAATAATCCAGGCATGGTGGGGTATGCCTATAGTCACAGGATGAGGGAAGGGAGGCAGGAAGATTCTGGAACTCATTGTCTAGCTAGTCTTACCTCTTCAGTGAGCACAGGCTTAGTGAGAGACCCTTTATCAAAAACTAATGGAGGAGTGATCAAGGAAGACACCTGACTTAAAACTCTGACTACACACACACACACACACACACACACACACACACACACACACACACACACACTCGCATGCCCACCCCTACTCCCATATGTACACATGTGAATACTTACACACAACTAAATTTTCACAATAAAGAAGTCTTAAACTAAGAGTAAGAGGGATAGAAGACTCTTGAAATCAAACCCTGCCCTGCACACACATGCACACATGCATACGAGCCCACCTGAACACACACCAGAATCCCTGCAAACAACTGCCAAAGGGAAGTGTGTGAGGCTGAGGCCCAGCTACAGTGGGGACCAGGAAGTCACAGGTGGCAGGTGTGGAACTTACTTGGAGGGAAGCCATGGGCAGTGAGCACAGTCAATCCACGAGGGTGTCCATGTGGGCTGCAGCTGTTCCAGACCACAGGCAGGGCTACCCCAGCTCACTGCGTACGAGTCACACCTCCAAGTGCCCTGGATGATGGACATGGTGCTGCAGGACTCAGTGACTGGCTTTGGTCCTCCTTGCTGACCTCTGGTCCTCGCTCTGGGAGTGTGACATCCGTTGAGCTCTTTAGCTAAGAGTTTGCACTGAGTCTCAGGGGAGCCTATGGACAAGGACTTTCAGGCAAAGCTGGCACTGTTCAGACCGCAGATCCCTTGGAGATGTACAAATCCTGTTTGCATGTGAGATGGATGGGAGCCTGCGGCAGCTGGCAGAGGAGTGATAACTTGGATCCCCAGTATCCTTGGTCTCTTGTTGAAGGCTTGGTTGCTGAAGCAGCCATGTACAGAGCTGGGGCCTTCAAGGGGGTGATCAGGTCATAAGGACTCTGACCGCATAGATGCATTCATTCGTTTATGGATTTGTATCTTGAAGGGTCTCAGGAAAGCGACATGGTTATAAATGCCAACTGCCTCTTGTTTTGCTGGCTTCAGTGAGGGGAGCAGCTTTTTCCAACATGTGTTCCCAGCACAGAGTTCTGTTTGCCACAGTCCTAAGCACAGGAAGCTGCCAAGCATGACACAAAGCCTCAACTGAGTTCAATGGATTTCACCGTGTTCTCCATCCATGTGGTCAGTCTGTCCGTGGTCCAAGCTGTCAGCAGCCCTCTTTGCTTTATGCCCTGGGCTTACATGTGTAATGAAGGAACTGGTGTGAGGCCATGGACCCATGAAGGAACCAGACTGCTCAGATGCCCAAGGTCACACAAGGCCTGGGCAGGGGTGGTGTAGATCTGGGCCTTCTACACTGACTTGGATCTTCAGTCTCTGTGAGATGGGGCTCCCCAAGGCAGTGACATAGGCAGGGTGGGTCTCTGTTCCGATATGCAGAGTGGGTACATGTGGTGCACGTGTCCTGGGAAGGCCTGTCTCAGCAGAACCTCTTCTCTCCCATGGGGCTTCTGACCTTCTCTCTCTTTCCCATCTCAGACGTCAGGATCAGTGCCTACCACTCCTCTGACAGTCCAGCTGACTGAAAGAAGCATGGTTGTGCCAGGCCTTAGATGGATCCCTCTGGATCTAAAGAGAATGTCACAGTGGGAAGAGATTGTAAACACATTGTGTAAGGAACCCAGCTAGCAGCGTGGACCAGTGACCTCTCAGCTTCATCGGGCTACTTACTGGGAATGTCTCTACAGAAATGGCAGCAAATAGATGGCCCTTGGCGTCCCCCTGGATCTTCCTTGGAATTTCTTACTTGGGTGTGCATTTCTTCCCTGCAGACAGTGCAGGGCCCGGTCCCTTAGGAAGCACTTTTTGTGGTGCTGTTGGATGGAACCTTGAAAGGTCCTTGGGGTCACTTATCCTCAGACTTTTAACTGCCAGCACCTGCTGTGACAACCCATCCCTGAAATGGTGACGGCCCTGCGTCTGTGTGAGGAACATGCAAAGGAGAACGTCTTCCATAAGCCTGAGTTTTCTTCCAAGATTCGTGAGAATCACATTGAAGAGGAACCATGTGGTGCCGCTCTCTTTTCTGTAAAACTCAGAAAAACCAGGCAGGGAAGAGCCCCAAGAAGAGAAGTCTGCCAGGACCCCACATGGACAGATGGGCTTCCATCTCCAGTAGCTTCTGGAAGGACTTTCAGGTCTAGACTGGGAAGGGATCCTGTGAAAGGCCAGTGTTTCTGAGGGATCCCTGCTGAGGAGGTTCCCAGGTGACCGGGTCCGTTCTGACTAGCATCTCCTCCTCTGACACCTGCTGACTGGAGTTCCCAGCGGAATCTTGCTGACAGGCATATTGACTGATTGAAGTCTGCACTGACTAGACTGCCAGCGACTTGGATCGCTGTTGGTTAGAATCTGACTGGAATCGCCTCTGAATGGAGTCCCTACTGGTTGGAATCCTTGCCAACCCGTGTCTCTCCAAATGAGAGTCTCCACTCACTGGTGTCTGTATACCTGCGGTCCACACAGACTGGGATCTCGCAGACTAGAACCCTACTGACCGGGAGACAATCCAGTCTACTTATTTTGAGTTCTTGTCCTTCCTTCTCTCCAAGAATGGCGTGGGTGGACAGGGGAGGTGAACAAACGGAGTTTTATTGCAGAGCAGTAGGTACCAACTCAGAAAAGAGAGCAGAAACTCAAACGTGGAAGTGCAAACTCTGAGACCCTCGGCTGCCGCGGAATGCTGACCGAGAGAGGTCCAAACGAGAGGTCCAAGTGTCACAGCAGGCTTGAGACTGCGAGCATCTCCTGTGAAGAGCAGATCTCAGCAGCAGCGAGGCTCACAGGGCAGGGATGGGCAGGAAAGGGGGTCAGTCTCCAAAGCCGGAGTGAGTCTCGGAGGCTGAGGCAGGGACCAGCATCCTTCCATCTTACAGTGGGAGCTTTGAGTCTTAGATGCTCTCTTTTCAGGTCTGAAGGGCCTCTTCAGTACTTCTCTGAAGCCCGGGGACCTGAGAGACAGAGGCTGTAGCCCACTGAGAGCCAGATCCGGCAAACTGAGATGTGGTGTGTGTGTGTGTGTGTGTGTGTGTGTGTGTGTGTGTGTGTGTGTGTGTGTATACTCTTAGTCGGACCCTGATTGGTTGGGCGTGTGGAATAGGAACCAATCAGAAGAAGGCCTGTCAAACCCGGGGAGAGAAAAAGCTGGTTAGAACTGGGGAGAATTTTTTTTTAATTTTTATTTTTATTTTGCAATACAATTCAGTTCTACATATCAGCCACGGATTCCCTTGTTCTCCCCCCTCCGGCCCCCCTCACCTTCCCCCCAGCCCACCCCCCATTCCCACCTCCTCCAGGGCAAAGCCTCGCCCACGGACTGAGATCAACCTGGTAGACTCAGTCCAGGCAGGAGGGAACTGGGGAGAATTTACTCAGGGTCACTGCTCTGTTCCCTTCCCTCAGTGTTGTGAGGAAGCGGAAAAGGACAGGGGACCCCACTGCCTGACTCAGGCTTTTTCACCCCGAATTCCTGGCTGCTGGGGTCTTTTTTTCTGTTGCTGATGTGAGGTCCCCTCTATCCTGCTCTCTGGAGTTCCCTGTGACAGGTGTTCCTAGTGACTGCACTGCCCCCTACTGGAAGCCTATCCGATTTTCTACCTGCCTCCTGGCTGAACCAGGCCTCTGGGCAGGACGAGGGGCACAAAGCATCTAAGGTTCTTTCATGGTTCCATCCTACAGCTCTCGGTGTCCAGACAAAGACTGTCCTAACACCGTGACTTTGGGATCACAGAAGTCTCCGTCCTCTGCCAGGCCACATACGATGCAAGGATGCAGAGGAAAGGGCCTCGTGGACTTCAACCGTACAGTGTTGATGGACATGACCTAACTATCCCACGGTGTCTCGATCTAGCCTGCCACACACTTTACCCTGGAAATGCTCATGATTATGATCTGTCAATTGACGAGACACAACTGAACACGGGAATGGACCTGGGCCACACACCTGAATTCCCTATGACGTTCACTTTGTCCCCTCATTTCTGGGGAGACACTCTGTTCTGCCACCCATGAGGTTTCTTCTGTGATGGCCGGCAGCAACAAAGCTTTAGTAGACATTTCCCAGTCCTCCTTGGCCGTGACTTCCATTCACTGTATTGTCTGGGACTTCACTATGGTCTGGTTCACGGGGGAGGGGCTTCTCCTCGAATAATGTGGCATTTTCTGTGTTCCCCTGGCTGCTGGTGAATAAATATGGGGAGCACTTATGTCGCACAGGTGAGCTGTGGCAAGAGTACACCACAAGTAGAAGCAGAGAGGATTGTCCTGCTCCGTGACGCTTCTGTCACCCCTTTGTCCGGCCTGTGGGACGATCTCTAGCCTCTGGGTTTTTGTTGAAGATTGAAGGGCAGGTTCACCGGCCCTCCTCCTCAGGGGCAAAGGGAAAGTGTCAGGATCTGTGAGGGAGGTGAAATGTGTCACCGCTGTGTCCCTGGCTTGGAGTGTGTTGAGCAGCCATGTTCCTGGTGTGTTTGGTGCTGTGGTGAGCAGTGTGATGCCACTGTCTTGTCGAATTTCCTGTGCCATAAGGCATCTCTTATATCTTGGACGTTAAAGCCAATGTTTTCCATGGCTGCCATGATTGCAGGGTCCAGGAGGCTTGGGATTGTTTCTTGTGAGTTGATGTACCCTCATGTCTTAGCCATGAGTACCTTTCGATCTCTTTAGCTATTGGCCTCTGGCTGGGGTTGACAGTAAGTGTCTGATTAGGCCCTGTAGTTCTTTAGCTGTTGGCCTCTGGCTGGCGTTGACAGTAAGTGTCTGATTAGGCCCTGTAGTTCTTTAGCTGTTGGCCTCTGGCTGGCGTTGACAGTAAGTGTCTGACTAGGCCCTGTAGTTCTTTGGAAAGCTGATTAGGGACCTCATTCCTCCCTGGCACCACCTGCTTCCAAGGCTCTGAGAAGGTGGGTGCTGCAGTGGGGGTGTCCCTGCTACCATGAAAAACAAGAGGACTCCCAAGATCCATGTCTGTTTTGGGGATATCATATGGCACACCTAGGAAGAATTCAGGGGCACCAAAATGGAATGCCCCTCCAGGCCTATCAAGCTATTTCCCAGGCCTTGGTCCCAAACCAAAGTTCATGATGTTCACTTTTCTGGAGCTGTCTACAATGATATTATCAGGTTTCAGATCTCTGTGGACTATGCCGTGGTCATGGCAATAGCCCACAGCACCTATGATTTGGTGAAATAGTTCTAGGACCGCATTCTCCTGCGAGCATCCAGCCTCAGAGCCATGACGAGACAGCCATTCTCCCTCAGCCACCTCCATGATGAGACAGATATTCTTTTCTGTTTCAATGACTTGAACGAGAGAAACAATGTTTGGGTAGCTGACGGTCATCAGAATGCCCACTTCTGAAATAGTTGGTACCACAGCACCTCCCTCTCCAGCACTTTCACGGCTACTCGAACATCTGTGAGACGGTGCTGGGCTAGCATCACCTTGGCATTGGCGCCCTGACCTGATTTCCTCAGGACAGTGTATTGACTGGTGAATATCTCTTCACCAAAGATGATGGGCACAGGCTTGAGCCCTGCTATCTCTCCGTCAGGCTGATTAGAGGTCGTAGGTGGTATATCTGCGGGAACTATGTCAAAGAAAAAGGAATAAAGGAGAGTACAATGAAATAAGAAATGAAAATTTAAAATTGAAAAAAACTAAAATTGAAAAAAAAATCAAAATGAAAATAAAAAGCAAAATAAAAAACCAAAGCCCTAACTCAAAACTAGGAAACCAAACCGCAGAAACAGAAGTCAAAACCCAAAGCAAAACCTCAGCTCACAGTCCAGTGCGTCAGAAGGGCCACAGCTTGAATGCTGGAGTCCTAACTGAAAGATAGATGAAAAAGAAACAAATCTGAAAGGAAATAAGAAAAGGAAAAAGAGGGATGAAACAAGTAAAAAATATAAAATAAACAAAATCTAAAAACCCAAACTCCAAACACCCCGAGCCAAAACACCAAATCAAAAAATAAAATACAAGATAACCTCAAAACCAAAAACAAAAACAGAGACAAAGATAAATAAACTGAAACCAGAAAACTAAAAACCAAACCAACAAACAAAAATAAAAATCTGAAAACTAAAACTGGCTAAAAGCCAAATGGGTGTGAATTCCATGGATCAAGAACGTTCTTGTGGTAAATAATTGATTGTTTTATTTTGTTTGGGTTTTTTTTTTAGGGGGGAAGGGTTCATGACAGGGCTTCTGTGTAGCCCCAACTGCCCTGGAACTCACCTGGCTAATAATTTTTTTTTAAAGAGAAAAGATTAAAGGAAAGAAAAAGAGACAAACAAATGAAAAACAGAAAGCATTAAAACTAAAACACAGAAAGCCTCCAAATACAACCATTAAATATATTAAATACATCCCTAAAATCTAAGAGCAAGTAAGTAAGAAGTCGGGGGAGGCAGACACCACCAGCAGGCACTACAGGAGGGCACGATCCTAGGACAACCTTCTGAATTCTGCCCGAGAATCCGTGTTAGAAACAAAGCCAAACCAAACATCAGAAGCAGTGATAAAAATCCAGACAGCACCAGTTTCACTCTCCCGCTGGGGAGATCCCTGGGGCCATGGCCAGCCTGGCCTGCCCAGTGAGCTCCAGGCCAACGAGTGGCTCTGCTTCAAAGAGAGTGGGCAGCGCATCTGAAGTGCGGCACCTGGGATTGGGTGCTGGCCTCTAGTGGAACACACATGTGCAGACAACCAACCCCACACTTACACACAGGTACACACCTATACATGCGGTCACATGTAATAGCAAATAAACAAGTACACACTTGCACAAACACACCTATACACACACTTACACATAAGGACGCACAAGCACACACACAAACTAAGCAACCAAACCCAGAGGATCACCCACAACCTCACTAGATACAATAAAGTCTCACAGGGCACCACTCCACAGCTCCTCTCAAGTCACCCAAAGAAATCCAGGTCGGGCCACAGCATAACATCTGCTGACTGGAACTGTCACAAACACTCCTCGTGAGGTCATAGCAGGACCTGCCCTGCATGGCTGGGCAGGACGCAAAGGTTCTGGCTCAGGTGGGCCATGGAGACCGGTGTTAGGCTTTTAGAAATCAGAGCCTGTAGGAAGCTGTGACGTCCTTGGGTTTCTGGTTTGAACGTCTGCTGTGCCTCCTCACGTCTGCACTCACCACGGCACCTTTTTGAATTCTGACTGATGAGCCCAAGATGATGCCACAGCTTAACATACTTAGAAAGGTCTGCTTATAAAATATAATCTAGCAGTTTACTACCACCCACGAGGCTGGTTCTCATAATTTCCCAGAAGGTAATTAGGTTCTTATCAAAAACCTGGGATGCCAGAAGGAAATCAATCCATGTATTCAATGTTAAATGAAATAAGCATATACTCTGTCTTAGTCAGTGTTCTATTGCTATGAAGAGACACCATGACCAAGGCAACTCTTACACACACACACACACATACACACACACACACACACACACACACACACACACACACACAAAGCATTTAATTGGGGCTTGCTTATAGTTTCAGAGTTTAGTCCATTACCATCATGGCAGTCATCATGGCAGGATGCAGGCAGACATGGTGCTGGAGAAGTAGCTGAGAGCCCTATATCTGGACCCGAAGGCAGCAGGAAGAAAAAGTGGCCGTAGGCCTGACTGGGGCTTTTGAAACCTCAAACCTACCCTTGGTGACTAAGCATTTATGTATAGGTGGTGGCTCTCCACTGACATTGTCCCCTTTATCCCCAGGAAACAGTGTGTAAGATGCTACAGTTCTCAATAAGCCTGCTTGACATAAAATAAGCTTATGCAAGATGTCCGGATCCCAAACTTTTCCAACTTACCTTCTAATCTCCTAGTCCTCCCACTTAGGACCCTGGCACTGAAGAAGGACCTGCTGGTCCAGGTCATGCAGGGACAGAGGAAAATCCCACAGCTGTGTGAGATGCAAAATCACTGAACCTCTATAGAGCTATGAGGATCTATGCACTGCCAGTGGTGAGCAGGCAGTGGTGGCCGGCTGGGCAAGAGCACCTCCCTTTCACAGGGTTTGATCTACCATCACTACACTACATGGTCCCTTGGGCTATGGTGTGTACTGTTCACCCTACCCTCCATTATTCTACTGGGGGAGGGAGATCTCAGTCTCAGAATCATGGTGGGTCAAACAGGGTCCAATGTGTCATCTTCTGGGTGCCTTTGTTCTCTTCAGGGTGTTCTTGCTTGGTGGCACCTCTGGCAGTGGAGAGTGGGGTCCAGGACAATGACTCAGTGAGCTCACCCAAAGTCCCTGAGGACAAACCCTGACGAATATCATCGACTTCACACATTAAGGGCTACAGAATCACTTTAAAAAGTCGCGGACAAAGGGTTTGTGGTATTGGGAACCTTATCCAGAACCTGGCACATCCTGGGCCAGCCCTTCTTTACTGAGCCATACCCCAGCCCTCCTAGTGCTCTTGAGGACAGTGTAACACTCTCTCTAGGGAAGACAGAGTGGAAGGCTGGCCTTTGGTTGCAGTCCAGAACACAGACTCCCAAGGACACATTGCTTTGGACCTTTAAGCCTCTTCAGTGGCTCTCAAAGACTCACACAAAGAGGTAGGATCTCAGAATATCCAGGAAGGATGTTTCCTATGGACTAAAATGAACTGAAAAAAAAAAAAAAACCCCACACTGGTAACAGACCAACCCACCAGCACTCTACTAGATCCTCAGGTAGAGATGGCTGGACTCCTCAGGTCCTGACTGAGAGAGGAGACTGTGAGAAATAAAGGAGAGGACAGGTCCTGTGTGACTCCTAGCTGGCTTGCTAGAGTTTGCTATCATACCTTAACACTTGTTGTAAAGGGCCCGTGAGTCCTAGCAGGACCGTGGAGTCCAGAATCACTCCTATCATAGAGCTAAATAGGACTCAAGCCACAGATACCCACAGTCTGTCCTGGGGGGGGGGGACATAAATGTCACCCTGTGGGACGTCAGGGTGAGACCCAGATAGTGGTTGTAAATGGAGCCTCTGGTACTGTGAGAAAGGAGAGCAAATGAGGAAGGAACCTGTTAACCAGCCCCAAGAGTTGCATGAGGTCAGTGCCTGCTCTAGTTTTACTTCTAACGCTGTGGAAAACACTCGGACAAGAAGCTAGTTAGGGAAGAAAGGTTGGATTTGACTGATAAGTCCAGGTTATGATCCAGTTCAGTGGGGAAGCTGAGGCAGTGATTTAAAGCATTACATCCACAGTCAAAAGCAAAGTGTGCTGTGGGATGTCTTTCTGTACGCTGTGAATATGTGTTGCTCTGAGTGGTTGATAAACAAAGCTGCATTGGCCTATGGCAGGGCGGGATGGAGCCAGGCGGGAAAATCCAAGAGAGATAGTGGGAGGAGAAAGGCGAGGAAGGAGACACTGTGAGCTGCTGGCAGGAGAATCAAGAAGTGAAAATACCAGTAAGCCATGGCCATGTGGCCACTTATAGATTAATAGAAATGGGTTAATTTAAGATATAAGAGCTAGCTAGCAAGAAACTTGAGCCATAGGCCATGCAGTTTGTAATTGATATAAGCCTCTGTGTGTTTACTTGGGCCTGAGTGGCTGCAGGACTGAGTGGGACACAAGAAAACTTCCAGCTACAAAAGTGAGAATAAATACATGGATCTCACTTCCTTGCTAGCTCTCAGCTAGCTTTCTTTATTTTTATACCATTCAGACCCTCCTGCCCAGGGAATGGTGCTGCCCACAGTGGGCTGGGTCTTCCTACATCAATTAATAATCAAGATAATCCCCACAGGCATGTCCATAGGCCAATCTGATCCAGATAATTTTTCATTAAGGGTTTCTTCCCAGGTGATTCCAACTTGTATCAAGTTGAAAGTTAAAACTAACCAGGGCAATGTGTAACTGGACATTTCTCATCCTGACTGCTTGCTCCCAAATACCTGGCAGCTGCTTCCCAAATAATTGACTCAGAGACTTAATACTACTTATAAATGCTTGGCCAGTAGCTCAGGCTTGTTTCTAGCTAACTCTTACGCTTAAATTAACCCATATTCTATTTATGCTTTGCCACATGGCTCATGGCTTGTTACCTCACTTTCTATATGTCCTGCTTGCCTGGCAGCTGGCTTATGTCTTTCCTGACTCTGCCCTTCTCATCATTCCCCTAGTTTGGTTGTCCTGCCTACAATTCCTGCCTGGCTACTGGCCAATCAGCATTTTATTAAAACAATTTGAGTGACAAATCTTTACAGTGTACAAGAGGATTATTCCACAGCAACAACACCCTTACACTCAAGGCTCATGGATGCTCCTAGGCTCCTCCAGCCACAAGAAAATACCGCTTCAAGTTGCCATCTCTAGAGCAGAGAGCAACCTTCAGCAACCCTGATCTGCCAGTGTCTCAATCTGGGTGTTCTCCAGAACTGTGAGCCATCAGGCTCTGCCTCCTCAGGCATGGACGCTTTGCTCTGTCAGCCCAGATTGACTAAGACAACAGAAAGGGAACCCAAGTAAATGAAAAATTCACTGTTACCCACAAGTGTCGACAGCTGGCTCTGAGAGTTTCTGCTAAGACTTCATAGGAAGCATTTTCAGACTCCCAGGAAGAAAGCCCACCTCCTGTCTTCTACAGCTGCTCCGTAATGGCTGGTGAGGAGCTGGAATCCCTGTACAGCTTTGCTGAGAATGTATAAGTGAAACAGCTCCTGGGGCAACAGAACATTCAAAAAGGAATCACCATGGGACACGGAAATCCCACTCCTACCTGTAAGCAGGGTCTACAAGGGCATCTACACACCTATTTTCATACAAAAAGGCTCACAACAGCCAAAAGGGAGGAGGGGCCCAAGAGTCAATCAGTGGGTGCAGGAACAGACACACAAAATATTATTTATTTTTGAAAAGGAGACTGATATATGCCACCTCACAGGTGAGCTCTGTGGATACCACACCAAGTAAAGTGTTCCCTTCATGACAGACTGTAGTTCTCCATTTGTGGGAAGCACCTAGAGAGCTGGGTGAGGACACAGAGAGGAGAATGTGGCTCAGGGACCAGTAAGGAAGGGTGGCCGTGGGTCACCAGGGTCCAGCTGAGCTGGAGTGTCCTTACTTGGCTGAGGCACCAGGGTTTACAGAGCACGAGTTTCTGTTTACAGGAGGAAAAGGCTCAGGGGAAGAAAGGCGATGCCATGCTCTGCATTGACACAGTCATGGTGAAAATGACATGCAATGACAGGAACTTTAACAGATGAAGCCTCTGAGGGCCACATAATGTATCCACGGTCCTCATCCAAGCTCAAAGGCTCTACCATCCCTGCATTTTGGTCCCTCAGTCTGCTCTGCACTGCTCATCATCATTTGGCTTTGAAATGAATGACTCAGGACTTTTCAGCCTCCTGCCTAGGGGATAATGCTGCCCACAGTGGGCTGGGTCTTCCACACCAATTATCAAGACAATCCCCACAGACACACCCATAGGTCAGTGTTAATGAGATTACCGGCACAAGTGAGCACGTGCATTCTGAGGGAAGCTTTCTGCTAACAGCATTATATCGTTTTCATTCCTATCAACATTTTCCTAAAGGTGTTCAGAGATCATTTTCAGTTTGCCTCTGGAGTCAGACTTTCAAGATACATTTGAAAACAAACAAAACCCAATCTGCTAAACAATTGAGCTTCTTTGTTACAGGGCTGATCTGTTCACCGCTGCTTCTTTTTTCCTGTCCATGAAGTGGCCTCTGTGTGCTCTGAGCAAAGCATTAGGGGTGAAGAATGAGTGAGATGCTCTGGCTGCAAGAGAAACACATGGGGTAAGAGCAGAGTCGATGTGGGGGGCGGGGTGAGACCCTGCCGCGCCCGTTAGTAGATGGAGATGTTGTCCAGGTGACTTTCCACGAAAGTAATGTCCCTGACTGAGGCCAGAGGCCAGCAGGAACTGGGAATATTCTAAGAAGATGTCAAAATGTGCAGGTCTGGCTGGAGTCCAGGGACTCAGAGACACGGCAAGATCAACAGAAGCCATAAACAGCTCTGGTGCTGACATTGTGCTCTTCCCAGAAATTCAAGAATCCAGCAGAGTGGAGAGCTGCCAGCTCAAGGAGCGACTGTGGTCCTGCCCCTGAGACCAAAAGCAGACACCGCCACTGTCACCAGTCACAGCTAAGGCCCCGAGACCTGTTGTTTATGACTGCCCCTGCTTTCCTCTTGGGTCATTCCTCACTCAGAAAGTTTGTGGGGAGGCTAGTCTGAAAGGTGCTAGCCTTCCACAACAAATGCATCTGTGACCCAGCAGGATGTCCTCAGAGACAGCTGTCCCAACCCTGGACAGGACCATTATAGAGTATGATTACCCAGACAAAGGAAATGGAGAGCCTTTGGTTTGAATGAACTTTACAAGGCTCCCATTACTGAGCACCGATGCTGGATGAGGACACGCAGTTGAAAAACAACGTCCCCAAGGCCCACAGACTGGGTGGGGAAGTCATCCAGGAAAACAGAAGTAAGTGAAGATCAAATTCATGTCTGTGGAATGATTGCGACATGACTAGCTCTGTATAACGGATTTTGAGTGTTGTTTAATCCCTACAAAGGTTCCTTGTAGATGCTATTTTCCTTATTTTGAAGATGGGGACAGACAAAAGCAGTTAGGTATCGTATCCCAGGTCACAGAGCTAAGAGATGGAGCAAGACACTGTCTCCACAAGATCTCCCTTAGCTGTCAAACCAGCCATGCTCAGCCTGGGCTACACGTGAATAGATTTAAGGTAGGGGGCTTGCCAATGTTGGGCCCTGCCCCATCTGGTCCAGCTGAGCTGGAGTGTCCTTACTTGGCTGAGGCACCAGGGTTTCCTCCTATGTGGCTGCCGTAGGGGCATAAAATAGGGCCCTGAGGGCAGGGATGCTGTATTGAGGATGTCCCAAAGACAGCCTAGCTCACTGACGGGCAAACCGGGCAGAGGCAGAGGTTGGCAGATGCAGCACCACTGGATCGAGAGCAGAGCCCAAGACAGGAAGTTGGAAGTCTTGGGCTTCCAGGACTGGGAGGGCTAAGGTCCCGGACCTCCCCACAGCTGACAGACCTCCCCACAGCTGACCAGCAAAGCTTTCACAAGGAGTGGGGATGGTCTGTTCTACAGCCCCTGCCACTGTGGATAACAGTAGTGACTGTTCAGAGGATGCCATCACATTCGGTGTGCCTGTCATAAGCACAGGCACAGACTCAAAAGTCCAAGAGCAGGAGAGAGCTGGGACTCCTCTTATGACAGCAATAACGACATTTCAAAGAAAATGCTTGTGTTAAGTGGAGGGCTTTCAAACTCCCTTTCAACTGCTGGTGCATGAGGGTGGGGAGGAGAGAGCGGAGGTGCTTTTCCTCCGCTGAGAGGGAAGAAAGTGGGCACAGCACCAAATACACCCACCCAGCAGACTTCAGTCTCATCCTGGTCAGGCCACGGTTCTGTCTCAGGCCTGTGACAGTCTGCTTTCTTAGGAGGAAACAAATCCTGGAAAACAGAAGTACTGCTGCACAGTCCTCATTCCCCGGGAACACTGAATCTGGTAGGCCACTCTGGTCTATGGGGCTTTTCTATCCTTCCACATAATGTCTCAGGTGGGTCCTGACAAGGAATCTACCAAGCAGGCAAGGAAACATATGAGTGGACATGGTGTTGCCAGTGCCACCAGCTCTGGCATCAAGGAGGGTACACCGTGGGATGCCTGTGTGAAGAGCCATGGCCATTGTAAGAACATCCCAGGTAGGCGGCAGGTGCCCCCATAAGTATTGTGGGTATTCCTTTTTCTTAGTTGCCTTTCTAGATATGAGCATGGAAACAGAGATGAATCCTCCTGCTCACCAGCTGTCCCTGGCCTGTGTGTTCTAGGACTGAGGTGACACCAGTCCCATGCCGTGGTCTGCCAGCCCTTAGGTTTCCCAGGGGACTTGCTTCAAGCACCATTTCGAAAGCAAGTGCCTCTCCCCAGGACTAAGATAAATGCAGACATTTCAAGTTAAGCTATCACTTCAAGGTCAATGTTAAGGCAATTACCAGGTGTCTCCTACAGTGAGGGAGCTAGGTTGCTAACTGTCTCTGACACGCGGTACAACCTATAAAAACAAAGGGGAATTTTATAAAAGCAGAACGTGACCTGCAACCTCTTCAGAACCGCAGCGGTGGCTGGCTTCCAGTGTTCTGAGCTCCACGCTGGGTGAGAAGAAAGCAGTTTTTCACACTAGAGAGTGGAAGCGTGGAAAGGGAGCATGACCCAAGAGACCAGACGGTGCTGGGGGCAACACAGGCAGTCTCCTCCGCTCACCGAGCCCATTGGAATCTTCCTGTGTGGATGTGCAGAAGAGCTCAACCTCTCAGCTTGGCAACTCCATCAGGACGGTCACTGTGCAAAGGAGGCAGGGTCTGTCTGGGTGATCTGCCACTCCGCAGTGTGACAGACGCAGGGGGAGATTCGGGTGAACCAAACGTGTCACGGCGTTGACTATGTCTGGATCCTTGTAGTGCACTTTCTCTCTTCTGACCCCGAGGTTATCGGGTTATTGTTCAGATTCAAGGTGGTTCCAGAAGAAAGGGGAGCTGAGGATTTCAGGAGTCATCAGGAATAGGAGTCCCTGAGGTTGGAGCTAGCTGGCTCTGCTGCCTTCCTCCAGCCTCGAAGGCTTCTGAGCACCTTCCGGTACGAGTGGGTGAAGGCCTGGTTGGAGAAGCAGTAAACGGCTGGGCTCAATGCACTGTGCAGGCAGGTGAGGCTGCCGGCGACATCGGAGGCCTGCACTATGGCTAGCTGGACGCGGCAGCTCTCAAATTCCCGAAAGACATGCATCAGGACTCGGGCCAGGACACTAGGCAGGAAGCACAGTCCAAACAGCACCAGCACCACGGCAACCAGTGCCCTGGCCCTCCGGAGTCTGGGCTGTTTGTCAGACTCCCGGAGTCTCTCCTGGAGGGTCCTGATGAGTCCAGTGTTGCAGAAGAAGATGAGGCCGAAGGGAAGCAGGAGCTGTAGGAAGAAGAGCACCTCCTGCCAGATGGCGCTGGCCTCAGTTTCTCCTATGGGGTAGAAGCTGGGGCACTTGGTGGAATTCTGGGTAGCCTTGTGGATGAGCATGTTTTGGGGAGTGAGAGCAACCAGGAGAAGCCATACTAGACTGGAGATGCCCCAGGCCGCCCTTGGAGATAGCAAGTTGACTCGGAGCCGAGGATGGACCACACGCAGATATCGGTCTAGAGCCACTGTGGTCAGGAAGGTCACCCCCACACCACGGCTGAAGGCCAGCAGGAAGAGCAGGATTTGGCAGGGCACATGGCCGAGTCCCCAGGTCTTGCCCTTCAGATAGAAGACAGCGAGGAATGGCAGACAGGTGATCAACAGCATGTCAGCCACCACCAGGTTGAACAGGTAGACCGCGTAAGGCTTCCACACTTTGAGACGGTAAAAGAAGGTCCAGAGGGCGACAGCATTACCTGTAAGGCCCAGAGCACACTCCAGTGTCAGCATGGTGCCCACAGCAGTCTCCACCACAGTGCCGGCAGCTGAGCAGTTGAGGCGCGCCATGGGCCGAGGCCACACTGAGCTGAAGCTGCTCAGGAAAAGAAATTCAAGGAGGCCTCGCTATGCTCTTTCCTCTGAGAGAAAAAGAAAATACCCTTTCTTGCCACAAAGCAAACAAGTTCTGCATTCGGCGAGAAAATAATACTGAAACAGTGCCAGGGTCTGGCCCAAGGAGACGCAAAATTTGTTTGGGGAAAGAGGATGGACAGAGACAGGGAAAACCCCCAAGTTTTGCCCTGTTTTGTTTGTTCCTGAGAAAGGGGAAATTGTGTTTCATTTCAAGTCAGTGGCTCCAAAGCCAGGGCTGCAGTGTTCTGGGAACGTTCAGTGAGCAGAGCGAGTGTCCTAGTTCCTGAAGGAGCAACTAGCGACGATTCATAACACGAAAACCTCTGCACCTTTGGGCATTTGAAACAGTGATTGAAACAGGCAGATTGTTCTGTAGGGTGACTGTTTTAAAAGGGAGATCTATGGCTCCCTGTCTTAAATAATGACCCCCCTGAGTATGGCTAGATTTTATAGATGAGGTCAGATCTGGTTGCCACAATCACTTGAAAGTGTCTTTCAGATTTCCTGGCTATTTAAAGTTGAAGCTTTTCGTTTATTCTTCCAATCAGTCTAAAGTAAGTGTGTGTGTGTGTGTGTGTGTGTGTGTGTGTGTGTTGCGGGGAGTGACAAGTTTTTTGCTAAGACTCTTCCTTGACACTACAGTACCTGGATAGGACCTAGCACACTTGTGGTTGGGCTCCTGCAAGCAAGGTAAAGTCCTCCTATCCATTCGTTCTTCATTTTGTCCCTGAGCACAACACTTCGTGAAGCCACATTCCTTTGTCTGGAGCCGCGTGCTGGGAGTGACCAGAGCTCATGAGCTGTGTGGATACACCGTGGTCAAGAGTGTTGGAGACAGGAGGATAGAGGGTGACAGAGAATGCCAGTCTGAACAGCTGGACCACCTTCTTGATGGGGAAACTGCACATTTGAGGGATGCAAGACAATATGGAGAGAGGGAGGTCTGTTGAGAGATGAAAGTAGAAGACATGGGGGCTTCTCTTGGATTATGAGATTCCTCTATTTATTCTCTGGGGAGGATGAAGAGCAGCATTTTTAAACAAGATACACCCATGTGAAAACTATCTAGAGGCCTGGTTTCAGAGGTCCTCATTACCACCATCCAGGAAGGACAATGACCGTCCTTCCTCCCTCCTTTACTCTTAGGCACCTATGGGCAACCCAGGAAATTAGTACCCTCTCAAATTGCCAAATGAACTCTGAGAGTCCCTGTTGTCACGTATGGTGACCCGTTCATAAGTCCTAGGACTTATGGACATTGTGGGAGCCACTGTATTTCTTACCACGTTGGCATCTCCAAACATGATCTCTGTGATGTAAGAGAAGGGGCATCTTGAAGTCTCATGGAACTTAGATCCTTTGTCTCCCTAGGGCTGCTGCTGAGTGGAACTGACCAGGGGTCACCTACAGACCTGAGTCTGTGCTTCGGTTCTATCTTTCACAACTTGTCACAAAGAGAAGTATTATTCTGGATGCTGAAACTCACCATCTAGCTTTAGTATTTATAGTTACCTTTTTATTATGACACCAATATGCTCAGTTATAGGAAATATGGAATGAAGTAAAGTAACAGAAATTTCGTGTGTGTGATCTATCTCGGAGTGCTGCTTCCTCAGTCTGGCCGTTTCTTCCCATGGTTTCGTTACAAGAAACACATGGGTGTTGCTGTACACGGGTTGCTCTACAGCTTTGTTTTTCCATTTGACCCGGAACCCCACAGGTTTCTCATCATTGCCGTTTTGTTAGATACTGAGAGTATTGAAAAGCAGCATTCCCAGCAGGCTGCAGCGGGTGTCCGGCAGGCTCGCTCTGTCTGTGATGAGGCAGCAGGAAGAACTGCAGAAACTGCACATGTATCAAAGACTCTGGGGGCTTTGCACATGTGTGCACAGAGTTAATGTTTGTTTTTATAGGCCTTGTCTTTAAATCAGTGTAAAGTTGACAACGATAATCTTATATATATATTTTTTCTTGGCAGACTTACTAATCCAGGGAATTGAAGGAAGCAAGAATTTGTCAAGGAACACATTAATGTGGATTCTTAGATCCCAGAACGTCACATCCACCCATACAAGCACCAGGCGCTGGCCTTTCATCCAGTCTTACACTAGTGAGTCCTAGTCCAGGGAGTAGTCAGGTTCCATATAAGGCACGCCTGCCACTTTGTCAGCAGCCTCGAGAGTTGAGACATGGTAGGGTTGTCTTTACCTCTAGTTAATTTACCCTGTAGGAAGCCAATCTCTCTCATACTCTGCCCACATGCTGTCCACCTCAAGGCCCTTATGTCAAGGGGTTCAGGGATCACCCCCATTTTCCTGCTTCTCAAGCTTGTGACCATGCATGCCCCGTGGGTACCCTGAGCTGCACTTCTGGGTAGTCAGTCCCATGTGGCTGAGGAGCCTGTTACCATTGTGGATGGGAAGAAACCAGGGGCTGGAGAAAGAGGGCAGTTTCCAAAGGGAACTACATTTTATCAGCACAATATTCATCTCAATTTAATCCCTTTTAATCATGCAAAGACTGAAGCCAATCTCATTTAAGTCATGTGTTTGGAGCCAGGGAGAGAGACACTCTGAACGATGCTCAGGAGGGAGACAAGCCCACATTTCTCAATGTCTTCTGCATGTGGCATCTGTTCAACAGCTGTAGAACCAGTGTGTCTGAGAGGGTAATCACCATCATCCTTGGTATCTCCCGTTCTCAGTACCCATCATTAGTAAGGCGTTCTTCTGTTCCATCTAGCTGGAATGTGACAGTCATCAGCCCCATGGCTCCTTCACTGTCAGACACACCCACCTCAGCACAAGGAGGAGAACCCTCCTGTCTCTAGCTCTTCCTCCAGGCACACTGAAGTGCTGTCTGGTACCAAGGGGGCATAACTCAGAGTACTCACAAAAACCCTCAGTCTCCATCCAGAACTGTAAGGACTGGAAAGGCAGACTCAGAAAGTTCCTGCGACTGGACGCAGTGCTGCTCTAGAGGAAGAGCCAGGAGGATCCCGAATTCAAGGCCAGCCTTTGCAACATAGTGAGTTTGAGGCCAGCCTGAGCTATGTGAATCCAGTTCAACAAAGCAAAGCAGAAAACAAAAGGAAAGGGGAGGGGGAGAGGAGGAGGGGGAAACTGAGGAAGAAGTAGAAGAAAAGGAGAAAGAAAAACAAGTTGCCACAATACAGGAGCTCCAGACAGCACACATTGTCCTCCTGATCTGCACGTCAGAGTGTGGCGTGAGTGACACCCGCTGAGCCCAGGGGTCAGCAGGGCCTTGTGCACACAGTGACACCCACTGAGTTCAGGGGTCAGCAGGGCCTTGTGCACACAGTGACACCCACTGAGTTCAGGGGTCAGCAGGGCCTTGTGCACACAGTGACACCCACTGAGCCCAGGGGTCAGCAGGGCCTTGTGCACACAGTGACACCCACTGAGTCCAGGGGTCAGCAGGGCCTTGTGCACACAGTGACACCCGCTGAGCCCAGGGGTCAGCAGGGCCTTGTGCACACAGTGACACCCGCTGAGCCCAGGGGTCAGCAGGGCCTTGTGCACACAGTGACACCCGCTGAGCCCAGGGGTCAGCAGGGCCTTGTGCACACAGTGACACCCGCTGAGTCCAGGGGTCAGCAGGGCCTTGTGCACACAGTGACACCCGCTGAGCCCAGGGGTCAGCAGGGCTTTGTGCACACAGTGACACCCGCTGAGCCCAGGGGTCAGCAGGGCCTTGTGCACACAGTGACACCCGCTGAGCCCAGGGGTCAGCAGGGCCTTGTGCACACAGTGACACCCGCTGAGCCCAGGGGTCAGCAGGGCCTTGTGCACACAGTGACACCCACTGAGCCCAGGGGTCAGCAGGGCCTTGTGCACACAGTGACACCCACTGAGCCCAGGGGTCAGCAGGGCCTTGTGCACACAGTGACACCCACTGAGCCCAGGGGTCAGCAGGGCCTTGTGCACACAGTGACACCCACTGAGCCCAGGGGTCAGCAGGGCCTTGTGCACACAGTGACACCCGCTGAGCCCAGGGGTCAGCAGGGCCTTGTGCACACAGTGACACCCACTGAGTCCAGGGGTCAGCAGGGCCTTGTGCTTCTGCAGCCTCAGGGGCAAATCGCTCCTTTCCCTTCTGTTGGAGACACCTCTGTTCCTGGCATTGTGGTCCCTCCCCACCATCCAGCAAACGTGCTCATTGGCTCCTTGTTCCCATCATTCCATCTTCTCTCTGTCCCAAGCACACCAGTGCCTGTTGGCTTTAATCTAAGCCTCCTCCATTCTGCAATCCAGGGCTTGCCCATATGAAAAGTCCTCTTTTCAAGGCAATGTAGGTCAGGGATCAAGGTGTGGGCATCTCAGGAGACTACTATTCTTCCTACCACAAATGCTACTCAGACACTGCATAAAAACAGTGGCGTGGAGCCAAGCACGGTGACCTGTATGACGTTTGGGAGGTTGGGGCAGGAAAACAGCCTCAAGTTTCGGTTGTGTGGTGAGTCTCAGGCCAGCCTGGAGTACAGTGTCCTTTTATCTAAACAAAGAAGTACAAAACAGGCAAGAAAACCAACAAATGGTATCTGATACCGTCTTCTCCCATGTCAGGCTGCTGACCTAATGGCTAGGCTTCCGGTCTTCCTCTTTTATTTATTCAGATGCTTCTTCGGGAATCATCTTTCACAATCCACTGGTTCCATGATGATGAAATTGCAGCAGGTCCCGTTGCTTCCTCTGTCCATTCTAAGATCAAGGGTCTACATGTAACAGGAGCAGCGTCTAAGGCCACTGTTGTGTGTGGTCTGGAGAATGAGCTACAGCAGCCGAGCTTTTGAATGAGTTTGTTAAGTGTATATCAAGCAGGAGTAAAATAATAAATAGTGAGTGGCAGATAGAGAAAAGAGGTAGTAAAGCATCATCAAAGCAGGTTGCTCACAACAGCCAGCAGAAATGACTGGAGTAGCCTAATAGATAGAGCAATCAAAAGCTGGCATCATCAAATCGGGTCTCACGACACCCGACAAAAAACAAGTCAGAAGTTTCTGATGGACTCTGTGTCTGAGCTGCCCATGGCTGAACGTCTGGCTTTCCCACTGCAGGCGTTTCATATCATGGGATAAACAACAGCAACCCCTGTTGGAAGCGGTTGCCTCATCGGTGTTTTCAGGAACATTGTTCCCTTTCCACCCTGCCGTAGAGTTGACAGAAGGCGTCTCACCCCCAAATGAGAGGGTTTGGAGGTGAGACAAACATGCTCAGGTCTGAAACGGGGGTGGAATGTGCAATCTCAATCCCAGGGTCCATTTTTTTTAATTAATTTATTTCATTTTATATGCATTGGTGTTTTGCCTGCACTGGAGTTACAGACAGTTGTAAGCTGCCATGTGGGTGCTGGGAATTGAGCCTGGGTCCTCTGGAAGAACAATCAGTGCTCTTAACCACTGAGCCATCTCTCCAGCTCCAGGGTCTACTTTTAACAAGCTTAATCACATGTCATCAGATCAAATTGCCATCACACAATTTACCAATAAAGTCTGCGTTACAACACCCTACAGTTTAGTCTTAGAATTCCTCTTCCCCAAGGGTGGTCTGCTGGGACAGCTGTTGAGTACCTTCCTGGCCTTTTTGCCTCTCTGTGTGCCCTCAGTTCTCTGATTTTGCAGGTGCTTTCTCCCTCAAGCCCTCCCTGCTGATACATGCTTCTTTGCATAAGTGTCTAGGCCTGGGCTCAGTGCAGCTCAGACTCTGCCCTCTGGCTGCACCTCACGTTCCCCGAGGCCAGAACTGAGTCTCCCATGAAATTTTCTCCCACCATGAGCTAAGCCAGTGACCAGTTTCTATTTCAAGAATTTTTAAAAAAAAGACAGAAAGCAGAACAAAAGCCAACGACACAATTTCCTTCCATCCCAGTGACTCATGGGCTCATAATTTTGTGGAGTTTCGGGACCAATGTCAAAAACCTCATCTTTGAGTCTGTCTCTCACACAGAATAGGAACAGAGTTCACCTGCAGTTGGCTCGCCGTTGACCCTGTCCTTACATAAGCTTAAACCTACAATGCTCTGCGTCTGATATTTTGCATCAAGGAAAGAGACCAGATCTATTGCCAAGAGTTCAGGGCTCCCTTGGCCGCACCCTGGCCTTCAGCACATACAGCCCCTCCCTGGTTATCCTCCGCCTCCAGGCAATCTTGGTGCTATTGTGTGGCGGTGCTGCTCAGTGGACACCTTCAATCCTGTACTGCTCACATGACTGCAGGGATCTGAGGAAATACACTTGGGGAGATTTACTAATTTTCAGGTTTGATTAAATGGGTTATCGTCAAATAACAAAGTGCTTTTCGAACAACCAGAGAAGCCAGGAAAAATGAAAATGTGCGCCAATCACTTGGCGCTGGAGTCCAGGGAACGTGTCTACAGAAGAGCCGGAAGGGAACAGAGCTCCTGTGTCTACGGTGTCACTCTGCTGTCAAGTACGTTCGCCTTGGTGTTTGGATTCTCATCAGGACACTGTACCCATCCTACAGCTGACACTGTCTGGTGTCTGGAGCCTTTCGGGGTTCGCCCTCTGTGGCCTTGCCAGCATTGAGGCCCGAGGTCAAGGTTGATTTGAAGTAGCTCTCTGGGTCATACGGGAAAGACATAGCTTATTGCCAAGTCTATGTAAGTCTGTGCCTCCTCTCTAGGACCCAACCCTATCCCCAAGTCACTTGGATGCTCTTGCGAAAACAAGCAGAGAATGATTCACCACGCCATCAGCTCCGGACAGCTCTCTGCTCAGAGAACAGTCACCATGAAGAGTTACCATGCGCTCCCACCACTCAGCAGCCAGGGGCTCACCAGAGAAGGAGCAGACACAGTGCTGCAAACCAATAGCCTCTCTAGTCCAGCGGCTCTCCACCTTCCTAACACTGCGACCCTTGGATACATCTCCTCACGCGGTGCTGACCCCCAACCATAACACTGCTTTTGTCGTTGGTACTTCATAACTGTAATTTTGCTACTGTTATGAGTCATAATGTAAACTCTACGACCCCTGGAGGGGGTCCCGACCCACAGGTTGAGGACTGCTGTTCTAAGCTGCCTCACCACTGAGCTTAAGGCCAAGGTTAAAACCTTTACACAGTTCTAAGGATTCTGTGTTTAAAGCATGTATCATGATAATGATAGTCACACTCAAATGGAAAATCACAAAGAAATAGGGAGATTTTTGTGAACTGAAGTGTCCCCCATCAGCCTCACATTCACAGGGGTAGGAGGGACCCCTGGGATGATTGATGGTTAGAGCCAGGGGTAGCCAGCTGCTTTTGCCCAGGTGGATAGCAGAGACTCTGGCCTAAAGCAGACGTAAGATTCCTGAACAGTTGAGTCCAGGGCTGAAAACTGCTGTGTCGTGCCCTTCTGACCCAAGAGTGCCTGCTTCCCTATGACAACTATGTCTGAAAAAGAAATGGTGCCCCCCCCCCCAGCTTGGCTGGGAACCCTCTCAGTGGGTTTGTGCTTGCTGGGCTAACAGGCTTCCCCTTGATTGGTTCTTAGTCTTCACCTCATTTGCATATGCCCAGCCAATCAGAGTCTGCCTGGCTCTGTATAACTAGGTGCATGGTCTCTGTATATCAAAGTCTGCTTGGGTCTGTGTAACTAGGTGCATGGCCTTTGTATTGTCACATTCATTATACAGCTCCTTGGGGAAGGAAAAACAGACGACAGCTCCTGCCTTTGAGACTCCCTAGACATACTCCTGTAATGCCTGCAGCTACTGGCAGGGGAGCTCACTCCTGCCTCAGACTCTCAGGCCCCTTTCCTTCCACCATTCTCTTTGATGCTATGTCTTCTGTGACGGCCATTCTTGGTTGTCAACTTGACTACATCTGGAACTAACTAAAACCCAAATGGCTGGGCACATCGGTGAGGGACTGTTCTTAAATCAATCTTTTGAAATGGGAAGACCCACTTCTAATCCTGATCTTGGAGGTGGGAAGCTCCACCTTTAACCTGGGCCGCACCTTCTGCTGGCAGCCTACATAAAGGACATGGAAGAAGGAAGCTTGCTCTCTCTTCTCCTGCTCACCTTCACTCTTGCTAGCAAGTCCATTCCTTCACTGGCATTAGAGCCTACTTCTTCAGGACTTTAGTGTACACTAAAGACCAGCTGAGGCATCCAGCCTCATGGTCTGAAGAACTACTGGATTCTTGGAACTCCCATTGGTAGACAGCCATTGTTGAACTAGCTGGACCACAGCCTATAAGCCATTCTAATGAATCCCCTTCATAGTTCTGTCCCTCTAGAGAACTCTGGCTAGCACACCTTCTGAAGACTTCTTCTTCGGAGGACTGCTCTCTTGACATCCTGAGAGCAGAGAGCTGTGACACTTCCCGACAGCCTTTTGGTTGGAGTCCTTCTGTCGCCACTGGTTCAAAGGTTCTCCCGGCCTGCTCAGCTTGTTGCTCCCACATGATGACCTTCTGTTTTCCCATTTGAATTATTAATACCATATGAATAAAGCCCTCTTCATTTCTTCAGCCTTAGCCATCTACCCACTTCATTCTCAGAGTGGGCAAGACAATTATTCAACAGAATTCATGAGGATTGACTATCTCAACGTGACAGATCGTCAAGAGGAGGAGACCGGAACAGGCAAACACATTTATCTCATGTGTTATCATCGGGCAGTGCAGATTATTAAGAAGGCTTTGACCTCTAGGTCTGGGTTTTATTTAGGGCTTGTGTTCTTTCTTAGCCATAGATTACAGTTTTGCCCTCATTATTCTATGACGGACTATCAGGGAACCTGCAGTCAGTCCCTGGAGTCTACTGTTACCTGAATTCACAGAGGAGTGGGAGGGTCAGAGCATGTGCCTTAATACAAATCTCAAAGACACACAGGTAAGTATTCACACTCAGATGTCATGTATGGGCTGGACTACTAGGATGTAAAATTCCAAATCACCTTGCCAGTCTGCAAGGAATCACATGTAGAGTCCTTCCAGTCTTTAGGACCTTCCTTCATGTATTTCCTAGAGACTGTGTCTGCTGCCGCTTAACAGTCGAGTCTGGACTTCTGCTCTCAGGTAAACGAGAGCTATGCTGTCACCTCCTCTGTGAGTGTAAGAACATGAGCAACCAGAGGATGAGTCTGGAATTCAGCGAAGGCCCTCTCAGTGTTTCCTCACTCGAGATGTCATTCTTTCCTACCATCCAACTGGACAGTGTCCCGAGCAGGTTCAGGTTGACGGATACCAGCACAGGCACTTCTGGGGGGCTCCCCCGGATGTTTGCCTGTCAGAGTGGACAGAGGGCAATGCTTGTGGACACCCTCCACCCAGCCTGCTCCCAAGTCAGGAAGCAGCGGCAGCTGTGTGGCATCTGCCGGAGGCGGCTCCCCTCGGGCCTTGGAAGCCCTACTCTCTCTCCAGCTGAGGGGCCCGAGGGTTCTGCAGACACACTCACAAGGCCCCATGTTAGGTTCTCCTTACCAGGCAGGAGCGCCTCTGACCAGAGCCAGGCAGTGGATGTCTTACCATCCAATGGATACAATCAGAGTCCTGGGCACCTGGCCTCTCCTGCCTGACAAGGACTGGTCCTTGATCACGGAAAGAGAAAGAGAATCAATTTAAGGTCTCCCAGGAGTAGGACTGTCAATCCCAACACAGTTAGAACTCTATATGTCTCCAGGATCAGTGTGACCAAGGGTCCCCAGATAGAAAATGACACATTCTTACAAAAAAAATGTTCCTTCTCTTTCCCTTTAAATATTTAACCACTCCAAATACTGTGCTGCGGATAAGAAGTGAGGGCCAGGGCTTGAGGCTGTACACCAACTCTCACTGTTTCTCATCCTCGCCCTTGACCACAAAACCCAGAGGGACAATTTGGTAGAAGAAGCATTTGGTGGAATGATGAAATTTTGCCTTGTGTCTCCTGTTTAGCCTCATAGAGATCATATCCTCTTTGTGAACATCTCTAAGCAGTTTGTTTTTATTTTAAAGAAGTTTTATCCTTTTTCAAGAATGTGCACTGAGAGAACTGAGTTTTTAACTCTATTGTGTGTGGAAATCTCGCTATCCTCATTGTCAATTGTAGACAATCTGGCTCCCATCAGTCCTCTGTGTGGATGGATATGAGCTTACTCTAGCTGAATCATGGGTGTGTTGGTAGCTATTATTTAACCTTATAAAACCCCAGGGCGTGGCCCTTTAAGACAGAGAGTCAGTTTAGAATGGACAGGTTTCCTGGAATTCTAAAGCTAGCTGTGTGGAGGACACAGAGAGCTGTTGGGATATGGCCTAGATGAGCAATGTCCTGGCAGAAGCCGTCATCTTAGGCTAGGTGAGGATGCCCCGGGTGGGGGGGGGGCACAGAGGGAGGGTACTCCCTGGAGAGAGGGACTTAGGAGCCCATGTTGGGGAGTGTAGAGTCCCCCTTCTGAGAAGTCATGGATGCCAGTCCTCTGCAGAAAACCATGGGGCCCAGGGCCAGCGCGGGTGAGGTGGGCTGTGACCAACCCTGCTATGGATGCCTTTGTCTGCCTCTCACTAGGAGACGCCTTGTCTCCAGCCAGGGTCCCTGTCACTGTGGCTCAGCTTCTCATCCTTGTTTATATACAGCCTAGGCTTATAAACACAAGTACGTATGTGTAGAAACAGGAAATATGTGGTTATATTTGTGATTTTGGATCAAGACATTCCCAAAGGCTCTGCCTGAGAAGCCTTGCCACTCACCAGTCCTCAATTTCTTTCCCAAACCTGCCAGTGGCCACCATTCCCTACACCAGAAAGGGGGTGGGAATTAGCTGTAGTGGGACTTGGTGGAGAGGTGGGAGGGGAGTTAATTTGGTTGCTGGTGCCTGTGTTGGGGCCTCGGCTCTCCTATGGAAGGCTGCTCCTTGCTTTTCCTCTCCACTCAGCTGTCTCCTGCTGGACTCCTCCCCCACGGCTCCAAGTCTCAGGTTCCATAAACCCCTGCTTCTACGTCATTGTTTAAGGTTATGGAGCTGTAGGTTGGGGACAAGGGGTTTGTCCTGATGACAGGCAGTCAAAGGCATTCCCAGCAGAGGTCTGATGAAGGACTAAGATGTCCCAGGTCCCCTCTCAAGGCCCTGCTCACCTCCAGGTGATCAGGCGCCATGCTGACTCCCCAAATCAAAGCATTGTCCACCCACCTCTGGGGACATACCACTTGTAAGTGGCCAGGTCCTTTCCATTCTGTGGTTTCCAGACATGGAAACTTTTTCCTGGTCAGCTCCAGGTGGAAACTCTCCAGGCAGTAGGGTGGGAAATTCAATGAAACGTGGCTGGGCATTCTCCATTCTAAGTGGGAGGACTGGAAGACCCTCAGCTGATAATTGGAGGGGCAGAGGTGGGATGCACCAAGAAGCCCCCATGACCCTTCTCTTTTACAACTAGAATGCTTACTGGTCATCTCGAGGCTAAGGAGTCAGTGGAGGCAAACCATGTTGGAGGACCCGAGTCAGGGAGCAGGGGCCAACCATGGGAAGGATATGGAGGCTACAGCCCTGGTCCTTGGAGAGGACAGCAGCAAGTCTGAGGAGATCGTGGTAAGCCAGGCCAAGAAGCTGTGTGTCCTCGAATGGGGAATGGACTGGGGCGAACTCTTCCTCTTGTCTTGAGACCTGCATTCCTTTCTACAACCCTGTTGCCCCTTGGGACCATCTCAGGGTGCGCTCACTCTGAGCTGGTGTGCTGCATTCTCTGGAGACAAACTCCAGCTCAGTCTCTGTGATGACTTTGAGGGGCAGGTGCAGAGCGGAGACTATAGAGCATGTTGGCTCCCTTCTTCTACTCCGGGAGAAGGCTTCGGGTTTCTGAAAATGTGTCAAACTTTTCAGGACATTTGCATTCTTTAAATCATGCCAGCAAACCCGCTGATCGCTACAAACACACAAACACATAAACACACACACACACACACACACACACACACACACACACACACACACACGGAGGCTGTAGCCTCCCTTAGGATCTGACCCCCACTGGGTCAACTGAAGAGGTCCACAGAAAACCTGGAATGTGAAGTTCAAACCTCTCTGGCTTCCAGCAGCTGTTAGAGAGCCGGGAATATACACGTCACAGCATGTCTGAGGGCTCACTGTGGATGCTGGGGCACGGTGACACATCCACCGTGACCTGGATGTTGACAGTGTTTATTTAGCACTAGGTCCTTGCCTAAACAAGGTTTTCTACAAAGTGGGGTGTTCTTAGGTTCCTTACTTTATAGAGGGTGGCCTGCTAATGTCACAGAGCTTACGCTTGGTGGCTACACCAGGAAATGTGGGGCCTTTTGACTGAATATGTGAGGATCCCCTTGTAGCAAGGGGCTCAGAGACCATATGGGAAGTCCCCAAGTAGCCAACAACAGCCTGAGTATGCAGAGGTCGGGGCCTTGGTGCACGGCCCTCACAGAGCACATGAGGAGCAAAGGGAGTGTCTTTTCTCTGAGGCGTGAGATGATTCTTCAATGTTTCAAGGATTCTTTTCATAGGAGATTCATGTTCTAGCTCTCTTCTCAGAAAGCAAAGGTGTGGAGGAGTGCTAGGATGGAGGGTTTACATCCACAAGGCATGGAAGGGTTCAAGGATGGAGGGGGTTTACATCCACAAGCATAAGAGGCTGAAGTGTGTAGAGCTGGCCTGGGGGCTCCTCGGGAACAGCCTCCCACTACTGGGTGCCTCACACTGTATTAGGTTCCTAATGTATGTGGAGGACAGGATGTGAGCCCCTGGTCATAGAGGTCACACAGCAGCACTGCTGAGGAAAGGCAGAGGGATGTGGGCATCACTAGAACAAAGTATCCCGAGAGGACACCACAGGATCACAGGGCTGCTATTGTTGTGCCCAGGTCGCAAGTCCCCCAAGCAAGACCACCACAGAGTCAATATCCGATGCAAGCACACAGAGGTTTTTATTAACAAAACAAGCAAGTTTGGTCCGCCCTCCAACATCAGACACAGCGGGTGGAGGAGGACGGCCCGAGCACTCACTTTAAGGGGTTAATATAGGAAAAGTTTACATGCAGCTTGGGATTGGACAAGGGGGCTAGGGGTGAGGTAAGCATAAGGTTACCAATTGCTAACAAGATTCAGGGTATCTATAGAGACATAAATTTTTATTCCCCATGTCCTGCTTTTGTTGACACATTCAGATTTATTGGTGCAGTCCCGCTCTCTTCTGAGGTCAACGTCTGGTCAGTGGAGCCCATTACTCCCCGTATCTTGTTTTGCCAAGTCCAGGATACATAGATTTATTGTCCCAGCCTTATAAGTTCAATTTCTGATCACTTCTAAAACTGCTGGTCAGCAAATACCTTTGGAGGAGAGGAGGGGGAAGCATCTCTCAAGATGGCTGCTGATTTTTTCCTTTCACTATCTTGTGTCATGAGGAAATGTTAAGAAAATGGTGTTTTTACCATACGGAAGGAGAAACAGGAGTCCTGAGTTTTCAGGCATCCCTGAATCTTGCTTTTTAAAGGAATTTGACCCCTAGTCACTGACATGCTGTCCATCTCTCTTCCAGGGTGGATGGCTTGTTGGTGTCAGGGTTTACTAGGGTCTGAGAACTACTGTGAGTCGGAGTTAGTTTGAATCTCAAATGTTCCCCCAAAGATCACATGTGTAACACTGATGTCCACCTGGCGCTGCCGTTGGTGGGTGGTGGAGACTAAGGCGAAGACAAGTTAGGTCTTTAGGTATATGCCTTTGAAGGAGCTAGTGAAGTCCCAGGCCCTTCTGCATGCTCGCTCGCTCTCTCTCTCTCTCTCTTTCTCTCTCTCTCTCTCTCTCTCTCTCTCTCTCTTCTCCTCCCCCTCTCCCTCTCCCTCTCCCTCTCCCCTCTCCCCCTCTTCCCCTCCCTCTCTACTTCCCGGTTTTCATAAAGTGAGCAGTTTTACCACTGCATTCTGTCTCACCACAGGCCCTAAGTGATGGAGCCCAGCAGCCGTGAACTGAAAGCTTTGAAACCAGAAACCTAAACAAAACTTTCTTCCTTCTAAGTTGGTTCTCTCAGGTATTTTCTGACAGGAACAGGGAGCTGACTACCACAGTTGATCCCCTGCTAAGAGTTTTTTACAGCACCCACATTCTGGATCTGGAAGCTTAACATTGTCCTTCACTGGAGAGTCAAGCCCCGCCCCCCCTTGGAAGCCTTGCCTCCTCCAGGAAGATCTGAGATGTAGGTTGTATTTGTGACGCTTTGTGTGCTGGCGGAATATCACAGCAGCCCCTCATCAAAATGTGCAATTAACATATGTTAATAAAAAAAACACATTTGAAGAACTATCCTATGCAGGAAAAGTGTCCAGGAATTTGGTTGGCAGAGATGCGCTTCTAGTCCCTGGGTGCACTGCCACCATAATTCCCTGCACCAAATTCTCCAAATTTTGTGTTAGCAGCAAAGTTTCCAGAAAGGGAGAAGAATGTTAAAACTCAAATGCAATCACTTCCTCATCATCTCCAGAGCTGGGAGAACAAAATGGTCAGAAATGTCTTCTCTAATGTCTTCCATTCTCTCTTGAAGATTCAGTCCATCTGATTTGCGGTCTTACTCTGAGAGGTAATTGAGGAGCTGATGGCAGCTCTGGCCTCCTCTTCCAGAGGCCTGTTATTTTCTCCTCTAATGGTGAGGGGCAGACTTCTCCTTCCTTCATGGCTTCACTAATTCCCTGCTGGGCGACCTCAGAGAAGGAAGGAGAAGTCTGCCCCTCACCATTAGAGCAGAAAAATAACAGGCCTCTGAACACAGCTGTCACACACACACACACACACACACACACACACACACACACACACACACACACACCTCAGGGCCAATGTTTCCCACAAAGGTGGAAAGAACTCTGCTGGGACACCTTCTTCAACACTGAGCAAGAGATTCTGGCAAAGTGACAGGACAAAGGCCATCCCTAGCGGGTCCAGGGCAGCAGCTGATGGGAAAGCATCGCTATGGGGAAGGTGCTCCTAGGCCAGGCCTCGTCATCCCCAGTAGCATCTTCAGGGGACAGAGATAACTGTTCTGTGATGGAGGCAGGTGCCCCTGCCTCCCTGGGTCTGTCCTCTGGGCAAAGAGAGGCAGAAGAATACTTCCCTCCCTCTCTTCTTCTCATCGGTCCATTTGCCGCCAGCTCCTCAATCCTCCAACCCAGGAAGCGTGGTGTCTCATGGTACCTACTGGGTTTATACATTGATATGAACAGATATGTGACATGGAAATTGGCATCATGTAATCAAGTACCAAACCCCCTCACAAGTCAGCAGACACAAGACCTAGTGGCCTTTTCCAAGTAAAATCCTCCAGGCTAGACAGTTTCCCTTCTTAGATAATAATCCAAGGCCATTTTGTTTCAACTCTCTTGGGAGAAAAGAAGCAGGCCCAGAGAGGTTAGGTGGCCTCTCTCTGAGGTCGCCCAGCAAGGAACTAGTGAAGCCAGGACCAGAGGCTGGGTCTCAGTCATTCTCGGACTCATGGTGGCAGCCCCTTTCCAACTGCCTCCAAGGAGAAGGCTGAGGAAGAATTTCTTTCACAGAAATGTTCTAGCAATGACTGTACCTCACCAGCCATTAGATCTAGTTGGAGTGTGTGGACTAAGTCCACACTTGGTAATGACGGCTGAAGCTGTGGACATCTGACTTTCTCTTTGGAGGCGAAGGACATCCCAGAAGTCCACACTCTCTTATGGGGAGGACTCCGGTTTTTGGAGGGCAGCAGGGTTGGTAATCCCTCAGAGTGCCTGAGAAGTGCCTGACATTCTCTTTCCACCTCAGGGACTGCAGAAGCAGATCTGTGAACTTGCCTCAGAGCTCACGAGACAGGCATCTTGGTGGTGTGCGGCTCACAAAGACCTCCAAAACCAGATCAACGTTCTGATGAAGGAGAACCAGGAGCTCCGGAAGGAACTGAAGGCTTTGAAGCAGCGGGGTGTGGAGGCCAAAATAGCCTCGCCACCCCTGGCAAGAGCAACCAACACTATGGTACAGCAGATTTCCTGCATTACAGAGAAAATGGCACACGAAGGCGTGTTCCCTCCCTTGCAGCCATGCTGTCTCCACTGGGCACTCTGTGAGGGCCCACTGCCTTTCCCTCAGTCATAAATCACACAGGAGTGACAGTAAGTCCTGACTACGCCTTCCTGGGAGCTCTGGGAACAGAGCATGTCCTTACTCTGTCTCCAGGATTCTCATAGGCTCTCATGGAACAGCTGGACGCCAGGCCGTGCCACCCCAGGATTCCAGGTTCCTACTTTAACTTAAGTGATGGACTGGATCCTGTCATTAAGTCCACTGAGGCACAGGGGCGGGGTAGGACTTAGCTATATCTCTATAACTTAGTGACTGAGAGCTGACTGCTGTCACTGCTAGAAGCTAAGAGGGATCCTATGGGAGATTTTGGGGGTGTTTGTTTGGTTTTGTTTTGGTTTCTCTGTGTAGACCTGGCTGTCCTGGAACTTGCTCTGTAGAGCAGGTTGGCCTCGAATTCACAGAGATCCACCCGCCTCTGCCTCCCAAGTGCTGGGATTACAGGTGTGCATCACCATCGCCTGGCCCTATGGGAGATTTTATATAGTCTTTGCTACCGTGTTACCTCCATTACCCCTTGCTCATGGTATGTGGGTAAGATGTATCCACAAGTCAGCAGGGCATCACTCCATCTGCATCAGATGTCAGTCTCTCCTCGCTATGAGACCTCTCAAGTGGTCACTGACTGCACAATTCTGTTCCTCATGTGACTGTGGAGAAGAATAGCATCTGCCCCGCAAACACTCACCTTTGAACAACAACAAAGAACAAGGCACATCCCAAGGCAGGCCTATGCCCAGGAGTAACTGGCCAACACAACACAGAGTCTGTGGTTTTGGTTGTGGTGTTTGGTTGGTTGTTTTTGTGTGTCTGTATTTTGTTTCTTACTGTCCTACTAGATTTTTTTCTAGTTTGTTTTGATTTCATTTGTTCGTTTGGGGTTCTTTTTGAGAGAGAGACAAAGAGACAGAACATGAACTTGGCTAGGTAAGAAGGTGGGAAGGATCTAGGAAGAGTTGAGGCAGGGGAAAGAATATAATCAAAAGATACTGCGTGACAAAACTTTAAATAAATATTGTTAATATTTGTTTATAAATAGCGTTACATATTTCCTACTTCCCTACATGCCCAGCTGAAGTTACATAATGCAAGGACACAAGGGTTGCAGTTGTTTAGTCTTTGGACCCCAACCCTTGTTGGTTTGGAGCTGGTGTCAGCAAGAAGTGGGTCACAGGTTTCTTTGAGCAGCAGTCAGGTCTCTCCAACATGTGGGGAGTCCAGTCTCCTGGCTCAAACCACTATTAAGACATCCGATATCAGTGAGAGGATTCGAACGTGCTTTGCCCCCACTGTGCCTCGGGTGGCCTTGCCTGTCTGTGGTGGTTTGCAGTTGCTGCTTTTTTGCGTGAGGCTCCTGACTGCAGTCGCTTTGCTGCTAGTTTGGAGCCACAGCAGAAGAGATGAAGTGTAATCAGTTATCTGAATGTAGTAAGACTTGTTAGCAGATGTGTGCATGAAGGGAAGTAATAAGTGGGCTAAGCCCACACTTCAAAACCATTGATATTTAAAATAACACAAAGGGCCAGAAACTCGTTTTACTTAAAACTTGTTAAATTTGGTTTTATGCACATCACTCACCATGGTATCAAACCCTTTCTAGACTATGGAGTGCGATGGTTCTGGACTAAGACTGTGGGGGAAGGTGTGCAAAGAGCAGGCCCCCTTCTGCTCCCCTGGGGAACTGAAAACACAGGATTGTCACAGTCCAGGCTGTGGGGTCACAAATATCTTGCATTGATTGGTACTTTGGGACAGTATTGTTTGATGTTGATACAAATACCCCTCATTTGTTTCTAGCCAGTGTACATAAAGATAGAGGGAATTGATTCAGAGAAAACAACGTCGGATGACGCTCCTTCCGGAAGTCCTCAAAACGGAAGTACAATGGCCATTGGAAGAACAGATTCCTTAGACGAAAGACTGTCTTATATGTCTCTTGATGAAAAGGTGACCTTGGGAACGTGTACCCTTCGTGTACAGTCTCTCCCTCCCTCCCTCTTGTTTCTCTCTCTCTCCTCTCTCCCCATCCTCTGTTTGTGTATGTGTGTTGTCTTCCTGCATCTGCCTCCACATCATTTTTAAAAATGATCTTTACATGCGGGCGCACATGCGCCGTCTGTGTGCCCATGGAGGCCAGAAGAGGGTGTGCTTGATCCCTTGAGCCGGAGTTGCGGGTGACTGTGAGCCAAACAGCGTGAATGCTGGGAGCCAAACTGGGGTCCTCTGGAGCAGTAGCAAAGCTCTCAACCTTTGGGCCATCCTCAGGCCCTCCACCTCGTTTTGTGAGACGTGTTCTCTAACTGAGCCAGGACTACACTGGTTGACTCCACTCTCTGGCTAACAAGCTTCAGGGACCCTCCGGTCTCTGCTTTCTGGGTGCTGGGATTATAGGCCTGCTGCCTCACCTGGCCTTTTGTGGGTTCTCCCTAGAACTTCGGCCACATGCATGAGCAGAATGTACTTTGCCAAGCTTCCCTCTCCCCACATCCCCACCTCCCTCCTCACCTCCTCACCTCCTCAACCCAGGAGCACATCCTGCTTCATCCCAGTTACACGAAGTCCAACAAGAGCTCTCACTTTGTTAATCAAAATGGACTCGGGAATTTGTGAAACGTAACTATGCTTCTATAAATCAGAAAACTGAGTGTCTCCATACACAGCTTCAGTACTAAAACAAGACGCTAAACAGAACTGAAGTGATTGTATGGGTGGGAATTTTCTCTATCAGGTCAATTGCCTGAGTTCAGGGAACAGAGCTTGATGCTCTTGGTAGAGTCTGAAAAGTGTCGGAGGCATCTGAAAGCTGACCCAGCTGTGCACAGCATCCAGTCACTGGCCTGGTGGCATCGCTGTTTCTGTGACTCTCTCTGTACCCAGGTTATGCACCTGTCTTCCAAGTTTATGCAAAGACACTTTGGCAAGGCATCACCAGAACCTCTGTCGGACACCACATTCCTGGACACAGAGTCAGCACCTGGTGAGAGAATAAGGTGGCAGGGGACAAGTTCCTGCGGGATGCTTGGGGAGGGATGTGGCATGTGGGTACGGTCCCTAGAGCTCCCTGGGTTCCGGCCACTTTCTGGTTCCTCCTTGAGCTCCTTTGTCTATCTTGGTAACCTCTCCCAACACTGTTTAGAGCCCCCGGGCTGGCCTTCCCCGGCCATCCTTACCCCTTCCCTTTCTGTTTGCTGGCTGGTGATATTACCTGCCTGTTAATATCTGTTCCTGCCCAGCACTTGCTTGATCTCACTCTGAGCTCAAGCTGTCCATCCAGGTATACAGCCTCTCCTGTCCCTGTGGGTCCTACCTGCAGGTTCCCACAATGGCAGGAAGAATGCCCTGTTCCAGCTGCTGTCGGTGGTGACCTTCACACTCTGTATGCCCCCTGGGCTTGCCTGTGGGTGTGCATGAGTTCTGCTGTGGAGCCTTTGCACAGCACCGTGGCTGCCAGGCTCAGTTGCACCCCTAGTGGGCAGAGAGAGGACTCTCATTCACCTGTAACCTGACTCTTACTCACCCTCTTTGCTGTCCATGTGGGTCCCCTTTGGCATACTGAACCCTGGACCCTTGTGCACGGGTAAGCACTGTCCCTCCCTGAGTCCAAGTGACATTTCTGGACCTCTGCGTCTTAGTTACTTTTCTGTTGCTGTGATAAAGCACCATGACCACGGCAACTTCTAGAAGGAAGAATCTACTTGGGCTTACGGTTCCAAAGGGCTAGTTCATAATGGCAGGTACTGTAAGCACAAAACAGAGCAAACTGAAAACGGGCCCAAGTAATGTACTTCCTCTATCAAGGTCATACCAATCAAACCTCCTTCAACAGTGCCACCAAATGGAGACCAAGGGTTCCAGTGTCCAAACCTACCATATTCTGTGTGCTGGTTAGTTTTAACTGTCAACTTGGCACAGCCTAGAGTCGCCTTGGCAGAGGAATTATTTAGATCAGGTTGGCCTGTGGGCATGTCTGTGGAGAACTGTCTTGATTGTGAATTGATATAGGAAGACTCAGCCCCTTGTAGGCCGCATTATTCCCTAGTTAAGGGATCCTGAATGATACGAGAAAGCTAGGGGAGAGCAAGCAAGGAAGTATCCACGCATCATTCTGCTCTTGGCTGTGGGTGAGCTGCTCTCAGTTCCTCAGTGATGGTGACCTGTCAGCCTGCTCCCTGAGCGCACCCTGCTCCTTTCACACTACCTCTATTTCCGTCCACAGGTCTAGTGGGCAGGCTGTCACTGGGCTTGTAATTTTTCTCTTCCTATGTCCGCCCCCTACTGGGGCAAAGGCAGCTTCAGGACAGACACCACCCTCTGCTAGCTTAGTCTTCCGGACCACAACATGTAGTGACCACACAATCACCAGACAAGGGTGTTGCTAAAAGAAAAAGTTAAGAGATTCTGTCTCATATCAGAAGAGCCGCCTGGTGTGGGCCAGAAGAAAACCAATAAAAAAGGGACCATCATCGTCAAGATTCTGTTCCTTTCCTGCTACCTGTTTTGCCTGCACCCAAAACCACGAGGTAGTAAGGAGAGCGAGCGTGAGTGTGGGTGCATCCTAGGTCTTAAGGGTCCCCCAGTGGTCACACCCCAGGGGCATGTACCTCAAGGTCACAGGCAGGTGTAGCAGCTACCTCACTAGGGGTGGTGTTTCAGGGCATGGCTCAAACCACCACCCATTACACAAGGAAGGGTTGACTGTTTCCACTCAGCACTTCATGATTTGCACACAGTCAGTCTGTGACATTTGCACAGTGACCTCAGGGTACACAGCATTTTCACTGTATGTACATAGTCTCTTGGAAAGCACTTCTCTGCTGTTTCAGATATGTGGTCCTCCAATCCAGAGAGTTCTGAAGGTGAGCTGCTCATTCATGCTCAAGAAAGCAGGCACCTCCCTAGTTTTCTCCAGAATGCACAGTGGATGCAGGTAGGTAGCGTTTCACCCGCTGGGGAGGCTGGGGTAGGAAGACCCGGAGGTGGCGCAGAAACTGCTTTTCCATCCCTTTTTCACAAGCACAGAAAGCTATGATGGCTGCAAATACCCCTCAGTCTCTGAGCACATTCAGCCTTTCAAATCAGAGAAACATGGCATTCTTTCAGTCATCAGAGGGCCGTGTTAGACCAGTGGCCAAAGGCAGGTCAAGCTTCTGTGACCTTAAGGATATAGAAACCAAAGTTTTACTGTGTTCTTTTTATTTGCAATTCTCAGTGGAAATGAATGGAATAAAAAAAACAAATGTAGCCGGGCAGTGGTAGAGCACACCTTTAATCCCAGCACTTGGGAGGTGGAGGCAGGCGGATCTTTGTGAGTTCGAGGTCAGCCTGGTCTACAGAGTGAGATCCAGGAAAGGCGCAAAGCTACACAGAGAAACACTGTCTTGAAAAACAAAAAACAAACAACAACAAAAAACCCAAACAAACAAACAAAAACAAATGTAGCAGAAATACCCTAGATCCACAGCCAGGGTCACTTCATAGCTACACAATGTCTGATAAGAATGGCAACAGAATTAAGCCATTTTCTCCACAGGAGGGAATGTGGGCTGTAAAGTTTTTCACCATGTAAAGGTGGGCAATGGGGGGCGGGGGTTGTTCCCCTAAGAGCAGTCAGTAACCCTTCAACGTTATCAGCAATGTGAGATGGGTTTGGTTATCTATTAAACTCCTGCTATTGATTCATCTCAAGGCCTCAGTGATGTGCACTCAGAACCAGAACTTGGTGACTGTCACCCTGCTCACCCTGGTGTGGATCGAGCACACCAAGAGAGGGGAACCCCTGTACCAACACAAACTTGGTCCCAAGAGCCAGTTCTCACAGGGGGCCACAGGAGGCGATGGTTATGATCTCTCCACAGGAACTTCTGGCAGGGTCGGGACCTCCCAGAGAAGAACCGCACCCCATGGACACGGAGAAGGACAATGAGACGCAGGAAAAGCGACACCCGAATGGCAAGGCAGGTGTCCGCAGTACACAGTCTTTCCCTGATTTCACCATTGTGTGAACATTGTCGCAACTCACGCAAGCCCCGATATCCTCAGTCACTCAACATGACCTTCTGATGCAAGCAAGAGGCGTGGGAAGTGTGATGAGCAAGGCTGCACTGGCTTTAGCAGTGCACACTGCTGTGTAGGACGCTCTTCAAACAGTGAGGAAGGCACTGAAGTTCGGATAAACTGTCTGGGAGAGTAAATGCACAAGCCACTGTCACGGTTGTCCATCGTCGGTTTCCGATGTAGACTGGACAGTGGTGTGCTGCATACCACACGCGGGTGCATTGACCCAGCATCACCACAAATGGTTAGGGATGCTCAGTGCTACATGGCGTGAGGTGACAGGAAGCTAGCAGCTCCACTACTGCCTTATACAATGGCCATTGTCTATGCCGTGGTTATCCACTGGAGCACTGCTCCGGAATCGGTGCGTGCAGCTGTGGTTGACTTTATGACTTCCCAGTGTGCAGCGTTTTAAGAACACGTGCGCTTTGTTGTTTCGAGGGCCAGCTGATCACTGAAGCCTCTTTGGAGCTTTTCTGGCTGGCTGAGAACATGAACTCATCTTCTGGTTCTGACCTGCACACAACTTGTGCACTCACCTGGTGGATTTGTGAGCAAGGGTGTGAGTGTGTAGACTTAGTTCAAACCTCTGCTGTGCTGGCTCTCAGCTGGGTTTGGTTGGCTAGCTCTCTGATTTGTTCAGAAGTATGAGTTTTTAACTCTGATGAGTCAGCTCCTACATTTCTAGCTATATTAAGAATAGTTAAAAAATGTGGCATAACTAATAAATGCTAATGGAGTTTCTAAAATACATGTATATTAACTCCCCAAGTTAAGGTTATTTCTGCCAATGTCTTCTTTACACTAATCTTCACAGGGTAATGTCTTCTACTGAGAGCCTAGCAATATGCATTTGAAGATACTTATTTGCTGATTATTAATCAAAGCCATTAATGTAGTGTCTGAGTCGAAAGGATAAGACAGGAAAACCAAAAAGTGCACAAAAGTTAATTTTTACCTAGTAGTTATGCAATTCCATCTGTCCCAGGATTCCAGGTTTATCAGTCCTATGACTGCAGATCATACAGACCTACGGCAAACGCACAGCATCAACACCAAGGAAGGCAGACGTCGAGGAACAAATCATAACACTTTCTGTCAATAACCAAATGCAGGGTGGGGATTGGGAGCTCATCAGTGCAGGGTGTGCGTGTGCATGTGCGTGTGCATGTGTGCGTGTGCGTGTGTGTGTGTGTGTAGCAGTTGTATCCACCATGCCAGGCAGACAGTGGGCAGTGATTTTGAACACAAGGGGAAACAGTGGAACAGTGGTAATCACACTTGTTACAGCTCTTCACCAGGAGCTTTTGTGTCCATCAAGGTGGAGCAGGTTCTCAGCGACGGGCGAACCATCATCACCTTCCCCAACGGAACCAGGAAGGAGATCAGTGCGGACAAGAAGACGACCCTCATCAAGTTCTTTAACGGTGACATGAAGAAGGTCAAGCCTGATAAGAGAGTGGTGCGTGCAATGGGCATACTTGTGTCATTTTAGACTCGGAGCCACACAGGTACTAGCAAACCCCTCCCGGATGCGTGTCAGGAGATGAGAGAAGGCGGAAGGTCAGAACCTTCCTGTTAATGAAGATTTTGTCCTTGTTGTATGATGCGAGATTCTTCATGGTCTCGGCCCGCAGATTTGCACAGTGGTGTCCCGCCAGCACCCCACCCTCCACTATGCTCTCCCCCTGGCCTGAGCTAACCTCCATGCCCGGGGAAATGGACCAGGAAACCCTGGGAGACCTATTTAAATGGTGACTTTCGGGAAGTCGCAGCCCAGTGGGACAAAGAGATGTGTTGCCTCACCTTGGGGGTCACAGACATGTTTCTTAGGTGGGAAGGGTGGACAGACAGATGCAGAGAGTGACAGATGGTAAGCAACAAGGGGGAGTTAGGAGAGAGAACGGGGCTCAGTGCAGGCTGGGAGGGAGATCCTCCTGCTCTGACTTTGACTCAGTGCTAATGAGAGCAAGACATCACAGAGGCAGGTGAGCACGCCCCTCTCCAGGGCTCTGTCTAGGAGCTGCCGTCTTCTTTCTGTGTCTCCTGATCCACTGAGGGGAAAAATGGTATTTATGTGATGATGGAGACAGGAGCACTCCCTACATCCACCTGGCTTTGGGACATGTTGCTAATATGAAGAGAATGCTTTAAAATCACAGAGCACAGAGCTCTCTTTCCTTGTTGACTTTCTGTTGCCGTAATAAACATCATGACCAAAAACATGGGAAGGAAAGGGCTTACATGTCCCCATCACAATCACTCATTGAGGGAAGTCACCACAGGAAGCTGAAAGCAGGAATTTAAGCAACCATGGAGGAACACTGCTTACTGGCTTGCTTCCTGTGGCTTGCTCAGTTTGATTTTTATGCAACCCAGAACTACCTGCTCAGGTGTGGCATCACCTGCACAGTGGTCTAGATCCTTCCATATTAATTGCTAATCAAGAAAATGCCCCCACAGACTTGCCTACAGGGCAATCTGATGGAGGGATCTTTTCAACTAATGTTCCCTTTTCCAAATGACTCTAACATATGCCAAGTTGACAGGAGCTACCCAAAACATATCCCAATAATATGACTCCAATGAAAGACACTCCCCTTCCTCTTCGGTGGATGGAGAGACATGACTCCATCTCAGAGGACTCACATGGTGTGACCAGCCAGGAGTTTGAATTAGGAGTAGAGCAGTGTCTTCCTTATGCATTCTTCCTTTTCAAACAAGTACCCCGTTCAATCCCGTTCTACTCGTGGCTGTGATTTTTAAATGTGACTCGGCCTCAGCATCAGGAGCACCTGTCCCCAACCCCATCACCTTCCCCCTTTGTAAATGTTCCCACTCCCTCTCTCTTCCTCCTTGGAATCCAAGGGAGACATGAGTATTAGAAACACCCAAGTCAACGGCAACTCATGAGGAGGATGTCCGAGGCATTTGTGAGGTCTACTCTCTCAAGCTGCACCTGACCATGAGTCTGAAAACTGTGGGGTTCATGGGACACTGGTGCTCATGGCCCATGTCCACCTCTCAGACCTCACCAGCTGCAGGTCCTATGAGGCATGAAGGCCCAGAAAGTCATACATTAGAGGATGCTCGGGAACAAAACTGAGGACTAAGCTGCATCCCACAATTTCCCAATAGCCAAGTCTATCATTTCTGGGGTGTCAGTGACTAGCCCCACTTCCTGTGTTTCTCAACGGTGGAAGTTCCCATGGAACTCACCTGCTGAGCCTGCACCTTTAGCCACCTATGGGAAGTAACCAATCAGATTCAATTGAGGCTAACGTAACAACATTGCCTGCCTCCCAACATGGGTTCCCTGGTCTTCACAGATTTATTATTATGCAGATGCTCAGACTACACACACAACCTACCCGGATGGTGTTGAAGTCGTGCAGTTTCCGAACAAGTGGACTGGTGAGTGGCGCCGCCCTGTACCTGCTGGCTCAGTACCTTGTGTGCCTGTGTTGGGGATGGCAGGGTGTATGAGCATCATGGGAAGGGGCAGCAGACATCCAGCCTTTAGATTCACCAAAGGAAACAGCCTGCCCAGCTAGACATTAATGTTTTTTTTTTTTAATTAGAAATTGTTCTATGAAGTACATTGGGTAAAATTATATCCAAACAGTCACTTTTAGTTTTCCTGAAATTCATTGAACTGGGTGTCCTGGATTTTGTCTGGCACTCCTATATTATTAAATTCAAGGATGTTCTCACTTATTTCTGCAAACATTGCCTGACTTCCATCCCTTGTCTTCCTAACCCTCCAATTGCGGGCACACATGGCCCTCTCATCTCTGAACATGTTGTATTTCCTTTTATATTCATTACATTCAGATAAATTCTTTAGAACCGCCCTCTTGTTCACCATTTTTCTCTTTAACTAAATCTCACGTGTTCTTTATTGTCCTTCTTGGTTTGATGATGCTCTTCATGTCCTTCTGGTCCTTCTCAGGTCTATCTAGTGTAGGCTAATACCACCCTTCTCTCATTTTCTTCCCCTTCCCCCTGAATTCTCAAGTTACTTTACACACATTTGCCTCACCGTCTTGTTCTGGTGACAGCCTGATCCAGACATGGAGCTCAGTGTGGGGCTTGTCACGGCTAAGTCCTAGTGGTGCCACGTCCCCTTACATTTCCAGTTTGTCCTGTGGGGACAGATTTGGTGGCATTCCTAGGGAGCCCATGCTGGAGCTGGCCTTCCAGAAAGTCTGTTCATTTCTGCCATCTGTGTGGAGCCTGGGCCTGCCACAGTGCCACTGAGTCTGGCCGACACTTCTTTCTTTGTCTTAATGTTTCAGTCAGTGCTATTGTAGTCCTAGCACCATCACCGAGGTGTTTACAGGCTGGTGGGCACAGAAGTGGGCAGGAGAGCAATGACTTCTTCAGTAACTTTTGGCATACACTTGGCATTGAAAAATTATACTTGCTTGTACACAAATGCTCTATGGGGTGGTTGATGGATGTTAGCCAGGTCTGGTGAAAAAAGAAAAGGGTTTGATAGACATATCTGTTCTTTGAATCTTGGCTGCTCTGTATGGAGTGTCTCTAACGTATTACATAACTGTATAGCAGGGGTTCTGAGTTCCGTCCCTGTCCATACCTATGGTTCCTGTCTCCAGAACATCCTCCTGTGACAATTCAAAAACAAGGTGAAATGAACATCATAGTCTCCCCTCTTGCCATTTTTCAGGTGAACCTATGTGTCTGTGTGTTCGATGAAGTTCAGCAAAGACCCTTTTGCATTGATTCTGCACCAGTCAGCCAGGGGATTCTGAGATTCTCAAGCTATTGAATCAAAGAGAATCCCTACTTCCTCAGGGCAATCACCAGCACTTCACTTAGCATTTTAGATTTTTATGCTAACAAGTATTTACTGCACTGAGTTCTTCTTTGGGTGTCAGATTCCACACCACAGTGTTTTTCCTAAGTATACTTAATGTCCCCTTTTCATCTGCCAACAACAGCCAACCATTGACCAACACTTGTGCATGAAGCACAGGGACATGAGAAGGACATGGGGAAACCAATCAATGACATTTCACTGGTGAGCTTTTCTATTTCCCACAAACACACACGGAAAAGCACAACTCTGCACTGTGCTCAGGCACGGTTGCCAGCCTTGTGTACCCGGCTTGTGTACAGGCTCAGGTGCAGTAGCGCTTCAGCGTGCGGCACAGTGAGGAACTGTCTCTGCGTGAGGCTGATGTCATTGTGATTGCTGATGCTCTAGTTGACTTTGGAAGTTGATATGGGACAGCGAAAGCATTTCCAAGAGTGTCTTGGTTACTTTTTCACTGCTGCAGCCAGACCAAAAGCAATGAGGGACAGGGAGAATTTATTTTGGTTCACAGTTCAGAGAAGTATAGTCTAATGTATTGGGAAAGGTGTGCTGGCAGAGTGTGAGGTGGCTGGTCACCTTACAGTCTGGAAGAGAAATGTGCCTCTAGCACCTCCTTTTCCCTTTTTAATTCTGTCTGGGACTGCAGTGCGTGGTGCTGGATTTGGTGCTCCAGTGAAGGATTTTACACAAGCCTGGCCCTAGTGAAGGATTTTACACAAGCCTGGCCCCAGTGAAGGATTTTATACAAGCCTGGCCCCAGTGAAGGATTTTACACAAGCCTGGCCCCAGTGAAGGATTCTACCACAAATTCACAGCCAGAAAAATGTCAGACTTTGAAACTTGAATTCCATTTCTATCAAAGGTGCATACTTTTTCGTCATCACCAAGTCAGAAAATCCACCAACTGTTATGCACTAAAGACTGTCTACACTATAGCCAAACCTTCCTTACCTAAAACTGGATCAATAGGGCCATCGGGTGCTATGTCTGTCAATCCTGACTACAAACTCCTCTGATGAGAAAATGATCTTTCTCGTTAATATTTTAATATAGAAACAACACAGTTTCCAAATGCATTCAGTATAACCCATCCTTTAAACAAATGTATTCTGCAGAAAAATTCTACCCGGATGGCTCCAAGGAAACCGTGTTTCCTGATGGGACCGTGAAGCAGCTTAGGGATGGATGTGAGCAGACTGTGTTTCCTGATGGGACATACGTGACGGTGAAAAGGTCAGCACCCCACCTCACCGTGTGAACAAGACTCCAGCCCTGGGCTTTGTGTTCTGTCATGTGTCTGTAGTCATTGTCATGTTTGCAAAAGTTCAAGCATTCACTGAAATGTAATAACAGTGGTCTGAGAGATGGCTCAGTTAAGAGCCCTGGCTGCTCTTGGAAAGGACACAGGGTCAGTTCCCAGCACCTACATGACAGCTCACAGCTATCCATAACTCCAGTTCCAGGGGACCTGATGGCCTCCCATGACTCCCGTGGGCACTAGGTACTCATGTGGTTTGCAGATATACATTCAAGCAAACACTTATACATATACAAATAAATACTTGAAAAAAACTATGACATCAGAAAATAATGTCCTTGGGCCTACAAGAAATTTTGTGCACTCAATTCAAATCTCTTTATAGAGAATATGAGGTTAGACATAGAATTTTGGGGACAGTCTTGTGTCCCCAAGTTGTGCTTAGTGATTGCCTTCAGGCACAAAGGTGGCCACACAGTTTACGTCATCAACTAATGTCATAGTTACCTAGGTTGGCGTCACAATAATCTCACTCTGTACTTCTCCGGATGTGCCACTGCTGTTAGCTAACACGTGTCTCAGGATGTCTCACTGCTGTTAGGTGACACACGTCTCAGGATGTCTCACTGCTGTTAGGTGACACATGCCGATGTTCAGATGACTGAAGCTGGCCCACCTTGAGTGTGGTCTTCAGCCTCCACCTCTTGAAAGCCATGTTGTGTAGAAGTGTGAATCTATTGTGGCATGTATAAGCATCTCTGATGCACCCAGAATGAGCCAAGTCACTGTCGCAGTGCTGGTGTGTGCAGACAATGAGGTCCACAGGGGTCACATCTGTCCAATAGCCTGGGGAGAGTTCAATAAACTCACCTTTGATGTGACTGACTATGGTGTGACCTTGGCATGTTTCCTCCATGACCTCAGCCTCCTCAGGTCCTCCAGTGTGCTCCAGTCTTCCCCCGTCCAGAGCTTCCATGGCTCTCCTGGGGGTGTCAGCACAGGGCATACCACCCAGGACTCTTTCTCTTGCGTTTCTGTTATGTTGTGAATGTCCTGCTGCTTGCGCTCACCACAGCTCAGATTGTGAGCTCGGGTCTCTGGGTCCATATTTTCCACTCAGCTCCTTCACCCTCTACCTTCCTGAGCTCAGGCAGCCCAGGCTTCTTCTGTCTTTTAAACCTCAAATGACTCTCTACTCTTTCCTCAGGAAGCCTCAATTTCCTCCCTCAGGACAGACTGGGGCAGGGGTGGGCATGGATATCTAGGTGGTGTTATGGTATCACTCATTCCCAGTTCCTCCACACTCATATCATGTTTCTGTTCTACAGGAATGGAGACAAAACCATCATGTTCAGCAATGGGCAGAAAGAAATCCACACAGCCAGGTTCAAGCGGAGGGAATTCCCAGATGGCAGCACCAAGACTGTGTACTGCAATGGCTGCCAGGAGACCAAGTATGCCTCAGGGAGGGTCAGGGTCAAAGATGAGATGGGAACTGTCATCCTGGACTGGAAGTAGAGCATCCTCCAGACTCAGTGTCGGTCACTAGGCTCCAGTGACAGTTTTGAGCAGAGCAGACAAAACAACTCACAATGGTAGATTCCCCTGACAGTCCTACAGATCGCCCACAAATCGGGAGAAGAGAGGCATCTAAAAATTGTAAAGAAAAAGACCATCTAGCCATCATCTGGGGAAAGAGGTCAGAGAAGCAGTAGCCAGGAACGAGGCTTCCAGACTGTGTCTTCTGACAGCCTGGGCCTGGAGCAGAAGATAAAGGGAAGCAGTCTGCGTACTGCCTTCTAATTCCTAAGAGCAGCCATTAACAACAGCCAGCCAACGCCTACCTGTTGTCTACTTCTAGCCCTCTTCAGACTCCTCATAAGTGGGATCCAGGGGGATGTATTTTCACTGGTGTTTGGTGTATTAATAGACATGATTTAACCACCTTAAAGTGTCTAGACAGAGCCTCATGTAGCATTCTATCCCATAAATTTGAACAATTATGATCTGTCAGTCAACAAGGACATGAGTAAAAACACAGAAACATACCTGGGCCTCGCCTCCTCTTTGTTCCTGTGAGTCTGCCTGCTGTCCCCTCATTTTGTGGGAGCACTCTGCTGTGCCCTAGGCAAGAGAGGTTTCTCCCGAGCTGGTAGGTGGCACCTGAGTCTCAATAGGCAATTCTCCTTGGCCACCCCTTCCAACCCCTGCACTGGTCTGGGCTTGCGGCTGCATGTGCACTGTAGAGGGCCTTCCCCTCTGATGAGGGCTTCTGAGAATGTGGGTTTTCTGTGTCTGCGACACTGCTGCAAGGTGAGTAGATGAAGAAAGCGCTCGCTGCACACTAGCAGACTGTGCCCCGTGGGGTGGGTGTCTTCAGGAGGCAGGGAGAGGAACGACTGGCAGCAGCACTTCCACCCACATCCACCCCAACCCAACCCCGCTTGCCCTAGCTTACCTTTTGAAGTCAATGATAAGAGTGTCCAAAGGGCACCTGCCTTCTTGGTAGCAGAGAATCTGCAAGGTAGAGGAAAGATCTCTTTCCGGGCTCATCCTGGGTCGTACAGCTATCCCACTGTTGTACCAGGCTTTGGAGTAGACAATAAGACACAATTGTTTCCTTCAATGTCCTGTGCACTAGAGTCGTACATGCCTTGTGCAGGGTCTTTGCAGCTAGGGTCTGTATCACCGCAGTGAGCTGTTAAATCCTCATTGCCTGTATAAGCTCGGATGCTCCGTGACGTCTCGTACTGTTGGCCTCTGCACAGGATTGTTAGTAAGCAGCTGATGATACCCTTAAATTCTTTTGAAGATTGATAAGGGATGCAGGAAACAGAGCTCACAGAAGCATGACTTCCATAGCCCTGTCCAGACTGTGTCTTCTGCTCTCACAAAGCTGCATGTGCCTGTAGCAAAAGGCCACAGTGTGAATCAGGCTGCCGGAACTTTCACGCCCAGCTTGGGTCAAGTCTAAGCAAAGTGAGGGGCTTGGGTTGCAGAGGACAGAACAGAACTTTACAGAGTTCTGGACATGTGGGCTGAAGTTTCAGATGATTTGATTTACCTCCTCTCCATGTACCCTCCCATTGACCCCTTGTGAACTTGACACACAAACATCATTCTTTAAGCCATAACCCATAACGTTTCCTTTCTGGTCCATCCCCAAGATCACACATGAACATCAACATCACAATATAAAAATTTTATGAATCTTAAAAGTCCCAAATTCAAACACTTTAAAATTCAATCTCTTTTAAAAATTCAAAGACTTTGAAGTCTTTGAAAACCTAAAATCTCTTTCAAAATCAGTCTCTCAACTGTGAGATCTTGTAAAAATCAAAAATAAGTTACATACTCCCTAACTTCAAGAGGGAAGAACCAAGGCACAGTCACAATCTGAACTAAACAAAACCAAACTCCAACAGTGTAAATAACTAACTCAATGTCCAATGTGTAGGGGTCCACTCACAATCTTCTGGGCTCCTCCCAAAGGGCTTGGGTCACTTCTCTGGCCCCGCCCCCTGCAGCACACACAGCTTGTCTTCTAGGCTCCAGCTGACTCCACTCCACTGCTACTGCTGTTCTTGGTGGTTATCCCATGGTACTGGCATCTCCGAAATGCTGGGGTCTCTGATGCAATTGGAATGTCCTTTCACCAATAGCCTCTCATAGGCTCTCTTCATGGCACCAAGACTCAACTCTTTTCTATGACCCCTTCATGCCTTCAAAACCAGTACCAACTGGGCGACTCTTCCATTACCAAGTTCAGATGCCAGCTCGAGGTACAACCTTGGCCACTTCTGGAATAGAGCCTTGTGTGCTGACTCTCAGGAAAAAGTTCCCAGAATATTTTACCTCAATGATGCTGGTCTATTCTTAACCACTGCTAATTTTTCAGCTTTAGCTGACCAGCATCAAGAATCCCAGCAAAGCAAAAGTTTCACTTTAGTAGTTCTGGTATCTTGTTAATCACAGCGGACAGCTGGACCAGAACTACAGAACCTTAATTCAAAATAACAAATGGCCCTGATAGAGTCTTTAAACTTCCTCTGAAACTTCACAAGCCAGGCCTCCATTGTCTGCATTGCCCTCCATTCTTATCTTCCAAGGTCCTATAGAGCAGCTCACCAAGCTCTCAGTGCTGAATGGCTTTTCTAGTCCAAAGTTCCAAAGTCATTCCACACTCTTCCCCCAAACATGGTCAGGTCTGTTACAGCAATACCTCCTGGTACCAACTTGTCTTAGTCAGGATTCTATGCTTGTGATGAAACAACCATGACCAAAAAGCAAGTTGGGAGGAAAGGGTTTATTTGGCTTACACTTCCACATCTGTTCATCATCAAAGGAAGTCAGAACAGGAACTCAAACAAGACAGGAACCTGGAGGCAGGAGCTGATGCAAAGGCCATAGAGGGATGCTGGCTTGCTCCCCATGGTTTGCTCAGCCTGCTTTCTTACAGAACCCAGGACCACCAGCCCAGGGGTGGCCTCACCCACAATGGCCTGGGCCTTCCCCATCAATCACTAATCAAGAAAATGCCTTACAGACAGATCTTATGGAGGCATTTTTTCAGTTGAAGTTCCCTCCTTCCAGATAACTCTAGCTTGTGTCAAGTTGACATCAAACTGTCCAGGACACCAGCTTAGTGCCCTGCTGGAGCAGTAGGCAGGCCCTGGAGTCAGGGTCTAGGATATTGATTCAGAGAGTCTGGAGCTAGAAGGAGATAGCTGTGGGCGCCACCACTCAGGGTGCAGCTGTCCGCATTGGTGGCACACCTGGATGTGCACTGTTTCAGCCATGGGAGAGCGTCTCGTCTCCGAGGCTGCAAGGGCCTCTGCCCCTAGAGGGTGGACCAGTGTGCTGTCTGCCTGCTCTGAGTGGAGTGCCGGCATGTGTGCTGGCCCCTGGTTGGAACTCACCTCCACTCCACCAGTCATTGACAGGATGAGGAGAGAACACTGGCTGACAAAGGGTTGAAGAATATTCTGGAAAAAAAAAAGATCTAAGAGATACTGGAAACTTCTCAAGCTGCTTGCTACCTTGTCCCCCAACCCCATGGTACCTGGACCCAAATACAGCTCTTAGAACAATGTCTGAATCCCCACCCCTGGGAGCTGCCAATTTACCACCCCGCCTCGACCTCACCATGCAGTGAGTATTCAGGGCCCAGGAACACAGAACGATTTCTAATGTCAGCGTGGCCATGGCTTATAGACAGTATCTCCTGAACTCAAGGTTTTCAGTTTGGCCAAAGTGTAGCTCCATTAGTGTCAACTTCCTCTACCAGCAATGCCTGCTAACTGCCACCACCTCTATTCAAGCCCAAAACCTGGAGACAGCTGGGACTGTAAAAGAGCTTGAGCCCAGAATGGGATCAGGGCAGAGCAGGACATGAAGCCACAGAAAGTAAAAAGGTTCCCCTACTGGGTAAAAGGAGAGAGAGAGAGAGAGAGAGAGAGAGAGAGAGAGAGAGAGAGGGGGGGGGGGTGGAGGGGGGAGGGAGAGGGAGGGAGGGAGGGAGGGAGGGAGGGAGGGAGGGAGGGAGGAAGAAAGAAAGAAAGGGAGAGAGAGAGAAAGAGGAAAAGAAAGAAAAGAAAAGATGATTATGGCATGGCTTTGACTATTTTAACCCCTCAGTTCCTAAATTCATGTATAAGAACTGAGTGATTGCCATGCCAGCTGTTCAGCACTAGAGTATTCTGAATTTGAGCAAATGTTTACCTTCATGTTCTATGTTAGCGTTTAGTATTCTCCAACTGGAAGTGCTCCCCCTGCTGTCTCCTCTGCCGCATCTAGCTGTGTTAAACCCCTCCGCTTTCCCTTGCCTGGAATGTTCATTTCCCCTTCTGAAGGATGGCTTTGCTGAGGACAGAATTCTTGCTGCACTGAGCTTTTAGCTCTTTGAACATGTCTCTTCCCAGTCTTCTAAGAATCCTACTGGAGCACCCTGGGAGCTCCCCATCTGCAATATGTTCTTTCTTGCTGCTCTTAAGACTCTGTCTTTTTACTTTTACCATTTGGTTATCTTGTATCTCAGAGCACTCCCCCATTATTGATATCGTGAGCCACGGTAAATCCTCCCTCCCTTGCACTGCTTCTGTGACATGTCAATCAAGCATGGGTGCGCCACCCCCAAGGTTGACGAATTCCCACACAGGCATCGCTTCTCTTTTTTGGTGCTGCTGTGAGCAGAACATTCCTGTTTGATGATGTCACATGGACCCCCCTGCTTCGCCCACCGCTTCTCAGTCTTTTTATTTCTCTAACTGGATAGTTCCAATGGCCCTATCTTAGGACTTACTGGTCTTTCTCCTGCATAATCATATACACTACTGAATTTTCCTGTAAATGCATTCCTTGGCTTCAGGACTTCTGTCTGGTTCTTTGCAATGGTTTATATTATATTAGAATAGTTAGCTTCTAATTTATATACTGCTTTCTTTTTTTTTTTTTTTGGTTTTTCGAGATAGGGTTTTTCTGTGTAGCTTTTACGCCTTTCCTGGATCTCGCTCTCTAGACCAAGCTGGCCTCGAACTCACAAAGATCCCCCTGCCTCTGCCTCCTGAGTGCTGGGATTAAAGGTGTGCGCCACCACCGCCTGGCTATATACTGCTTTCTTAATCCCATCAGTTGACTATAGTTTCTTGTTATCTGTTATAGCTTGTTAGACTATTGAGTTTGAAGGAGCTAACTTCTCCCTTCTGCTCTCACACACTGGTTTTAGCCATTTGGTCTCAGGTTAAGTCTGGGTAGATGGAATTGTTTCCGGGTGCAGGGCTGTGTGCGTATGGTTAGGTCTGGGTCACATGGCTGCTCTTGAGTCTATAGTGGAGACTGCTGTTTGCAGACCTGTTATGAAGAGCTCTGGTGACTCTGAGTTCTGTTTGGCCACAGGATAGATTGAACTGTCTCTGGGACCATGGTCTATGGGGCTGTCACTAAAGTGAGGACCACTCTATGACACTGAGATGATGCTTCAGAGTGACGGACA